CTCCACGGTCCCGTCCACTCGCCTATACTTGCATTCTGCCTTCTACCCCACGGGTTGCGTATCAATATCAATCGGTACTTTTTGCCATTTTCGTCTTCTTCGTCTACAGCCTTCAAGACGGAATAGGCATGGCTGAGGGCAAGACCCTTCAGCGCATCCGAGTCGTTGCCATATGGGCTTGAACTTGGTGATGAAGCTGAAAACAAGAAATCCTTGCCGACTTTGATTAGTTCTTCCCAAAGCTTCTCTTTTCTCAATACGCGATTCGTCAGGATCTTGGTTGTAACGCCGCCGGTCAAGTCTTCGACGGCTTCACCGCTCCATCCACCAGCAATAGCATCGTAATCACCGTGTACTGTTCTTCTGTCAGTTGTGCAACGGCTATGTGCAAAAATGCGTAGGGTCCAATCGGGTAGAGAAGTTCTTACTTTTAGCGTATGCTTTCTCCAAAAGTGGGAGCCAAGTTTCGTTTTCGTCAGCGCAAGAGGCAAAATAGAGTGCCTCGGATCCAGTTTGATAGTTCTTTTTGTATTTTGTCTCTCGCGCATTGGTCGGATCGTATCGATCACCCCACTCGGCATCAAAGTCAGCGTTGTTGAGGTAGAGGTTGTCGTCAACGACGGTCCAGACCCACTCGCCGTCTCTATAAAAAACAAAGCCATAGACACCACACTCTTCGTCTCTAGCAACACAGACTTTCTTCATCAATGAAGGGTTGGCGCAGATTGTCGAGGCAGCAGCAATGAACCAGCAGTCGCCGCTTGAGCCCTGTTTTAGGTCGGAGCTGGAGAAGCCATCAATGACAAATTCAGGCTTGTCAAAAATCCAATCAATACGATGCACCGATTTTGGACCGTCTAAGCTCCGGTTCGATCTCTGGGTCAATATCTTGGCAGTGGTGTTGAAGTCGAATGGTGCACCGTCAGCCATGAAGACGCCACTTTGAATAAGGGTGGAGAGGGCTCTGCCTAGCTGCGATGCGCTGACTGCAGGTGACTTTTCAGTTTTTTCATTATACCAGTGCATGAGTCCTTCGAGGCAGTTCTCATCAGAGAGATTACTGATATCGAAGTCAGGGTCCGTGAATTTCTCGTTCGTTCGGATACATTCTTTCACGATGCGTTTGACGCGAGCACAACACTCTGCTGCTGCAGCCTGGTACGATTCGGCAGCATTTTTGCCTGTGACTTTTCCGATTGGATGCTGACGAGGGAGCAGATTGGCATACAGACTTTGCGGGAATATCTTGGTGACTTTGGCTGGTTTCTTCGTGATGAGGCTATCCCAGAACTCGTCGATGGCTGCCTGAGGTACGCCGGTCTGCGTGTCATCGCCGCTATCCGAGCCCATGCTTACCCTTTGCTCTGTATAATAGTTGGTTCAGTTGCAAATAAAAACGAAACAATTAGAGAATGGGACGAAAAGGATGTAAGGCTGATTTGGGGACAGCAGATATATGTGGAATGAAGATGGGGGCCAAAAGGGCCATACTTGGTGCGTGGCTGCTGACGGCTTTGTGCGGCTGAATCACATTTTCTGAGTGGCCCCAATGCAGGCGAATGGTGCATGGTGCTATGTCTGGCGAACAGAGATTTGGTGGAAGCCTATTGAAAGAGTACCTGCTGTGGAACTATGCTTGCATACGATGACTGGAGTTTTAGCGCTTATAGCGCAAGGCAACAGCATGATAGAGGATGATGGACGACCAGAGAACACGAGTAAATAAGAGAAAGACATTTCTAAAAGGGCCGCCATTTGGATATGTGCGACGCAATGTTGGTGGAATGCGGAAAGGTTCTTCGTGTCGGCTGATGTTGCTGTACGGATGCACATGAGTTGTATGTAGCGGGCCGAGACCTTGCGCTGGAAAGCGGGTGGGTGAAGGGCCGTAGGCGAGAGGGGTAGTAGCCATCGGTTTGTTGTGTATGCGCCATTCTTGGACAGCAACAGCTCTGACCAATAACCTTATCTGCCGGTTATCCGCCTCAGGATCGCGCTTTTAGCGGAGGCCTCTTCATTGTTAAAGCTGGGAACGGTTACCTGTTGCGTGCATGTCATACACACACACGCAAGGCGAACCTGATTCTTGTAGGCTCTCGATGCAAGCATAAAAAAAGATGCTTGTGTGCTCTAATCATGTCGGATGAATTGTTCTTTGGAAAATCACAGGACCAGCATAATATTGTAGTAGTTGTGACTTTGTCAAAACCGCACTCAAAGACACGCCAGCAGCGACTAAATAGGTGTTCGTCACGGTCCGTTGCGGTGCAAGTGCAACAGTTTAGCTGAGACAGGCGAGAGCGGCTCGCGATTTCTGCCTGATTCGGACTTGCAGATTTGTCTTGGGAGCCGGTTATGCACCGAACCCTTTAAAGAAGGAATATCGAAGCTCAAATGCGTCGCCTTGCATCGAGCATCGAGGATGCGCGTCTCAGCTGGTGCAAGCCATGTACCTACGTGCACACCCTAGTCCTGAAACCTGAGCGAGCTAGTTCTTGCACGAAGTAAGTCACCATCCTTAGCGATGCAGCGGCTACAGAAATCAACCGGGAGGCGAGTCGTTGAGATGAAATCAGTGTGTTGGATTATTGTCTATTACAGCTGCCAAGACGTGCGCCCTCGTGGGTATGTGAAACAGAATCTCCACCCAAGGGCGTCTAAACGTATAGATAAGCTCAAGTCGACAATTGTGTATAGTAATCAAAAACAATCCCCCATGTAGCGGTACCAGATGATGAGCAAAAAGGAAATTTAAAAGCATTAAGGCGTAATGGTTTGCACCAGTCGTTGTATGGTCAAAACAAAAGAAAAAAATGGGGACCACGTGGGCTCGGCGACCGTCATGTGATTGAAGAAAGAGACCATATAGGAATGGTAGAACAGGGGAAGGCGGCATTTGCCAGACAGGAGCCTGGTCCGATCTGAAACGGCCAGAAGCGGGTACCCCCCCTCCCCCTCCCCCTCCCCCTTCCTTTTTGTAAAGCAAGCGCGGAAGCCTGTTCCGAGTGAGAGAAAAAAAGTGCCATTGTCGTAAAGTGATTGCTTTTTTTGGCATCAAACGATTCGATGGAGGGGGCCGCCCAAAACGCCATGCTAAGAGATGGAGAAGAAGAAGAAAGCCACGTGATGGATGCGAGGAGAAGGAAGGCGTGATAGGAAATCCAGGTGGTATGATGGTCCGGGAATGGGAATGGGAATGGGCATGTTGCCAAGCGGAGAGCGAAGGGTATTGGGCCATGTCGCGTGCGTCTAGGTACATATCTGGTTACCGGGATCTCGGGTGGGCTGGATCGTAGTTGGCGATCCATGCATTCCATCTACACGGCAGCGAGTCAGCGTCAGCCAGAGTGGATTTTTTTTGACCGACGCTTGGCACAGCTCGCATGTGTGGTGATGCAAGATGCCATTTGTGGTGCACGGAGGGGCGACTGGGGTGTGTGGGAGGTATGAGGCACTTACTCGCTCATGCTTTGGAGGCACAGGGCTGGCACGTCTTGAGCTTGCACTGATCGCATTCGTAGATGGAAGTAAAGGGCCCGCTGTGGCACAAGTTGCAGGTCCAAACGACGAGCGTGGTGTCGGACTTGATCAATTTAAAGCTGTGGGAGCAGCTTGGACGGGCCATTGCAAAGATGGTGAGAGGACGGATGGACAAACGATGGCAATTGAGCGGGAACGACTGTGGATATGTGTGAGTGAGAGTAGAGAGTGAGTGAGTGTGGAAGTGAGAGAGGTAGTGGGTGAGATGGGGCGGGGGATGGCAAGAGTAGATATAGCAATTGAGGTTGAGTGAGTACTGACGTGAATAGTGGCGGCAGGACCGCAGGGGCCAAGGAGGAAACGAAGTTAAGGTAGGGGAGGGTAGGGGGAGGGTTGAGAGCGAGGGTGTTTAGGGCCGGCTTGATCGTGGCTGACAAAACAAACGTCAATGTGGAGGAGGATGTGGAGGTGGAGGTGGAGGAGGCAGAAGGCAGAAGGCAGGAGCGAGCGGCGACCAAAGAGGCAGGAAAAGCAGGAGAGGCAGCTGCAGTGTTTGGATGGTTGCTGGAGAAGGAACGACTCCAGGGCTTGCTTGTTGCCAGGCTGCAGACGCTAACGACGCGGATCTTGGGCCGTCTTATACTTGCTCCCTTCTGTCAGAGGCTTGGGTGGGAGAAGCGGAGAATAAACTTTGGCTACAGTGCAAGCCATTCGACGGCCACTCAGGCCGAGTGCAAGTGGGTGTGTACAACGAGCAGCAGCGCGCAGCCGTGCAGCCGTCTGGCCGTGGTGCCTTGCTGGAATGTCGAGATCCAAAGGCGGATGGGTGCCGGACCGATGAAGCAAAAGATGGTCTTGATGGTGCCACGAGGGAGTGGGCCAGCCGCCTACTACGACTACGACTACGACTACGACGTCGAGCTAGGTCCGCCGGGATACTTACTTCGCTCTCGCTCTCCGTCTCTCTGCCTTGCTCTGATGTCCCAGGATGGCTCTGTCCACTACGACAGGTTGCCTGTCCCGCAGCCGCATCCGCGACGAACATGCCGTGTAGAGGCCGCAGCAGGCCCGAGAGTGCATGGCAGGGCAGGGCAGGGCAGGGCAGGGCATGACAGAGCAGAGCAGAGCAGAGCAGGCCAGGCCAGGCCAGGGCGCAATGGCATAGTTTGGCTAGGGATCGAGGGCAGCGCTGCTGCAGCCAGTGTGTCACGGCCAACCGTGCTCAGCGGCCGCGTTGTAATGATGGCATATGCGCCCTCGTCCACAAACAGATGTTTGGACAGCCTCAGTATGTATGCAGCCACGGCGTGCGCGACTGAATGCCACTTGCAGTCGATGCTAGGCTGGGCGCGGCATTGGCTCCTGGTGCGTTTCCTTTTTTGCTGGCTGCTGGCGTGCGCCCACTGGCCATCCCATCCCGGCTGGCCACATGCGCTTCTTAGCATTAGGAGCCGCATGGGCTGCCGGGCGGCCCAGACACGATTGCCGAAACCGTCGCTATGCATGGGCGTCCCTCTCCCCCGGCCCGTTTCCTCTCCACCACAGACCAGGCCCGTAAACACCTGGTGCATCCTGCTGCCCACAACAAACTCTCCCTCCACGCCCGGACGCCAGATGGACACCAAAAGCAACACAGCCATTCCGCCAGCCAACCAGCCAGCTAGCCAGCCAGCCCCGGACCGCCTCCGACTCATCGGCCGCTTGCAGCTGGCCCTGTCAGCTCCACCATGGCACAGTTGGCCGCGTCCCCAGTCCGCCAACACGTCCATGTGGGTGCCGTGCTGGGATCCCGCCCATGGTCGTCTGTCTTGATCTTGCCCTCACCTTCGTGCCCTGCACCGTCTGGATCGGGCTGACCCTGACGCCCGGTGCCACGATGCCAGATCGTGCAACCCGATGGCCGTTTGTCTTTTGGGCTAGCTTCATCGCTCGTCTCCATGCTCGACGGTTGCAAAGCAGTCGCGCCGCAAACATGACCACGTACTACGTCCCATCCGCTCTCAACCGGCCTGCCGACCCCGGACCAGGCTCTTGGAAAACTCCCTTCCCTGGCAAGCCGAACTTTTGCCGGCCCCTCGTAGCTCCAAGCGTTGCTGTCGTGCACGCCGTTTTCTGTCACTTCACCATAGCTCCACGCACAGCCAGATCGTGCCGCCAGACCTGGTGTTCGGGACCAGATGGCCTCTACTAGTGTCCGCTTCTTTTGCAGCCCCAGCAGCCAATCGGGCTGTTTTTTTTTGCACAGCCTCGTCAATAACATCACGCCGTTCAGCCAGCAAGACAGAGGCTGGCCATGTCCATCATCAATCCGCCTACCCTGTAGAGCAACATTGCTTCTCTTTTGAGCACACTCCATAGTTGCACCAGAGAGCCTATCCCCCCCACATCACTGCACACCACCCAAGTAGCTCGACAATTCTTTTGGCATGGAGCTGATCGTATTGCCAGTTTGGCTGTCAAGCTACCTGCTTACTATGTCACCATCACCTCACCGCCGAGTCGTTGTCGACGCCTACAGGGCCTAGAGCGATGTACAGAGCACATTGACGGACCTACGCCAACATGTATTTGTGCTTCCTTCTTCCAAGAGAACTCTCTGTGTCTGTCCAGGCCACTGGCTGCTTTAGGCCAATTGACCTCAAACAGGCCAGCTAGTATGACAGAACAAAGTCAAATCCCTTGTCCGTGGTGCGTTAATACTGCAACCGACCATGAAGCTCGACGGCTATGACTCCATCAGATCAGAGCCACCAATAGGGTGGCTTTCGCTATGGACCGCCATGTATGTAGCTTAGGCAACCTTCACCATCAAGTCCATCGAGGGAGTACAGAAGCAAGCGGTGAGCTTGTGTAACCGAACAGGTCTTCGTGTGGCTGCGATTGCCGAGTCGAGCAATGGATATAAAAAGGCAGACTAGACGGGCTGCATGGCATTCTGAAAGGCGGGGACTCGAGAGGCTCTGCAGGTACAGAGGCGCATCGTGGTCTACTTAAGGACCCTGACTGGCCAGACGAAGCGACTCTGTGGTCGCGTGCCAGCGCAGCAGCTGCTTGTAAGACGTTTGGGTAGTGCAGCCATGTGCATAAAGAAGGAGCAACAGCCCCGTAAGCTCACCTTGTGCATTTTGTCGATTCTTTGCAGGTCAAGATTGCCCTTGGAGCTGTGCTTCCCACCCAAATTCCTACTACGTCGCTTCTTGGGGTGTGTGTGTGCACATCGCTTTTGGTGATTGCGAGTCAGGTGCGGGCTGCCACTGGCTGCCGACTAGTCGTTGCCGTATCGAGCGGATAGTGGGGCAGGCCCAACCCCCGACCTGCCGACAGCTCAGCTACTAGAATGTCGAGCAATTTTGCCAGGCCTCATCGGCCTTCACCACAATTTGCCCACTACGAGAACGTCACTCTCCTAGGACCGCCCACCATGAGGGGCGCTATCGTCTTTGGCGGCACCTCGCACCCCAGGCTTGTCGAGGGCATTTGCGACCGCCTGGGCATGAAGCCTGGCTCCGCAACCCTGGGCAAATTCAAAAATGGAGAGACTTCTGTCACCATTCGTACGCTCACCTCGCCCACGCCCTCTCGCCCTACATACACGCGCTAAGTCCTGCAGATACTTCGATCCGAAACAAGGATGTCTTCATCGTCCAGAGTGGGAGCGAGAAGTGCGTAGCCCAGCCCTGTCGTGCGCCAAATGGCTAATGGGTCAGAATCAACGACTCGGTGATGGAGCTGCTGATTATGATCTCGGCCTGCAAAGGCGGCTCGGCCAAGTCGGTCACAGGTACTGCGCGCCTTGATGAGCTCGATGCCAGCTACTAACAGCCGCAGCCGTCATGCCCTACTTTCCCTACTCACGTCAGTCCAAGAAGAAGCAACACCGCGGTGCCATCACTGCGCGTATGGTCGCAAACCTTTTGCACATTGCCGGCGTCAGCCATGTCATGACAATTGACCTGCACGCTTCGCAGATGCAAGGCTTCTTCAAGTGCCCTGTTGACAACCTCGTCGCCGAACCCCTCATCGCGCGTTGGATTCGCGTCAACGTGCCCAATTGGAGAGAGGCTGTGGTTGTTAGCAAGAACCCGGGTGGCACAAAGCGTGTCACATCGCTAGCTGACGCGTTGAAACTCAGTTTCGGCATTGTGACAACCGATAGGCGTAGGGCAGGCACAGCAGTGCACTGGAACGAAAGCGCCATGTTTGAGCAACTTCGATTGGATGGTGCGTACGAGACGCCAGGTTTGGTGCGAAATGCGCTGGATACGGATGCCGATGTCACACCAATCAGCAACATCACAATCGATCCAAAAGCGGAACCGGGCAAATCGAGCCTCAGGCGTACCCCCACAAACCCACTTGTACGGCGAGTTCATGGTGGCTCGGAGTCGGCAGGGAGCCACCCACTGTCCAAGTCAATGCGTGCGGGCTCTATTATCGAACCCGAAGTCCCACTAGAGCCCATTCGAACTGATGCAGAGAACCAAGAACAGGAAGTGTCCGAAGAACAGGATGCAGGTGAGGGTGGCGCCGAGGAGGAGGAGTACACTGATGAGGTTTGTCCATACCAAAGACTTGTGCCATCTTTCTAATCATCACAGCGCGCACGAAACGTCATTCATGGACGTCTAGTCCAAGGCCACATTGTTGATGACACTCATCCTTCGCCATCCATGTCCGCAACTTCGCATAGCACCTGGCGCAACCGTCCCCCGTCGGAAGGCGATGACGACATACCCAATCACATGATGTCCTCGTTCGTTTCGAATGCCTCGTCTAGTCGTAACAGAGAGACCGAGCATTCGCACGCCCTTGGCGGAACCTATGATGCTGCTGCCTCGTCTGAAGACGAGGAAGAAGACCTCAAGAATCCCGAACTCGAGACCATGGTGACTCTTGTCGGCAATGTCAAAGATCGACCCGTCTTCATTGTCGACGACATGATGGACAAGTCTGCATCGTGGATTGCGGCCGCTGAGACTGTTGTCAAGCGCGGTGGCGCGACCAAGGTGTATTGCTTTGCCACGCATGGCATCTTTGGCGGCGACTGTCTTGAGGAGATGAGTAACTGTGATGTCATTGACAAGATTGTCATCACTAATGCGTTCCCAATTCCCGAACACAAACTCGCTCAGGCCAGCCAAGACAAGCTAGACATTATCAAAGTTGATAACCTCCTAGCAGAGGCAATTAGGCGAAACCACCACGGAGAGAGTATGAGCCAGCTCTTTATGCACTACGACTAGACGAACTACCATGATGATGAGAGAACGTGGGAGAGTTGGAGCTTTGGTTTGCTGTTAGCAAGGCGTATGGATACCACTTCACTACTATTTTGTAGAAAGTACGAATATGGCGTTGTGAAAAAAAGGAGACAACGGTAGGTGGTGGCAGCACCAACAAGCCTATCTGTGTGGGCGTAAACCACGAATGAAATAGGATATTTACACGAGGTCATGAACTCGCCATAGTAAGTTGCAGATGTTGAATGCTCGGTACTGACGATACTTGCACCATGACAGCATTCTATGTCAGCCCTCACTGCCTTGCTAACCCTGATCTTCGTGTCTCAGTCTTGAGCCTCAAAGCAGTCATTTACTGAAATTATGATGTACTACACACCAACGATGCAGGCCTTGAGCTTGCAGGAGTCCCGTGATTTGATACGGTGCACTCTTAACGGAACGTTGGAAGAGAAATATCGACATCTGTCTTTGTTTGTGCCTGGCTCCCTTATGAGGGTTGGGTCTGAGACGGTATCGTGACATATTCGTTTCAATTAGTGCCTGTGCATGCATATTCTGCGCGTCTTTTGTAGTATAACGACGCTGTGGTAAGAAGAAATGCCAGTTTGAATAATTTGATTTTACAGTTGTTTTGTGTTGTGGAGTGCGTTTCTATCTCTTTACATGTGTGAGATGACCAACCTTCCCGCTCAATAACCATATCATGAATTGTTACAAGTCCAAGACATTTCAGTCTATCCATACACATTCTGCCTATTGTAGCCAGGGAACTGTTTAAGCACGCTCTGATCAAAATTCTTCAACTGCGGACAGCTCAAAGCAGCAACCGCATTGTTTACAATGTCGAGAAGTGTAGTGAGCAGGCCAAGAAGAATATCAGGCTTTGCCAGCGCGGAAATTTGGTAGACGAAGCAAGCCAGGTTGTTTCCCTTGAGGAGATTGGCAGAACTGAAAATACCGCCGGTCAAGCTTGCTACGTCGATACCAACGAAAGAGTCGGGTTGACCGGTGTTTCTAAAACGAGTCAGTATAAATGAAAGCGCTTGATGTTGGAGGAGAAGGAGCAAGGGACCAACGTACCCGCCAACCTCAAGAAACTTGGGGTATAAAGTAGCCGCGTTCAAGGTATCAGCAAGAAAGTAGGGCGTGTCATATGGATATGCTATCGGACGACGGTACTAGCAAAGGAAACACCCCTCGTTAGCATATTCACTCTCTATCCACACAAAAGGAACAAAACTCACCCAATTATTCGGGATCCGCTCCCCGCCTTGCACAGCAGTATACTTGCCGTTTGTCCCCTGTATCCCAAACCACGACTGCAGCACATCATACGGCAGAACGCCCTCGGGATTCTCCGCCGAATGATTCGCCATGAAGCGAAAGATGAACGTATACGCCGCCGGCTGCACCAGAACACCTGCAAACGGCCCACTGAAATAATACGGATTGGACTTCCGCTGCGCATCCACTCTCGCACTGCGGAACGCAGTCAGGCTCTCGAGCGTGACGAAGCCGCCGGGCGACGCATCGATCAGCTGCTGGAACTGTGCGGGCACCGTCTTGAAGTTGTTACCCGTCTGGTACAGATCCCCCCGCGTAGGCGATCCATCTGTCTCGTACTTGTTGTGCGAGCCGGTGAGCCCGTTGCCCAGGATGCCAGTCAGCCCCGCTTGTCCGAGCGAGGGCTTGCCGCCCATGGACCAGCTGAGGATGTCGCCGCTGAGGGCGCCGCCGACGGCGGAGAGCAAAAGGGCGAGCGTCGGACCCATGCCGACGACTTTTGTCGTCGCCTCGACGTATTGCGCTACAGTGGCGTAGCCATTATGCGGTAGGAAATTCTGTTGCGAGAAGAGCGAGGTTAAGCATACGATCTAATCTTTTACAAATGTTGTTTTTTTTTGGACTGGAGAAGACGTACGTGGTTTGCCAGAGCATTCAGCCCAGGACATGGGCCCCGAAGGTCGTCAGGGCCTGGAGGAACGTATTCATGGCCGCTCCCCGCGCTGACGTCGATGTACTGTGCTTTTGCATCGAAGATGGGGACAGGCTCAAATATAGATGTAGCAGCGCTCGCACTATTGCTTTGTCTTGCTTGCATAGCCTTTGCTACTTCTTCTTCCGCGCGCTTCAGCACTTCCGGATCGTGGCCTGCAGCATCCAATATGGCAGTCGGCCATGCCACTGTTAACGATGCAGTCGCAGCGGCAAGGAGTGCGATTTTCGCATTCAGAATATACATGGTTTTTTTTTTAAAAAAAAATCCTCTCTCTCACACACACACAAAATATCAACAATTAAGAAATGAAGAAAGTGGAGAAAATATCAGAGTTGAGCACGAAACATCCCCCATTCCTCAACCTTCTATATACCCCTCCCCCACCCGCTCTGACTGGCTACTTTTGCCTCTCGCCTTTCCTTTGTGTATCTCGATTTGGAAATTAAGCAGCGTTTCCCGCTACTACGTAGACTTTCAGCCAATATCACTTTGATATCCCCCCCCCTGGTACACCATTTGTCTACCAAATAAATTTCACGCCTTGCAACTTGAGAATAGCGGATATCTCCGGGCGGCCGGGTCACGCAGCGGCGCGACAGGCCTTGGGACGCTCACAGGCTAGAGTCACTTTTTGCTACTACACCTATGTGGGTGCTAGGGAGGAGAGGAGATAGGTGGCTAGTGTGAACTTACGGTAGTAAATTAGTGGCTTTGGGTGGACATAGATGTGTGAATGTGTAGATTGCGTGTTGTTTGGTCTAGTGCGGGAGATGCCCTTGCGAGTTGCGGTGTTTCGCGTCTGGAGGGGCTGAGGTGGGAAGTTACGGGCTTAGAGCATTAGTTGGTGCTAGCTTGATGGATGTGCGTATGGACGGCGCATGGACTTGGGCGTGGTGTTTGGATTTGGTGCTAAGGTCCGGTGGCGATGGGGTGCTTGATGGCTCTTTACTGTTTTCGAGGCATGTTATTGGATGTGAGATTGAGTGATTGAGGAAGGGAGGGGGAAGTATCTACACGTTTGGGTCCCACCCCATGTACATGTGCTGTGTTGTTTGAATGCTCCTCCCCGCCAACCGCCACTCCGCCCCCAGTCGTTTGTGCCGCTTTCTTCTTTTTGCAGGTCATGAGGATGTAGCTGGGGTAAATGGAGTGGAGTATGCTAGTGCTCCGCATGGGTAGTTGTTGGGAGATCGAAGCAACTCAGCTTTGCATGCTACATCGTCGTGGCGTACTTCATCTCGTCAATCATTGCCAAAGAAACTCAGCTTTTAAGTTCTCAAATTAATTGTCAACATTCAGCATTATTCTCTCTTAATTCAGCTCAGTACCATAAATCTACGCCCAAGAAGTATTATATAATTCCAAACACCGATCAAAATCCTCCAAGTAATTTCTGGGGTATAAATTCTCCTATTGGACTAGCCGCACGCGTGGTTCGCGATCTAGAGACTAGTTTTTGCGATTGGGTTTAAGCCGACGAGCCCGGCGACCAAGAGAACGGAGGTGCTGCGAGATCTGGTTTGGTCTAATTGTGGGCGTCGGACCGTTTATGGTTGCTTCCTAATATGAATCGGACGCATGTATGCGCGCTCCCATGGAGATCTGCATTACGACCCCCTTTTGTCCTATTTTGTACTACATCTGAGGTTGGTCGCGGGGAACGCAAGGGTCTGCTGCCAATAGCAGTAACGCCATTTGTCAGGATAGGTTTGTGTGCACGATTTGGTGTTGGCTATGAATGGTTTAGAGGATTTGGGGAGTTCCCGCGCTGACAAGCCATCTTAGTTTAGTTGTGCTGATCGTATCTTGCTTTGAGCATTTTGATTGTCGTTTCTGGGGTGCATTAGTCATGAGACAGCGGGACGATTTTTTTCTCTGCTTTGGAAACCGGATTGCGTAGGTGGCATTCACACTATTGGCAATAGCTGAGGGAGAGATAAGATTGCATAATGAATGTGGCTTGAGAAGGCGCCGAGGGGCAGTTGTGCCGGTCAGAATCGGCAAAGACTAATCTCGCGCTTGGTGAACACATCTCGATTTACGGAAAAGGGGGAGGGTGTTGACTACCCATTGAAGACAAGGTTGTCCTCATCCATGGCTCTTTGTGCGTGCATTCGTATACACTCCGCAGGACACGGCTCGGCTTCTGGGAGTTGTGCTGACATTGACATCATGACGGGCTGATACCGTACCGACAATGTGCCAAATCTGAAAAAGCGCAAGCAGATAGAGACTCGATCAAGATTTCGTTGCATGGTGTTTCCTGAATAATACGCTCTGTAGTGGCTGCGCACAATCTATTACGTTACGTTTTCCAACAGCCAAGTGCGGACCATGTGCTGGCTACACATAGTTCAGTGATGTGGCTGTGCGATTTTGTTCTGTGATTAGACCAAACCTTATTCTTGATCGACAATATTTGCAAAGCTCAGCTGAATTTCGTCCGTATTGAACCTAAGAGATACGAAACATGTTGGGGGCCAATTTGATAACTTTCGTCCATCACAGTCAGTCAGCTCAAAACTCACCCTAGTAGTTGGTGTTTGATTGAGCACCCCTTTCTGTCCTTATCAAAAGTAAAGGTAAGACCATGCTTCCGTCTGAATGTTTCTTGTTCTTTGGCCAACCCCAAATCTTGACCAGTGGGCTAGTGATCATTTCAAGCAGCTTCAGCTTTGTAAGAGTGGCGTTGACCAGGGTGATACCACTACCATCTCCGACTAGATGTTTGTCATCGCTCACCAGACACTGGCTCATACCCATCTTAGTGCTTTCACGATTGCTGGTGTGGTCAACGGTCCTGTCAATCTCAACGACTACTACTTGGGAGTCTTCCTGTCCAGTCTTGAGAAGCGCTAAAATCTTGATAAAGCAACAGCGTGGCGCCTAGAGAACCCACTGGTATAGATCATAGTACATATCATGACTGATGGTGGAACAAGATCACATTGCTGTCGACTCGGGGTTTCTCGCAATGGGCTCTGCCTTCGAATTGACAACACTACCTGAATATCTTAGTTATATTCCTGAGACTTTAGCAAAATAGCTGCGATGCTACCGTTATTATCATCATTTATTGCTACTGCAAAGTTACCCCACATGCAGAATTACTGCCTAAGCGGAAGCTTGTGAAGACGCGTACAATAGTCAAGGTGGCAGTATAGATTTGTATGGAAAGAGATATTAAATCCGAATATTCAGGTCTTTATAATTGTCAGGGTATACACAAACAATTCGAAATTCTATTTCAGCCTTCATCTTGGACATGGTTCCTAGTGGCATAACAGTTTCACTTTAAAGAATAATATTTCAGATTAAATTCTGCAACCACCATAGTGTCAATTGGTGCTGGTATATTTGGCCTTATCGTGATAGCATTGCCGACAGATTCTCTTATGCTACAACAAGTGGGCATAGTCAGCTAAAAGCAGTTTCATTGTTCTACATACAGGTAGATTCATGGTCGCCAAATCTCCGAATTCCAATCCGGAATGTATTTTCATGGAGATGGGCTGAGGTTGCCTCGCGTATCGCATACCGTGATATCGCCTCGCAGCAACCCTACGAATCCTAGATGAATAATTCTCAGGTGTTCAGGGCTCATGCATAACGTGTCAGATGTCGTTTTTGTCTACCTCAAAGATAGATTTTTGGATGGAGTGCCTGGGTTCGTATTGTCTGGGTTCTTACTGCCCATAATCGTGTTGTCATCATCGTGGTGTGTTCAAGCAACCAGATAGGCCTATAAGCCTTGTTAACCACTGGCTGATAGGCAAATCACATGGGAAATCAACATACGTATGTTCCCTCATACTATGTACAGCGGTATAGTATTCTGGAATTAAGGCATCTCAACACGGATAATAGAAGATACTATAATATGTATAAATATTCTCGAGAAGTTCTTGCTAAAATCAATTTTGAGAGTAAATAAGCTTCATATACTGATAACTGTAAGCTTCTGCTTGAACATAATGTTCATAGACTTTCTTATGGAAGATCTTTTAACTTCTCTACCCTTAAATACAGCGTGACCCTGTTTCTTCCATTTCGAACTGCAAAAGAATTGTAGCTCATCCCTCGAGCTGCTGTTTTGGAAGAGAATATTTGGCCGCAGAATCTGCATAGGCTATGCATGTATCTCCGTGACCTACACACTTTTTCAATTTAGTGTGGACGTCTTAGTTTGGGTTATACATACATACTCAGTGCTAAATGGGTCACCCCATTGAAAAAGGACTTTTGGACCGTTATGAGGCGTCTCGCAGTAGCTTTTACCGTCTTTGACAAGGCACACGCGGTCAAAGGGCAGTAAACCAACGTCTAGAAACGCGTTAACTTTTATAGCGGCAATATGACCGCCGCGACAGTAACAAACAAGGTAGTCACTATAGTCGCGGTACAGTGGAGGATGATGTAACTGCTAAGCTAACTGAAAATCAAGGTATATTCTGCAAAGTATAACATTGTTTAATGACGCAAATCATTTCCCAAAGCTCATCCATCAACCTAAATCCATTAAGCCCGCAATCCCTCCATGAGCGCACCTTCTTCCCTCTTCCCCACAGCCTGGAAAACAGCGCCGTCTCCACCAACATCCAATCCCTTCTCCGCTCGCTCATATGCCTCATCACTCCTATCCAACAAGATCTCCAGCTCTTCTTTGCCCAGTAATTTCGCGCCATGACTCACCTCGTTGATATCGTACTTTTCTCCATCACTTCTCCTCAAAAGCTTCTGAAGTTCTTCAAGTTCCTGTTCCTTCTCTGAGCTTCTTGTTCCACCTCGATCATTCCGCACACCACCCTTGCGAATGACGAGCTTTTCCAGACGACGTTTCGCTTCAGCAGACTCAAGGAGTTTCTGCTCTACAGTATTGCGCGTCGCAAATCGGTAGACAATGACGTTACGTGTTTGGCCAATACGATGTGCGCGATCCATGGCCTGAAGATCCTGTTGCGGGTTCCAATCGCTGTCAAAAAGTATGACCGTATCCGCTGCTGCTAGATTGATACCTTGGCCACCTGCACGTGTGGACAAGATGAAAATGTCGGCTGCTTCTTTTGTGGCAGATGACGGTTTGTTGAATGCCAGGATTTGATCCTGCCGGTCGGTTTGTGCTACGGAACCATCTATGCGAGAATAGTTCCAGGAGCGGAGATTCAAATAGTAGCCAAGAAGATCGAGGGTAGTTGTGAATTGAGAGAAAATAAGAACTTTGTGACCACGGGCTATAAGCTCGGAAAGAATGGAGTCCAGTAGGAGCATCTTGCCCGAAGTTGATACGAGCGTCTCATCCGGTTCTGTCTCTGATGCAAAAGTCTCAGCCCCGTCCGTGTCGACTTTAATGAATGGATTGAAGAAGTTGTACGGCGAATTACAACATAACCGAAGCTGCATGATGGGATTACCAAGCTTCTTCTGCATGAGTTGACGTTTAGCAATTTCGAATGTTGCTGCGCGTATCTTCTCGTCCTCGGCATCCGAACTAAGATCTTCGTCGTTCTCATCTTCTGACTCTGGCTTGTCCAAGTCTGCAAAGTACTTTTGGTCACTGACCTCCTCGTAATTCTTCTTTGGGCGGCCTCGGCTTCGAGTCGATACGACAGAGGAAGGTGTCCCAGCGCGGGAAGTTTTTGCACTCTTGTTGGGAGTACACATGTCGCTCATAGCTTTGCGCTTATTATCACCGTTGTTACTGCGAATGCTCAATGGTGTCCCCGCTCGGCTACTGAGACCAATACTGAGTCTCTCCACTGCCTTGTCTTCGAGATAAGACCGGCTTGTACCATCGAGGATGGCTTGGTAAAGCTCACGTTGCATCGAGGTCAATGGTGCATACAAGACGTACTCGCGCTTCTTGGGCATTAAGCTTTCGACATCCGTCTTGACTCGACGCAACAGGAAAGGCTTCAACACTGCATGCAGTGACTTGACCAAATATTGTTGACGTTCTTCCGATAACAACTGTTCAAAACTGGCTTTGTCCTTCAGCCCGGAAAAGTCAAACCAGCTCTCAAATGTAGAGAGTTTGTCGAACACTGTAGGTAGAAGGAAATGAAGCAACGACCACAGCTCTGTCAGGTTGTTCTGTAACGGTGTACCTGTAATAAGCAGACGATTTGCAGATTGAAATTGTTGCAGCTCACGAATCAGTCTGCAGTCGAGATTCTTGATGCGGTGCCCCTCGTCGATGATGATGAACTGCCAGCCGAAACTTGTAAGGTATTTGCGGTCGTTCATGCAAATTTCATAGCTTGTAACCATGATGGGAAAGTCAGCTGTGCCAGGGTTCCGTAATCTAGTTCTGCGCAGTCTCTCACGCTCTTTCTTGTCGCCATGGTAAAGCATGACCGGCATGCTTGGTGTCCATTTCTCAAATTCCGCAACCCAATTGCTCGTAGTGCTGAGTGGTGCGGCAATAAGAAAAGGACCATACGACTGGTTCTCCCAAAGATGAGCCAGCATGGAAATAGTCTGTATAGTCTTGCCCAAACCCATCTCGTCAGCCAAAATACCATTGATACCGTTATTGTATAACGACACCATCCACTCAAGCCCCTCCAGCTGGTATGACCGCATTGTACCACCGGTGACGAGTTTGGGCTGTCTTGCAGACTTCAGGTTCGTCATTCCGATATCGCTTGTCTTGACATTGTCTTTGTCGTCTTCTGTTGCCTCTGCAGTATCTGCTTTTTTCTTCAGCTCTTCTTTACTGAAGTAACTAGATATGTCCGATTGTTGTCTCTTTGGTCCTCCTTGGCCTTTAGTATCTTGTTTCTTGGGTCTCCCGCGCCCCTTCTTTGGTGCTGTGTCTGCTTCTTCTGTATTCGCTGTCGCCGTTTCGTTTGCTGTGCTTCTGCGCGTGGCTCGTCTCTGCGATTCGGCTGCGGTCTTCTCCGCCTTCCTTTCGCGCGCTGAGGTCTCGCCTTTGGTCTTCTTGTCTTGCGCCTCTTCCTCTTCCTCCTGCTTTTGCATTTGCTGAAGCATCACTGACGCATACAACTTCGATTTGTTCATGAGAAACTCCAATTGCTGGAACTTTTTATCCAATACCTCCTTGCCACTCTTAATGTCGGCCTTTCTCTCTTTTTCTAGTTGCGCGTCGCGTTTCGCGTCTTCTTTCTCGCGCTGTATCCTCATGCGCTCTTCTTCCTCCTGTATCGATTGTAGCACGTTTTCCTTTTCCATGGTGGCAGGTGGCGGTGATGACGCAGGCGTAGAAGGGGATTTAGATATCGCGCTCATGGCAGGGAGTAAATGAGATTGTGCAACAAGCCAAAAAATAAAACAAGAGAGAAGTATCGCAATGTAGTAACTTCCAATGCTAATGTTAGGGAGAAGTGGCGACAACTTTTTGAACGGAGTAGTTGTCTATGGGGGTCGCGACATAGGAAGACGCGCTAGGCGAGAAATCGATGACGATATTTCCAACGCGCGATCACGCCCCTGAACTTAATTGCTTTACACCACACATCAACCACTTTCAGCCCCACCACTATTCCTTTTTACATGCGCCTATGCTATGATTTCGCATCGAGTGATATAAACAGCTACATGTGGGCTTCCTCATAAAGCTAGGCGATAGAAAACAGCGTCTTCTGGGTTCTCATAGTAGCTCTCAATCTCCTCGAACCCATACTTCTCGTATAATTTCCGCGCAGGTGTCATCGTCCTAAGCGTGTCAAGCAACATCTCTTTGTAACCCCATTTTCTCACATAAGAGACTGCGACATCCATCAAGAGTTTCGACGCACCAAGCCCTCGGGATTCTGGGGTCAAGAAAAGTCGTTTTAATTCGCACGTTGTGGTGCTTGATGAAGTCGAGTTCGCTAGCAAAGCTGAGGATTCGGCAGTAGTCGGCGTAGTGAAAAATGGTCGTATGGCTATGCATCCGACCGCCCTTTCATCTCTTATCGACTGGGGGTCGGGTTGTGTTTTTCCATTCATTTTAAGTGATGTTGTTGAAGATACTGGTTCTGACACATAGGATGATGCGTGCGCCAACCATACTGCGCCTCCTTTTTCAGTTGCATATTTTCCCGGCAATTCGGCCAGCTCGTGTTCGAAGTTTTGGAAGTCAAGGCTAACGGGAAGTGATTTTGCATAGGCAAGGAACAATTGTTCCACAGTTGGTTTATCTTCTGGGAAGACGGCGAGGCGAATATTCACGTTCGGCTGAGCCATCTTAGCTTGCGTGTAGTGCGTACGGCACATCCAGTTGTGATGGCTCAACAGGAGAATACAAACATTAAAAACATTTCGTTTATAACTAGCTCCCGAAAAAGCCTAATCAAGCCGAGATATTGCCTACCCCATACTATTGTGTGGAATGTTCTAGTTGTAGTAGTGACAGCGTAGGGCGTGCGGTTGTTGTGTTCGTATTCGCCAGTTGCAGTTGGTGGGTTCGAGTCATCTCGGAACAGCCCCACTTCCAATTCAACGTCACCCGTGCTGCTTTAAAAATCGATATATATAACCAATATATTATATCAAATTCTTTATTTCTCCATCGAAATCACGTGTTTGGTCTTATGGGTAAGCAACCACATCACAATTCATCATATCCTTCAGTTCTAACAACCCCACCGTCTAGTGGTATGATTCTCGCTTAGGGATTTCCCGAGCACAGCTTGCGAGAGGCCCCGCGTTCGAGTCGCGGTAAGACCCATTCATTACTTTTTTGCCTTTTTGTCAGGCATATCGTATCCTTTTGCTACTTGTGGGAAAAGGTATAGAAAACGAATGGCGCACTTTTGGCACGAAGCCGTTGTTTTTGCGTACTCCTAGGCGCCAGAGGGCTTTCAAGAACGACAGCAGATCACGCACTATAAACGGTTGGCACTCACGCAGTTCCAAATTCAATGGCACTATTTACGTTTGCTGCCTTTTTTAACTTAGCACAGGACGTGTAATGAATACAATGCACGGTTTAATATCAATCCACGATGAGAATGGCCTTTTCGGTGACTGTAAAGCAGAATGACTATTGCCCTAACCAAATCTAATTCAAGATTTCTGTCTGTAAGGTTCACTTTTAAGGTATTTCATGTTGAATAGAAGAAATCAGGACCTCAAGAGGTAATGCGATCGAATCCGAAGAATTCATACATTCCCAATTATGTGAACTTGTCAGTAGAAGCCGCAAGTGTTGGCTAGCGAGCAAAGAATAAGACTTCTCTCCTGCAGATAAGCTTGTATGATGTTTGCCAGAGCGAATGAGACTTCAATTTGGCTTGACACGTCACGCGCATCCTGATGACCACGTCAGCCTTGCACGGGACCTGTATGCTTCAGCCACGACAACTCCTTACACGACCTCAGATCAGTGTTGACGGAACTTGTATCTCTTCTAAAATTGTATAGTGGACACCGTTCTATGAGCCTTTTTCTTCACACAAAGGTCCACCCCCGGTTGCACATTACATAGACGGAACCGAACCAGACCCGTCGGCGTACCAAGCCTTCCGCCAGTACTAAAAGCCATCCCCATGCGGTTTAGCGCTGTCGGCCTCGGACTGCAACGCCTCTGTATTTAGTGTGGGTATTGAGCATTCAATACCACAAAGGCTGTCTTATTAGTTTGGCGAGAAGTCTGCCCGAATTGAATTTCTTCGTCTTGAGATCCCTTAGTAGTTAGCACCTGTTTTGGTTTTGCAGAATGACAGAAATAAATACGCTCTCAGAAAGCGGGCATGAAGAGACCCCAAACGTTACGGGTATGATAGAACAGTATGCAGAGGATTTAGTGGACTTATCTAACGTCTTGAAACAGATACTGAAGCTTCGGCTTCACTACATGAAGATTCGTTTGACGAAGAATCGGCTGGTGAAGATACCCCGCGAGAGAGCATCGACCTCGACAACATATGTCTACCAGAGTACACCCAACTAGTGACAAATGAAGAACGCACAATAGATACAGAGGAGGTTCAAAATATAAAGTCGCGTGTAGAAGACCAGTCCCCAGAGTGCGAGAATCATCCGACACAGCGCTCGCTATCGTCGGCATACGAGGACAACCAAGGACAACCACCTCCTTCACCAGCTTATGAAGAGCACCAAACACAGAGAGCTGACTTGCCAATACATGAAGATCATGATTCCCAAAGATCTTTGCAACGACCGTTAGAATCGCATAACCAGAGTGGTGATGTACAACAGGGCCGTTTTTCCAGCGACCACACACCTATTGGAGAAGGTGCGCCACTCGTACATCCAATATCTGCATCGCACGTACGCTACCACCACCTTACCGATCCAATAGTAGCAGAAAACAATGCTGGAGTATGCTCATGCAGTATACTGCACGACCGGCCCGCAGCATGGCTAGCTAAAAAGAAGAACACACCACTATCGAGCCTTGCGGCAGCCGTACTAACCAAAGAAGGACTTTTGGAGGCCAAAGAGCTACGATTGTCAGTCAATTACCATCAACCCATGCTAGAAACATGAATCAGGCTAACGATGATGCAAGGATTACTAGAGATACGGACATGAAGCGTGACCCCACCGACCCCATATCTGGCGCCCTACTCGGCTGCTACGACGTTGTCGGTGGCATCATGCTGGGTCTCGCCGAAGGCCCTATCGAACTAGGCAAGCAAGCCAGTCCCTTGTTCCACGCCTCGCATTCGGCCAAAGAGTCTTCTTCCCAGACCGAAGAAGAGCCTAAATCCACTTCTGCGCCTTCAGCATCTTCTTCATCCTCAAAATCGAAACGCATACCCCATGCCGCTGGCAAAGTCGCGCTCGGCACGGCCAAGGGTCTCGGCCGCGTCGTAACAACCAGTCTAAAGAGCCCTGCGCTGATCATGCACGGCGTCACGAGGGGCTTCCACAACCTGCCCAAGACGTACGGCGAAGAAGTGCGGGTATACGAGGACGTGACGGGATTAAGAAGCGGTCTGCTGGTGAGCGCAAAAAGCTTTGGCCACGGCCTTGGCGATGGTATCCGTGATTTCGCTACCAAACCCATTGATGGCGCAGAAAAGAACGGCATCATTGGGTTTAGTGCGGGCCTCGTGACGGGGATTGCGAACCTCGCTTTCAAGCCTGCTGCTGGTTAGTTCTCTTTTTTTTTAAGTTGTGGCTCTTCTAGACTTTTGCTTGATTTGGATGGTTCTAACCTGGGAAAATTGTTTTAGGCGCTTGCGGGCTTATAGGGTACTCATCGGTGGGCGTGTATAAGGCGATTCAGAAGATTGGGGCGCCTAAGATTGAGGATCCAGCGGAGGCTATGAGGAAAGTAGGAGAAGCGGAGTATCAGCAGGTGAGTGATGCTGATAAATTGTTTATTGTAAGGCTTTGGTGCCAGATTCATATGCGCATACGGATAGATTAGGTTCTTGTCTAACTTCGAACATGTCGCAATGAAGCGGTACATATCGACCTATAGCTTCTTCTTCCTTATTCTTATGAAATATGGTCTAGGCCACTAGTCCTGTTGGTTCACTAAAAGTTTCGGAGGAGGGTCTGGCACATGCCCAGTTGAGACCGAAACGATTGAAGGGTGCCGAGCTTCCTAACTTTCATATCTAGATGTGGTAGATAAGAGCCGGTCGCGGTTTTGGTTATCTTGGCACACCCTGAGTTGTATATAGTCATCAACCCGGATTAAGATACATAATATATAAGCATGATCTGCTCGCCTCAACGCCTCTTAGGAAATGGAGGACTTTTCCTTGTGTTCCCAGAACGTTGATCTCGTTAGGTAATGACTAAGCTGCCATTTCTGTGTTTGATTAGTAGATGATGTCTTATTTTGGTCACGCAACGTACCACGACTGTCTGTGTTTCAAAGTACTCTGCCCAGCCTGGTTTCTCTGCAATGTCGACAACAACATCCCAAGGCCACTCTTCAGATTCGAGCTCGACAAGAGTAAAGTATCGGTGAAGACCCTTGCTATCCAAAAAAGTTCTCTTCTGATCCCTGTCCACAACGACTGCACGGTCGAGTTTGAAGAGACGAAAACGCAGCACATCAGGTGAGCTGGAAATGGTAGGTCCAACGACTTCGTAGTAATACTTCAAAACCTCCTCTTCTCTGGCCTCATCGATCGTCCATTCCATGGCTGCTATGCTTGCGATGTGTTCGATGTCTGGCAGCATTAGCCTGGGGTTGTGCTTCGTTCAGACTGATATTCTTACCCGCACTCCCGTTGCCTTCAAAATCTTCGTTCTGCCACCTTTTGACTTCTCGGTATGATCTGACGTCGAAGTTCACATGCTTGAGTGGACCACTCTTTGCCGCCTCCGGTAGGTCATTAGATGCGATATCGATTTCTCTGTTTGTCTGGGCAACATCTTTGACTTCGTAGACTGTAAGGAAGGGCCATGCCGCATCTAATTTTCCGACTGGCTCATGCTCCATACCGCTCGCGGTGACTTCGCAATGTATCGAGTGCTGAGCCTCTACGTTGCGCTGTTGCGGCAAAAATTCCGTCTCGTACCATTCCAACACTTCATCTGGCAGGCTTGCCCAGGCGCAGACAACACCTGACATTTTGCTCCAACTTGCTGCGGCGAGTGTGACGTAGAGAGTAGTGTGTATTCGATGCCGGTCCAAACGTGCGAACCGCTCCTCCGAATCCAGTGGTGGTAGTCGTGGGTTAAGCAGCGGGTAGCGGGAATAAATGGGAAGAGAACCAGGCAAGACAGATAGCATGCAACGTGACGCGGCTGGGACTAGTGAAGCTATGTATGCTGAAGCCCAAAGCACTATGCAGGATGATATCTGACGGCAGGCAGTAGTGGCCCGACCGCGATTTTCGCGACCAGACTATGTTAGCAGTATACGTAGCGGCGGTATGCTTGCCGTCAGCGAACCAATAGAAGCCAGCAGTGCTAAGTGTGATTGGCAGTGCAAGCCTCAGAGGCAAGTGAAGAAATTCTTGCTGGGCATGGGCTAACGTGCATGCATAGTAGGAGATCAACGCTCTCCACCACGAGTCGCCTCCCCTGACTCGGAGACACCCACAGTGCGCCTGAAGCGGGGATGTCCAAGACGTATGACAGGCCATACATGACTTGACCTGTATCCATGTGCGGAGCAAAGTCCATCGGAGATTTTGCGGATAATCTTGGTTGATGCATACCAGGTGACGGCGTGTAGACGTAAGAAAGTACTAGGCAAAATGGCAGCACCCAAAGGCACGTCTTGCACGGTGAGCCACAGCTGTATACGCCTTTTCGGGCCTAGCGTCGGTATCTTTTCGGCATGTGGCTGACCCCTGCATCTGAGGTCGCCTTAATGATGCTGCGCATCCTCTCCCGACACGTTGGCCACCTTGTCGTACTGCTTACTAGTATACACCAGACGATATCTCCCTTGATTCACCGTCTGCGAATGATTAAATCACCTTTCGGACCGGCCAAGGAGAAATGGTGCCTTGTACATCGGTCGGCTCAGTACGAACTGCGCGACCTTGCGCAGGAAATGCAGAAACTTCGCTCTCGTATTGTGTACTCATCATGCTTATCACGTCTGGAAAATGTGTCCAGGGTTTGAAATGAACAACACAGAAAGTTTCCGGATAACACTCGTACCACGTTAGGAGGGATGTTGCATCTATGCGTGCTTGATTGAGGTGGGCAGATCGGGACCACCGCCCCTGGTCTGACGGATTATATTATATACGTAGGATGCTCGTTGTCAAGATGAGGCATTGTTTTGCGGCGCCGCCAAGTGCCAATGAAGCCACTGGATCCAGCTCATTAAGCACGGCGCCTCAGTACGTATATTTTCCGGCATCGGTGGTACAATATGTGGCTTGAGAAGCCAATAAGAGACCGTAATGTCTCAAGGATCTCAACGAGGAAAGTTAAACGTTCACCTGGGCAGGGGTATATGTACTTAGCCTCAGTTCTATCCTTGACAGTTTCACAACAAGCGGTGAGTTCGAGATATTCTCCAACTCTGGAAGCGCCATGAGGTGAAAATCCGCATCATTGTGTTTGGTATTTGTGGATGAAGATATTGAAGATCAAATTCTTCCCCTAACCCTGACGGGCTTCTAGTAGGATATGTGGATACGCCAAGAGTTGGTGGCTTGCCATGCTAGATGATTTAGAGAATGTCGTACAGCATATAGTCTATGTGATCTACAGCTACCGAAACGTTACGATCGAGCTGCAGCATGCTGAATGTTGTTACGTACCATGCCCTCTGAAGCCGTACCTTGCAGTGGCTCACCATGGTGGTTTTACTACCATGATATGGATTTTATTTCTTGTAGTAATGGGAGCAACACTGACAAAAAGTACGTCCCAAGCCCGGTGAGGCTAGAAGTACCGATCATCTGTTGGTCAGCATGCGGACTTGAGAGGGTTGAATGTAGATGAAATATCCAATCGACCATAGGTGGATTATTGTATCTTACTCTTGATGAAGATGATGCTTGGCAAGATAAAGGCAACGAGCCACAATGCACACGTCGGACTCTCAGATCCAGACAAGCCGCGGGCCAACGAGATTTTCGTTACCAGTCTCCCATGTGCCTGCCTAGGGCTTGATTTTGCACTGTATTTACTGTTGAATTTTTTTTCCTGTAGAAACGAGAAGATTGAGCTCATATAGTATCCTGGCTTTGATGCGACACGATGCAGGTACTGTTCACGTGATATATCGTATCCACTCGCCACGTGAGTGCTGCGAAGGAACCATGATATACTTCACAAGTCCGTGAATATCCGGGACCAACACTCGACGCGTCCCCAACACGCAGCGTCATTCCAACAGGACGGTAGCTCACCTTTATCAACACATAATTGAAACATTTTTTTTTACAGCCGCCAACATGAGTACCAAGGAGGTTCCAACACTGACCCTCGCCGGCGCACGCGTCGCGCTCGAAGCTGCAGAGGCACGAGCCAAGGAAATCGAAGTCCCGATGAACATCGCCATTGTGGATAACGCCTGCCATCTTCTCGCATTCGCACGCATGGAAGGCGCTAAATTCACTTCAATCAACACTGCTATCGACAAGGCCTTTACTGCGGCTGGTCATCGCGCTCCAACTTCCATCTACAAAGACGTTGTCTGGCCCGGCGGTCCCGCTTTTGGCATCAACCACAGCAACGGAGGCCGATTTATGACGATTGCAGGTGGAGTTCCGATCAAGAAAGATGGGGTCGTTGTTGGAGCCATTGGATGTAGCACTGGGACGCCGAGTCAAGACGAGGATGTTGCGAGTAAGGGAGTGGAGGTTGTGGAGAAGAGCTTTGGGGTTAAGGCTAAACTTTAAGGAGCGCGCTACTTTTATCTTAGACGGAACTGATAGCTCAGGAGTGAACTACTTCTTCTCGCCTTTCCCCGACCTTTCCAAATGTATGGTTACATTGATTGCCAAGCTAAGCAGGGAGACGTTGATCACGGACTCACCTATTCAAGTGATGATAGTCATAAGCTACTGATTGCTACACTAGTCGAGATCTTCAGGTGCAAATCAGAATCTCGAAAGCACAACTGGATCGCCGTGGTAACTGACGTATAGTTTGCCATAACAGGACGTCTTGCCTTTACTTACGGACACCACTTGCTAATATACCAGAAAGCGAAACCCCATTCATCTCACCCCAGGCTTCACAGACAGTAGCCAGAGCAACAGCATTCAAACTTGGGTCAAAACCACTAAAAAGAAGCGTGTTACTCCCAATATTAAAACCCTAGCCCTCGAATGACACGCTTCAAGTCAGAACCGCACACTTTTCTATTGACAGCTTACTCATAAAACCGCGCTTCTCAGGCAGCCTCACATACAAGAAACAACTACAAAATAGCCCAAATACGTATAGCAAGCCTATAAACACTCGACTCTCTGCTACCACCCCATCCCTTACAAACCCCATTTCCACCATCCACTCAAACCCCTGCCCCAACAAACCCCGAATCTTCAAAATAGTCACCCCCGCCACACCCTACCCTTGTCAACTACCTCTCACTCAGCAAACCTTATGCCAAGCTCATCCTGATGTCCCCTAATATCCCCAACCCCTCCTTTTACCTCCAGGACTTCCCTTTCAGTAATATATCGGGGGTTCTTGGAGCGAAGGAACTCGGACACTGGGATGTTGGGCAAAGGCCCCATACAAGAGAGAGGACTTAAGGGAGAAGGGAGGGGAAAATGACCAGATAGTTATTGATCCTGCCGACTGAAGCATAGTAATATCTAAAATGACCTATTTATCCCACTCTTTACCTTTCCTTTTTGGGGCACTACACAATCTCATGTGCGAGACATTTGCGAACGGGCGACGTGGAATCCAGCAAGTAGAAAGAAGGAGAATCGTTGCATTTCCCATATCAAACGTAAAATATAGCTGGATGTACGCAATCTCGTACCATTACTCCTAGACCTCCACCCCCCCAACCCAGACATCGGTGTTTGGAAAGAAAGCGAGAAAAGAAAGGCTAACGGAGAGAAAGGACCCTCTAAGCATATTGGAGTGTGTCGACAGAGAGAAGAGGAGTCCCCTCGATCAATCCGAATGCCAATCACTCGCATTGCTCTCACCAAACTCACTCCTATAGCGCCTAGATGATGCAAAATAGCACAAAAAGTCAACAACAAACACACACACTCGCGAGTAGTATACAAAAAAAAGAGATCAACACGATAAAAGGAAAAGAGAAAGAAAGAAAGAAGGAAGAAAAGAACACTTACTCGTCCCTAGCACCATTCTCCGAGCTCTCACCCTGCAAGGCCAATTTACTCACATCAAGCTTCGCCAGCCCACTCTCACCAAGCGTATCATCACCCCACTTGCCCACACCACCACCAGGACCAACGCCGCCCTCAACCAACATCTTAAGCATATCCTTCAGCTCCGCGACTTCCTTCCTCAACGCGCGGACTTCAAGGACCGCAGTATCGAATTCAACATTGGGCTTGCAAGCCTGCACCTTCTTATCCCATCCATCAGCCTCAAAGTCGCAACCTTGGAGCACCTGCTCCCACTCCATCGTCACATCTTCATCGTCTTCACCACGACGCCTATTCTCCTTCACAAGCCAAGCTTCCTGCTGCTCGAGCATGGCAGTGATGAGGAGCAGCGGAGAGTAAATTACAGCCATGACCATATCATTGAGACGGTCGTAGCGTTTCTGGTCCATCCACCATTCAAAAGGGAGGATGAGAAAGACCATTTCAATAAGGTTAAAAGGGGCGATGAAGACGTTTTCGTCGGGGGCGCGCACGAATTGCATTGTTTTCTGGGAGAAGAGAGCCATGTATTCGTCGATGGCGGCCGAGGTGATATCTTCGTAGGCCGAGTTGTATAGGGCGATGAGGACGTTGAGGAGGATGACCATTACGACAAAGGTAAAAATGTAGTAGAGGATTATACCGAATGGAGGCTGTAGTGCACAGATTAGCTTTTTCGCAAGATGGGAAAGATTAGTAGAAAGTACTTACCGAGAAGTTATCAAAGCCTTCGAATTCAGGGGATTGCATGATGGCGTTGAGCATGGCCTGCATGATGAATATAGTGTCGTTCATCAGATCGTCGTCCAAGACGTCAAGACTGATAAAAGCCTGGAAGAAACCAATAATAACAACAAACAAGAGGAGGAAAAATATGAGTGATTCGCGCATCATAACCTTGAGCACAACCAACATGGCGCCAAAGAAACGTAGCGAATCGAGATAGAGCAAAAGACGTATCCAAAACATTGGGGCAGTAAAAGCCAGAAAGTCGTAGCTCAGCGTGTTGAGGTAGTCGCGTCTGCCATCCTCATCGGTGCTCCTGGGGTGCCCCAACGCAACAATGCGCAGAACAAACGAGATTGTAAGCAGGCCGTACATTGTGCAGTTGAACATGTTCCAAAAGGAAATGTAGTACCGGCCGACTTTCCAGAACTTGTTTGCCTCATCGCATATGAAGCCGAGGGTAAAGAGATACAGCAAGCACTCGACGATATCAAAGTCGCCCGAAGGATTGATAGTGTTGACAGCACCAGTGAAGAGGCCCAGGTAGATGATGGACATGGCAATCTGGACCCAGTTCTGGTACTTGGGCACTCGCATGCGGTCCGGGTCCAGATGGGCCCAGTAGCTAGTATTTGTCTTGTGGTCGTACGTAACAAAACGGCTTGGGTCCTCATCATCCTGGACGATCCATCCGCGCCACAGGTAATTGATACACTTTTGGTATCCCGACGATCCAATGACCGTCAAGGCGTGCAAATCGACCGCCTTTTCCACAGCGTTGGCGGGCACAGAAGGCTCGCCGTCGACCAGTGTCGAGTACCGCTTGAGCAGGACCTCTTCAAAGAGGTAGTTGATATCCTCTTCCTCCTCGATCAAGCGCTTTGCCATGACCTCGGCCGCCACAGCACGGACATGGTGGAGGTCGGCGTCCCACAGCTCGGCCTTTGCTTGTGCGCTGAACCACTTCTTGACATGCAGCAAGCAGTATACGACACAGGCACCGTGCTCGGGAGCTCCCGCCTCGCGCGCCGTCTTCAGCACGGCATCGGTTATGATCTGGCTATGGGCGCGCGTGACCTGGTCCTCCTCGAGCTCGCAGGGAATAACCTGTTCAATCTGATGTTTCAATCGCAGGGCCACTATCGTGACGTCTTTGGGATCAATGGGCGGGGGCGGCATATGGCGTTCGCGGTGGGCGGTCGGCAGCACTGGCACATGTTAGCTGTGTATTCTCCACCCGGGGCCGCAGTCCAAAAGCTCTCGTACGCGCGCTCGTCTCATCATGCACCCTGTGTCTCCTATCGTGGCCCTCGTTGGAGCTGAACAGCTCGCCCCACCTGACCATTGTTGTGGCAGGTATTAACTGGGATATCAAGCTTGCGATGCGTATCCTTGGCCCGAGGTGGAGAGAAAGCCCCGTCGAATTGCTCCAAGAAGTGCGGAACAAAAAAGAATAAGCGGTAACAAAGAGCGACAGCAAAGCACCTGACAAGATAGCAGCAATGCTTGGTCCAACAAGGATTGCGCCGGCTAGCGTTTGGCTGCAAAGGCGCCAAAAAGCTGGATTGACAACGCTTGCAAACCCACATGGCAGCGTCATGGCGTCCATCTCCCGCCCACTCCACACCCATACGCGGCCCAAGCTCCTCTTCTGCCTTCTTCTCCGCCCCTCTCCGCACCTAAACGCAGCGCCTTGTCATTCTTGGATCTTGGATTCGCTTTTGATTAGAGGTCTTCTTGAATTGATTTCTTTCTTTCGTTCTTTCGTTCTTCTTCTCATACACTTAATCCCCTCTTCTCCAAAGAAATAGCTGGAAAACAGGTACCAGACAGGACGGATGCTATACATACATTGTGGATGCTCTCGCAAAACGCTGGAATCCCTTTGTATCATCGACGCCTCCAACGCCGGTGGTCGCTTTTTGACCCTTGCTTTCTCATCGTGATCATCATTGCTCGTACCAAATCATTCTCCTGCCCTCCAAGCCCGCTTAATCAGCCTCGGCAACACCACCCTCGTCGCTCGTGCTTTCGTCCTCGTCACCGCTAACCTCCTGGTTCTCACGCTCGCGCTTCTCCATGAGCGCTGCCAGCTCCGCATCGTCGTTCTCCGTAACCGCCTTGGGCGCCATCTTGACCTGGCAGTCGCCGCCTGCTTTTGAAATGTTCTCCTTGATGTCCAGGATGGCTTGTTCGAGGCACGCGATACCTGCACTCTTGTCCAGACATTGCGAAGTGAGGACTGCCAACATGTTAGTAACTGCTCTGATACCTGCGAAAATATCCTCAAACATACCGTAGAGAGGTGGCGACACCAGCTTGACCTTGACCTGGTTCTCGGGTGTGTTCTTGGCCTCTGCACATCGCAGAGCCTCCTTGACAGCATCAATACCCTCGTATCCGAAGCACGTAACTGTAAAAAATCAGCAACATATCCACAACTCATAATCTCTATCCACATACCCTCGATATCCGAGCGGACCTTGGTAGGTTGTGGTGTCAACCTCTTGCCAATATAGCTCTGCAGCTCCTCCTTGACAACCTCATTGGGGAACGTAACATCATTCCAGACCTCCGGGTTGGTAATGCTCAGCTTGAATGCATCAATCGAGTGTCCGTACTTCTTGTTCAGTGGCCATCCAATCGTCTGGTAGATCTCCTCAATCGGCGTCTGCGTCTTCTCCGCAACGTGGCGCATGATGCTGTGCACCATCTTGGACTTGTTGTACCGCTCCTCGCACTTAACGATGTCCTCGGGAGACACTCGGCGCTTTGACAAGTCAATGTAGCCCTTGTCCTTGTCCACACGCAGTACGACGACGACTTCGTTGCGGCCCACGCGAATCAGCTTTTGGATCGATCGGATACGTCGTCGCGACAGTTCAGAGAGAAGAATCATGCCGTCAATGTTGTCTAAGTTGTATCAGTTAGGGCTTCGTTCGCTTGCACTGTTTGTGGTTCTTGAAGGCCTACCATATTCCAGTAGCTTTACGTATGCACCCATCTCGGCAATTTGCTTGACATTGACCATGACGAAGCTCTCCACCTCGGGGTACTTCTCCTCGTAAAACCGACAATTCGTGAGCGACATGTTGAATATGTTTCTTTTGATCGTCTTTTGATGTATGGATGGGTTGGGTTGGGTTTGGTGAGGGACCGTGGGTTGTTTCGCTCGATCGCTCGCTTCGTGTGTGGTATCGATTTTTCCCTTTTAAGCCTAAGGTGGTAGGTGAGGTCCAAGAGTAGTTTTTACTTTCAACGGGAAAGCAAAAGTGGCAAAGTCGTGTGCAAAGTGGACCGTCGCCGACGTTGGGCAAAGTGACTCAAAGATTTGCCCAACCCACTGTGTGAGACCTTCGCCCCGCCGCTCACGCGTGGGGCAAACAACGCTAGGCTGGTTTGGGAAAGATAGTGTGTAGTCGACGTCGCTTGCCTATGTGATGGACTTGAGCGAGTGCAACAACCGAAAAAAGTAATAGACGGAATGGGAGGTGAGAAAATAATCACTCGGCATTCATTGATCGTGTCAATGGGATCATGGAATCACAACTTGTCACTCCTTTCTTTATGCAAGTATCTACTACAAGACCATATCACCCTCATATCCTCGATCCATTCCCTATCGAACGAAGAAGACTCATCTAGCCATTACCACCAAACTTCCATTAATCTCCTTCCTTGTCATCAGTAAGATCGGAAATCAGCATACAGGACCCTAAATATACCCTCCCATCTAAGCCCCCCAAAGCGCCAAGACGACACCTCCAACAAGCACAATACCAGCTACATTCTTAGCATCCGTAGCAGCGTTGAACTTAGGCGAGGTATAAGGAGGCGAATAAGAAGCACTAGGCGGCGAACCCGTTCCCGTAAGGAGCACGGTGCTGGAGTTAGCGTGATGCGAGTGCGAGAAGATAAGCGTAGGCGTAGCCACGGGAACCGTCGAGTTGACAGGAACATTGTAAGGCGGCTTAGTTGTAGAGGTAACGGTTTTGGTTTCGTGCAAGATAGCAGTTGAGATAGTCTGTATTATCAGTAACCAGATCAATCAACAGCGCGACGGTGGAGTGTGTGTAAACAGAATATGTGACTTACAGTCGATTTAACCGGGATGAAGGAGACTTGGACAGTCTTGTCGAGACCAGAAGTAACAGCAGAAGAGTGAGCGGTCGTGCTAGGGATCGCAGTCACAGTCACCGTGGTGGGAGGCGCAACTTGAGTCACTGTCGTCGTGTCGCACGTCTTGCTGTGCGCGTCCGCCAAGCCAGAGACGAAGGTGACGGATGTGATGAGGTGGATCGACGTGACTGCGGGAGCGGCTCCAGAGGATAACGCGGTGCTGGCAACGGCGACGTTAATGAGCGCCGTAGCGGCGAGGACGAGGGACTTGAGCATAGCCATTGCGGTTAGTCGGTAGTGGGTCTGAACGAGTGTGGTTGAAGACTGAGAGTAGACTTGTGATATTAACGAGAGTAACTTTGGTGGAAGTAGAGAGAAGCAGAGGTTGTGGTCTACCGCTGCGGGATATTTGTCGTCGAGGGGGGCGTTTGTTGTGTGGGGTGGACCGTGCGGTAGTGTAGTGAAAGTGAAGGCAAAGACTGCTGAAACCTGTTGCGCGATAAACTCGGAGAATAGAAGAGTGATAGAGGATCTTCCAGTCGTTCGAGGTGTTGCACAGTGAGGGCGATGGGCTGGACATGAAATGGTCGTTCACTTAAACTAAGTACCAAGGCTACCAGCAGTATAGCACATCAGGAGTGCCTACACTTCTCGAGCGCAGCAAGTTGAGCTTTAAGTAACAGATATGGTATTACTAGCTATTAAACAGTGTCAGTAAACGCTAAATATGCTCAACATGAATGCTACCCATCATCAAAACGCCAATGCCCTCCACCATACAACAATATTCCAGCGTACATATGATACAAGCATCCTGCATTACCTCGGAACCCACTTTGGTGCTCTGCGCCGTAACACGCTAATTAACATCCTAACCCCATATCGCTCACTGGATGCTCTCTTCTAGTCTAAAGTCTGGGGCACTCCCCTGCACTCTCTCAATCTCATTCTGAATTGCCAGCACCCAATGGTCGCGCTCTGCACGTGACCGAGCCCTAAAAACCACGCTACGACCTTTGCTCCCCAGCTTGGCCACCCTCTTCAACTTGGTCCTCTTTCCTTCTTTTCGATTCTGTTCACCGCCCCCGGCGCCCTCTTCGGCGCGGAACCAACTCTTGGCTTTTCCATGCCAGATGACAAACGTCGTCATGACATCTTCGTCAGTTGATGTCCAGCCGTCTTCGAGGTAGATGCGCGGAAGTGCGTGGTGCCCTGGCTTGTTCGCATCAAAAGTTTGATTTTGATATAGCAAATCGTTCTCGGTGAGAAGACCAGAGTAGATGTAGCAGTCTTTGAGGTCCAGATTAGCCATTCGCTCATGGTGTATATGCGCGAGTTGTTTTCCACTTCTGCTTCGCAGTACATCACGGAAGATGAGAAGTGTACCAGCAGTGAGCAGGACGCTGCACCGTGTAAAGGGGGCATGTATACGAGGCTTGCGGTAGAGCATTCCGCTCATGTGAATAGGTCGGCAGCAAGCGATGCCACACATGTTGTAAAGCTCAGGCGAAGCAAAGGACTGCGTTACCTCCCACTTGCGAGCGAATTGACCAACATGCGCTTCAGTTTCTTCGTCAATTCTAAGGGCACTAAGGTTGCGACTGCGTGTAGATTTGTAGAGAGCAATATCAGACGCAGTGCGATGCTTCCAGTACTTGACAAGGGCACGGAGATGCTGTACCCACTCTTTTCGACGGGCTTTATTCGCAGCCTGATGATCACGTTAGCACAGCACACAAATAAACACTGAACAGACACATACCTGTAGACGAATGATGAGGCCATTCTTCATGACAAGCTCAAGGGTACGATCAAGATCCAGGTCATTAGTCACCCCGTCGTTGTTCATAGAGTCATCAATGTCTTCGTCAAAGTCCACATCCGAGCCTTCCTCAAGGTCCTCGTCAGCAGCACTAGCGCCCAATCGGGCTTTGCGGACTTTGACAACGTCAATCAGGTTAATGTAACCGTCGCAATCGAGGAGATTTTGTTCTTTGCGCTCAGCCTCATCTGCTGCATCCTCATCGTGCAGCCGCCTGGCCTCGGTTGTCCCAGAGTGACCCTCCATAAGCCATTCAATCTGACCATGCTGTAGGTTGTATGGGTTTACTGCCCAGCTTTCTGGTACCGCGTCTCTAACTGCATCCGCTGTTGGTACTGCTGCGTTCTCTGAAGCAGGTAGCTTTGGTGGCGGTGGCGGAGTCACTTTGGTCGGGCGAGAAAAGACTAAGTACTGGTCATGACTAGCAAAGTACAGTTGCTTGTGGTACATGAGCCCTAGGCGCTTAGACCGACCCCGTTGTCCAGTAAGTCGAATGAGGAAGCCTTCAACCGGGACTGGTTCGGTCAGCGTCTTGTGCTTCTTTCGCGTAATGGCAGTCGTGGGGTAATGTGTCTTGGGTCGCAGCTCTAGCTCATGTGATTTGAGCATGGCAATGGTGCCATACATCTTGCGTTCATTGGCCCCGTGTATCCATTCAAGCCGGTCATAGCGCTTCCAGGCAAGACCAATGCGCTGGTCTTTCATCCATGATGCTAGGACGTCGGCCCATTGCGGTTCGTCTTCCAGTTGATCCAGACAGCGTCGTATGAGATTCTCTGCAACAGCCTCCTCTTCTTGCATAGTTTCTAGGAGAGCCTCTTCGGTGTTATCTGCGGAGTGTACTTTGTTCTGAGAGGATTCTAGCTGCGCAAAAGGATTTGCTATGCTCACACTTAGGCTCATGTCGGGTATATTGATTTGAAGTTCAAAGGCGCGTTGCCAACCAAGTATGTTCCTGATGAAGGTATACCATTCGGCAGCGCTTGAGGAAGTGCGAGCTTGCATGATAAAGATCAAGGTCTCGGGACGTCTTGGCGTTGAGACGACCACAGTCTTGTCGAGCGCAGAATATAGATTGGCCTTGCTGGTCTTGTGACTGAGTGGAATTTCATATGCTGCCTTTTTGCTCGCGCCTGCATTTTCGATTTCTGGAATGACTCGAGTCTGGTAGAATTGCAGCACAAAATCAGCGCCATCAACGTGGCTGTGGCGGCAGACAACCATGTACTCGCGCCACTTGTTCTTGACGCGAGACACGACTTTTTGGCTGACGTTCTCATCAAAATCTTCCGGAACCTCTGCTGCAGCATCGACACGAACAAGCATGCGCTCCATCTTGACAACGAGCCCCTCTTTGATATGCTTTCGCCGAACCCTGTTACCTGCTCGCTGGACTGTCATCTGCGCCTTCTTGGCTTTGAGGTGGACGGCTGCACGCCTCGAATTTTCCGGGACATCGAATTTGACCAGATTTCGCACAGCAGACTTCTTGCGCGTCAATTCTCCTGGTGAGACGTCTGTATCCCGTGCTTGCCCAGAGGAAGAAGACAGAATTTCGGACTTCCTTCTGACCCTGGCCAGTATGCCTTTGGCGGGTGGGTTTGGATCGATGTCAGCGAGAGCGGTTGCCTTGTTAGTGTCAGCGTTGGGTAACAGAGACGACGTTGAATTAGCATCTACAGAAGCAGCTCCAGTGGTTGACGCAGGATGTCCATGGCTCTCTATGCTGAGTAGCGGGCGCTTACCCAGCGACTTTGATCCTGGCTCGCTTCCGTTCGAAGGGACTTGTAAACCGTTTTGCTCTACCGGGTGCTGTTCCTCCTGCTGAGGGTCTTGGTCTTCTGTGATTTCGCTATTTTCTGGCTCTGTTATTGGTATAGAGGACGCAGTGACAAATGTCTTTTCGCTTGACCGTCGTGTTGTCAGTGGCGGGGTGCGGATGTCTTGGTTGTGGTCATGGTGGGCGTCATCGTCATCGCTGTCCCCGTCTTCGTCCTCAGGCTCAGAAGCCGCGTCAACCCAGTGCTCTTCTTCCGCTTCCGTCACCACATCCTCCTTCTTGTCTGAACTGCGGGGTATTTGCAAAGCAGGTGGTGATGCCGCAGTCGCCGCAGCTTTTCCATTTGCGCCGCTTGCTTCAGACGACTGCACGTCCCCCTTCGGTCCTCCTTCTCGTTCCCTTGTCTCTTCCTCCTCGGCGTCGAGATCTTGGGGCTGGGGGAAGCTGTGCTGGAAGAGGGCGGAAGAACTAGGGCCTTCAAGGCCGCTTAGTCGTCGCTGGCGAGCGTCGCTGGGGTCCGAGGAAAAGGTTCCAGCGCGGGTCGAGTAGTTGATGCGCAGATGGTGCTTGTACCAGTCGCGTCGATGCTTGTTCAGCCATGCTGTCTAGGCGGAGTGTTAATCTCTGCAGGACACCGCCGGGGCAGGCTGCTGGGGAGAGGGCATACCGGGATAGGACCGATGAAGTAGCGCCTCGAGGTGAGGTGAAGGTGTTCAGGCGTGGCATGTTGCTAATTCTCGTACTCAGCCTGTGGCCTGCATAACATGGCAGGGATTGCATACCAATCTCTGCGCAGTATACGAGTCTGGCGGCAGGTTGGCCACCTTAGGCTTGTGCCATGAGTGTCGCTCCTGGGTGGGCATTGGACGTGGTCTCCTATCTCGACTGGGCTGCTGGGGGTGCGCTGATTCAGAATCACGGTAGGCAACTTGGACGCGACATGGAGCTTCAAACAGAGTACATTCAGCAAAAAGGAAAAAAAGATGATGCAAGATACACCTGCTTTTCACGTCTGCAGCTTCACATGGGGAGGGAGTGGCAGCCGCAAGGCTAGCGGGTACGCGACTAGGGAACAAGCAGCAAGGCGGGTTTTGGGCCATCGTCATCGCCAGAGCACCCCGGTGTCAATCATCATCTGTGCCTCTAGCCTGTTTGGCCTCGACCCCAACAACCACTCAACCATTATCAAAAGTCAGCAACACAAAAAGGACCATTCCTCAGTATCTTCTGCACAAAGGCTAGCGCTGCGACAAATATGGCAGTGCAATTGAAATGCACTGGGCGGCATAGACCGTTTGTTCACCCCGCCCTTGGTGCCTACCCCACAGCATAATCTGGTTCCAATTCAACCAAGCGAACCAACATCTGGCAAGCTCTAACCAGATTCCATGTTAAACTTTGGAGCATAGTATCGCTCAGATGTACTTATGTAGGCGTTTGATACAAGAAAGTGCATGCCAGGCCAAGCCTTTACCCAACCCCTATCTAGGCTCCTCCCATTTGCCAAGTTAGATCTTGGTACTCTCGCAGGTTTTTCCGTCCAGCTACATGCGCCCTAGGCAGAGTTGTATCAATCAACCCAGTAGCTCCAAGCATTTCGCATTGAACAGTTCTGATACTTCATCAGCAAGATTTCCTCAAAAACTGGAATAGAAATTGGAACTTACACAACTCAAGCGGTCCTGACAAATCACACGACCAAGTTGTGTTCCATTGGTGTTACAATCAGGTCTGGCCTTACATTTACTCGCACTATGACCCAACGAGAGATGGTCCCTTTCTTTGCTTTTTCTCCAAGACCTCGTACTCGCGCACGGTCCCACGAGTCCTTTTCGCTGGCCTCGACAAACTCAAAAACTGATGCAACTCACATGCGACATCTAGCCGGCAGCAATCTATTTCAGGGCGCTAACGACACTCAGCCCGGCAGCTTCACATCTCAACATACCTGTTACGGCAATTCTCCTAACATCTGTTGATTCTTGTCTCGGATGATCTCCTTCGTGGCGCATGCTTGCGAGGGTCTTCCCAGTAACCACGTTGTCACCGCTGCCTTGTGCATCCGTGCTCTATAGCAAAGGAATCATGATCCTGCATTCCATCTGACTAATATTTCTATTCCTTTGCTGATAAGGGATACGTTGTTGTCCACAGCTAGAACCTACATGATGCAGGCCACAGCTTTCTATGTGGCGCTCAAATCCCTCCTCTCGAACCTGCACACCACATCCGTCTGCACATTGAAGGAGCAATTGTGAACCTTCCAAGGCCGGTTATGTGCCATTTCAAAAGTAAATCGGCGCAATGTCTCTGCTGTTACTTTGTAGATCTGTGTCAGGGCAAGCTATGCACTGTCAGCGCGGGCGTCTGATAGCCACGTCCAGAGCCACTTACCGGTTTGCCAACACACGTCCGCGTCCCAGCCCCCCATGCTAAGATTGCCCTGTCCATTGCCCGTGTGCGTTCTTCGCTCTCAAGCCATCGCTCGGGTTTAAACTCGAGTGCGTCCTCTCCAAAAACACCAGTGTCATGTTGGACAATCGCCGGATTCATGCCCACAGTATAGCCCCCTGGAATATACTTGTCACAAAGCGTAAGACCCTGACTAGGCGCATACCGAGGCATCGACACCGAAAATGCGGGGAACAGTCGCCCGGCTTCTTTCACCACCGCTGTCAGGTACGGGAGTGTGGATGCCTGACTGTATTGCACGGGCGATGAAAGACGGCCATCTTCAAAAGCTGTATCGACTTCTGCACGCGCTTTCTCAAGCTTCTCAGGATTCTTCATCAGGAAATACATTACCGAGCGCATGTTTATCGATGTGCTGTCTGCGCCGGCCATGCTACGCTTCGTCAGCACAATATGTCGTACTTCTATGCCAAGAACACGTACATTCCTACCCACATGTCGGACGTGATTTCCTTGTGCGAGTAGTTTACTTTCTCACCCTTTTCTTGAACAATTGCTAAAAGCTGAGAGACTGCATCAGGCCGCTTTCCCGTCACCTCGAGAGACCGCTCAGTCGCTATCTTGGTCTCTTTGATCGCCGTCTTCTTGATATCCTCCACCGCCAGCACAGCTCTGAGCAGTCTCGGAATGCAGACAGCAACCAGAAGTAGAAAGGGCCGTGCATAGTACGGCGTCACCGTCAAGAGCGTAAGAAAAGGCATTGCGAGATGTACGGCATGAATGTAGCCGTTGTAGTCAACGCTATCACGCACAAAACCAAATGCTTGGCCGAAGAATGCCACTCCAATGTTATCAAATGAGTACCTATACATTCATACTAATTAGCAAACACAGCATTTCGGTTTTCAGTAATGTAACCAAAACTCACATCTCCAACCAAAGCCCAAAATCAAACGCCTCCCCCCTCTCCGCAAAACCCCCCAACCTCTGCATAAAAAGCTCCAGCATCTCATCCAACATCGCCTCACTCTTCAAAATACTAGACAGCGAATACACGCCCCCTACAATCCGCCTATACGCCGCATGCGCCCTTTCATCCGTCTGCGTAAACAAGTCCGGCTGTGAGCCCAGTCCCTTTGGCCGCCACGGCACATACCAATCCGTTTTTTGCAAGGCTTTTTGAACGGTATAGATGAGGGGCAGCGCGCTTGGATCCGCGACTGTGACTTCGTCTGGCGCAATGCGTACAATGGGGCCATACCGTGTGTGTAGGGCCCGCGTTGCGATGTCTATATCACCGGTGTGGTGGTGGTACATGAGCCATGTTCGCGATAGGCGCGGCCAGAGGGGGCCGGGGATACGAGATAATGGGTGCAGGGTTAGGGTGTAGAGGGTCCAGAGGAGGATGTACGTTATGAGGAGAAGGTGGAGGTAGGTGAGAAAGAAGGAGGGGATATCAATGGGACTTGGAAACATCACTGAAGGTATGGTCATGGTGTCTTGTGCAGTTTCTCATTCTTTTGCAAGGAGAACAGAGAGGAGAAGACTAGCAGTGGAGACTTCGGATTTGCTTTTATTCGGCTATGTGGATGGAGCGAAGGAATACATGCATCTTGTAGCTCCCATTTTCCATCCGCTAACGAGCGGCTCTTGCACTGATTCTGGACATTCGGTCCGGGATGCACCAGAATCACCAATATTAGCTTGGGAATAAGCATCGTTGGATGATAATGCTTGTTGCTTCTGCAAGTTAGAATGAACTACAGAGGAGGGAGAGATGTGAGTTGTGAGACTCGAGGGTGATGTCGCGAGGCGAGTAAGTCTTTGAGATGACATCATGGTGCACCAAGCTACATATGGCTCATCGATACGACTTTCTATATTACTCTCTTCTGAACCGACATACATACTTCAAGAATGTGCTTCATCGTGAGCCGCAGTCTCTTATACTAATAGCGTTTGGAATAAACAGGAAACGCACATGCCCAACCCTCAAAGAATCTCAACAAAATAAAATAAAAGCCTCGCCTCTGGAGAAGTAAAGAAACCCTTCGTGATTTCACTCGTGTACAAGCTTTTAGGGTCTTCTTGATATCGCACATCAATGCTAACAGACAATCCCGCTTCATCGGATGCTTCCTGAAAGAGCTGTCGCAGTGTCTCCGCCGAGTGAATGTAACGTTCCACATGTATGCCGGCAGGAACCAGTGGAGGTGGAACAGGGACCGAATGACCTTGTAGGCCGCCGGTAAGCAATCCCGCTATCCAGCTACCTTTTCCGCGTGCCAATCGGAACATGAGATTCACTACTTGCTTTTGTTTTGCCCAGTCGAAAGCATGCAACAGCTGCGCCGAAGTCACGATGTCCCAAGAGCCTCTGGTCGTGTCAAGGACACCAGCTTCTTCCTCGCCAAAGATATCTGCAGTTTTGAAGCATGATTTGGTGATTGCGTGGTCTTGAAATAGTTCGTGGCCGACAGTCAAGAATTGCGGAAACTTATCTACTCCCAGAAGCTGATCAGGCGACGCACCATCGTATATCAGCTTACGTATATCTTGACCAAGACAGGTCCCTAGATCGATCAAGGTCGGCCGGGGACTGTCATTACCAAGTGTCAGTCGTTTGACAATACGATTGTACATTGGATGCTCAGCGAGCCCAAGGACAAGAAACCAGAATTCGCCAATTGTTCCGATCGGCAGGGCTTCAAAGGCTGCGTCACGCTGAGTTACTTCCATTAGCATGTCTTGTGATAACAAGTGTAGTACTTACAACCCGGTGGATATGTTCTTCTTGAATATATCGTAGAATGCCCCCGTACTCTTCCAACAACGTTTGCATCGATTCGTTGAGCTTGTTACCTATTTCCGGCGTATACCACGGCAACTTCTTCAGTTCGCTCATATCGCGAGTACCTTTGGAAGTGGAGTGAAGACTGTTCTTCGCATGATGTGATGCCATATTTCGTTCGAGCGCCATCAGTTCCAATTTCCAGACAAAAGCACAGCTCAGCAGCCAAGCAATCGAAGCCAACGTCCAAGTAGTCGGGCGGTCTTGTAACGATTTCAAGAAATCTTCGTTTGTGGTGTTCATGGCAAAAATGGGGGTTGAAACGCTTGGAGAGGAGAAGTGGCGACGAAAGACTGCCGCTGGCGATCACCTCGAGTATGCAGTATATGCGGGCTTGGTCATCACTGCACAAAGCACAAGTCCGGTCATTATTGTCTCATTTTTCCATCACCATACAGCGTCATGAGTTTGTCTCTTCCAAGGAATAGGCATTGGAGCCTGGCGTGGGGGCCAACACGAGATTCAGCCAGTTCACTGATAGGAAGTATTTTAGGACTGAACATGATTCGACTGCGATTCTGCCTTTGAAATCAGCCTTGTGTCTCCTCATACGGTCCCAGTGCTGTGGTAACACTTGCAGGTGGTGTTACAACCTACAGTACCTCCTGCAGCTGCCTAATGGACACAGGGATCTCGCGTATTCTGCCACAACGAGGACATCTCCCGTTATGCAGGGTAAGGATTATACGGCGCTAGACAGACGTACGTGGCTGAGCGCACACAAGAACCAATGCCGAAATGAATTCTGTCTGTCTCTGTGCAGCCCTATTTCAGGCATCGATAACACAAGATCGAATAAGATCAGGGTACTGAATTATCACCCCCAGTATCATCCGACAGTTCACGGGCATGAAGAGAAAAGTTTGTAACCAAGTATAGACTACATGTCACAGCTATCATCTCATTCAACTCAGCTCACTGCCCCTGCTTGTCGCCTTCGAATACGAAAAGGTGCTTTGGCTGCAGGCTTACTGACTCCTGTGCCAAAGTAACTCGACTTGACCAGTATCTCACACTGGGGGTCGCACAATTCAATGTCAAATAGAGATGCCAATACAGCCGTCACAATGAATGTCTCTGCTTTTGCCAACTTGCGACCAGGACACATTTGCGCACCGCCACCAAACGGAACGTATATGCCGTCAAGCCCTTTTGCGGAAAATTCCATTTGGGCGGACTCCCAGGACGTGGGGTAAGTGTTTGGCGGCTGTTTTCCTGATGGATCGACAGAGGGAGAGGCATCTGCATTAAGCTTACATGTGCCCCTCTCCGGACCGTTACTGGACATATCAATTGGCATTTTGAGAAAACGCTCCGGCACAAAGTCTGTCAGTGGGCGTGCCGATGCAGCATGGCTATTCGTCTTCCATAGCGCAGCATCCATATGCGGCACAGATGAGCAAGTGAGTAAGACACTGCCGGCAGGGATCGACCACTCATTTATCTCCATGTCGCGAGTGTCGACGAATCTGGTAATAAATATGTGGGTCCGCAAACGGAGCGTCTCTGCAAAACAGGCTTGGAGATATGGCTGAGTGAGTAGGGCCGATAAGTCGATATCAGGTAGTGGTGTGCCTTGAATTGCATGGCTGCCGTTGATGTTGTGGCTGCTGGTGCTAGGTCCTGCATTCAAGCATTCAGCTCGGATACGCCTCAGCCGTTCCCGAGAACGGAAGATCTCGACATTCAGCCAATAAATGGCGGAGATGGTGTTGGAATTCGAACTAGGAGGGTGGTCAGCAATGGAGCAAAGACAGCCAAAAAAGAGTGGGGTCTGCAATCGCCATCACACGGCGCTTAAAAGCCATTTTTCCCTTGTCTCGCAATCAGAAGACTGGAGAAACTTACGCCCATATCAAGCCTAGATCTGACGCCGCGATCGCTTGCACAGACCACCCATCGACTTCGAGCAGATCCATCTTTGCCATCATCGACGGCGAGGCGTTATCCGCCTCGTCGCCATGACTCCCCTGCTGCCGCTGCTGCCGTCGCTCCAGTAACACCCTCCGCCACTCCACCAGACTCCCCAGCAACTTATCCCTAACCCTATACGCCCCCGGAAAAAGCCAAGCAGGCGCCCCTTTGGTGATAGCAGGCACCCACTCATCAAACGCCCAAAATTTCCTCACAAACTCCCCGTCCACCTCCTCCACAAGTACCTTCCCACACAAGGCCTCAATCGCAGCAGGCGTAACCTCCCTCGTAAGAAACGCCCAGAAATCCTCTTCTTCAACCCACTCTTCCTCGTCCTTCATGTCCTCCCATATCCGCATCATCCTCTTTTCAAACGCATCCCTGAATCGCTCAATTACACCTGCTACTTCACTCCCTTGCAGCATATCCAGCAGAATCTTCCTATCTCTATAGCAAATCCTATTCTTTCCCTCTACACGCGAGTTTGGCAAGGGAGTAGCGGCATACCCCGAGTCATCCTGCTGAAAGAGTTGCGCAGCGCGCTTAGGCATGCCGAAGAGTTGGCTTGCAATGAAAGTCTGAGCGTGGGAGGGATTCGTGTGCGAACTGGATTTTAGCAAGCGCCGGATGTTGGGGGTGCCTTGGATTAAAATTGGGTTTGTGCCGGGGAGGTGGAGGCGGACTGGGTGGCTGATTGTGTTAGTTCGATATGAGCGTGACTTGATGTGAGGGAAGTGTAGGGAGTGAGCGCATACGTGATTCCTACCAGCAAAGCATACGGATCTGTGAGGAAATGTAGTGCATGTCCGATAAAGGGGAGTCTGTACGAGAGCCATGGTGGTGTCTTTTTCTGGCTAGATTTTTGGATGAGGGCGGTAGAGGATAGGAAGTAGTGGGTAAGTAGCAACACAGCTGTAATAAAAAAGTATACAAACAACGCCATTATCACTTTTCTCTTCGTGGATATCGATGTATCAAATAAGCATTGCTGTGTACTCTATGCTAGAACTATCGTTGCTTCGGGATCAACCCCAACTTTTATATCTGAGCACCGCCCTGGGGGCTGGCGGTATCTCAACCGAAGATAGACGGGGGGTTATTGGATCGGGAATCGGGAGGGGGGAGTGAAGGGTGTGATGCAGTGCCATGTTTACGTCAGAAATTTACCCATTTTTCGCTGTACACGGTATGAGACAGGGTTTTATTGGTTGGTGGGATAAGTAGGCATATAAGACAAGTGATGCTCGTATCAAGGGGTGTGTGTGTGCGATGAAGTCATCACGTTAGTACACTGGAAACGTGTACGAAGGAGGCAGCAATGCAAGGAACTTGGATCTCATTGGTATACATACAACTATCCTTTTTAGAGTATAGTGTTATTTTTAGATAGCAGTGGGATGGAAAATGGAATACAGTGATCTACTGCACACCGGAAAATGAACCACAGTGTCATACGAGCTGCAGCCTACGCAGTCTTACCCCCTTTCTCGGCTTTGATTTTCGGCACTGCCCATTCAATCGCCTTTTCCCAGCCCTGCCTATTGTTGAATTTAGGCTTGTAGCCGAGTCTCGTTTTGATCTTATCGATGCACAGTGTTCGCTCCATAGTCAGGAGACGTACAACCCAGGGCGTGAGCTTGGGCTGCTTGCGGCCGAGGGAGAAGATCCAGTAGAGCCAGGAGCCCAAAAAGGCGAAAGTCTTCATGAACCAGATGGGAATATTCCTGACTTGATCGTCTGGGACGGGGGAGCCGAGGAGCTCGGAGACGAGGCGGGAGAGGTTCCAGAAGGGGATGTGCTCGTCGTTTGTGACGAAGAAGGCTTCGCCTTCGATTTTCTTGTCTGCGGGGAGTGGTGCAGATGTAGAAGCTTCAAGGAGCGCTTTTACGATGAGTGTCTGGGCGTAAGTGCAGTTCTCCACGTAGCATGTATCGTAGAGGTACGATTTGTCACCGAAGCGGATGTTGGCGCGGCCAGTGAGAGCTTGCTTGGTGACGTTTGTGGTCATTTGGCCATCACCGGGGCCGTACAGTGCGGCAGGCCGGATGACTGCTGTCAACATGCCATTTTGGCGGTTTGCAGCGAGCACGAGCTTCTCAGCGAGTGCTTTGGTGTGCGAATAGTATTCTGGCTGGTCGGGAGAGAAGAGTACGGGCAAGGCTTCAGTTGCTTCAATCATGGGCTGGCGCTGGTTGTGTACAACTGATGAGCTGGATGTGTATAGGAACGCGCGGACAGTACCGACGGCTTTGGCACATTCGACTATGTTTTCTGTTCCGACTATGTTCACCTTTTCCAGAATCGAGTGGTTGACTTCGAATGGGCTGGGCGAAATCGTGTGAAGGACGACTTGAGGTTTGACTTGCTCGAAGATCTTGGCTATCTCGTCGCGCTGGAGGATGTTTGCTGTGAGGTAGGTGGCCTCTGGATTGCGATTGCGCTCAGTGTTTACATCGACGGCGAAGATCTTGGGGGTTGGCGTCGCGCGAGCAAATTCCCGGACAAGGTGGTGTCCAAGGAAACCGCAGCCTCCAAAGATGAGGACTGGGCCTTCAATTGTGGTGTCGCTCATGATGGCAGTTCTTGATGGCCAATGTGATGAATTGAGTCTTGTGGTGCAGTTGTGGAATCAGTATCTTGACTGATGGTGAGAGAAGAGGATTGAAAAGAAGCTTTCAGCAAAGAAACAGCAGCAACGCGGTCAAGGCGTGACAAGGCAACAGCTCTCAAACAAAGTGAAGGAGCAAACGCAGTGCAGTGTCCTCAATCACAGCCAGTCATACGATGCCGTGCCGCAAAGTTCCTAGCCCCCCTTTCACTCGCAGAAACGTCGGACCAGAAACTAGGCGAAAACAAGTCTCTGGTACGTACTCCCTTCTAAATCTGCATTGAGGCCACGCAAGCCTGACAAGAATAGGTGCGCGGAGGCATACCAGGGGAACCCTTTGATCAAAGAAAGACAGTGCAGCCCCAGGATCCACACGCACACTCAGCGGGCCAACGCTCTTTGGTGGGCTACTTAGGTGGGGGAACTCCCGTTTCGGAAGCACCAAAGGAGCGGGCCCCCATTAATCACGGCGCAGCGGGATAACAGAAGCAGGCTAAATTAAATGCATCAATAAACCCGCGATAAGAAGCGGGAGGCAAAAAGGCATTCATCCTGAGCTTCATGCTGTGCCACATTGGGTACCGACACGCTGTTTCTCATAAGCACAAACCCTGTGGCGAGGGGTGTGTCCAGCGCTAATGCTCAAAGACACATTGCTCACTACTGGTGGGGGCGGCCTCGCAGCATCGGGCGCTGATGAGGCATCGCATGGGGTTATTGGATGGATGGTAGCGGGGTCCCAGAGGTTGTGATATTATGACGGTCGATTTAAAACTATTTGTGGATGAAGCTTGTACGCTGCGAGCAGGCCTGGGTTGCATTGCGTCTGGCCCACATGGACCGGTGAGGGTGCTACTTGGCCAATCTGCTTCTCTTTCCAAGAAACTTGGATCATAGTATGGTTGCGCTGTTCTTACTGGTATTATCAAGAAGTATCTGGCAGCTAAGTTGCGATAGATGCGGGTTTGGATTGATTCAACGAGGGGTATTGTATAAAATGTAAACGACTTTTAGACCCAATACACAGGTCCGGCTGCTACTTGTATGTGGCTAAGAAATAATACTTGAGCCATGGTCTCCCAAAACCTCTTGGCTCCAAACTTGGGTATGCAAGTTGGAGTCAACCTCCTGACAAATATCATCGCAACAGATCCCTAATGACCATAGGTGGCAGCGGGTTTCGCGGGCTCAATGTAGTCTTTAGAAGTCGTAACGAATTGTAGTGGCACAATCTGAGGCTTCGGGGTGTTGTCGTACGTTTTGTCGTGATATACATCCGAGAGCGAGTCCTTGGAAGATGTCCTCTGCCCACTGCTGACCAGTCGTGTCCGAAGACTGGAAACTCCGCTTCTGCTACGCTTCACAAAAGCCGGTGCAAACACCAGACAAGGCGCAATAATGACTGTGTTCATCTCTACGATCGTCATCTCCGAGGTCAGAACGGCTGCCCAGAAATGATCAGACTCGTTGAGATTCCGAATCGACCATCCCATGCGAACCACGCTGACGATACATGCCCTTTTCCACGGTTAGCCTGTTCTCCTAAATAATACAACGTCAAGGGGATGTCTTACACAAGACCAACCCCAAACACAGCACAAACTCCGAGCTTCCTCTGAAAATTCATACTCAGCTTCCACACCTGCTGTAGCGGAATTACCAGAATGTAAAAGTCGATAAAGACATTGACAGCAGCTTGGATAGTCACCACCTTGTTGACTGCCTTACAGAACTGGTTCGTCACAGCCGACACACCCATACACAGCACTGCCTGTGCAATCTCGTGGCCCATGAACGCCGCAGATGATAACAGCGTCAAGAAGATGCCAAAATAGATGAGGTGGCGGGTGAATTCGACAACGTTGAAGAAGCGGAGGTAGAGTAGCAGGACAGATAGTTTGGCAAAGCAGATACCGACGATGTATAGAGTGGATAGTTGGTTGAGTTGCTGTGGCAAGTTAGATATCAAGGAAACCCTCCATACAAGAAGTGGTTGTACCAGTAGTCTCGAATGCGTCAAAGTGACAGCGCGAATGTCCCAAAGATGCTTTCCATATCCAATATCGAGACCTAGTCCTTTTCATCAGCACCATACCATACTACCACAATATCATCACTCACCCGAAATCATAAGTCCACTATGCGCAGCCGAAGCCATCGTCGCAAGAATACACATCACTATCCCATATAAGCACTAATACAAGACGAAAGGAACTCTTTTTTTTTCTTCAGCTCACCTCCATCCCAGCCAACTACGTCCTTGGCCGTACGTCGCGCAATAAACCGCACCGCCACCGCCAGCACCGTCGCACTCAAAAATACCGCATTCATAACAATCAACTCCATATCGCGAGACTCTGGATCGACAAAATTCGACGCCTGCCCCTCGGGCGGCGGCATCGCAGGTAAATTCCATATATAACCTGGCATACCTCCAGGTCCCGTCGGCACCGCAGCATCTGGCGTCGTCATCGTCATCGTGAGCGTCTTGGCTCTCTCTCGCGTACTCGGTGAAAGAGAGAGAGAGAGAGACTTGCGGAAGGGAAGGGATCGGGAAGGAGATAGGATAGTAGTAGAAAAAGCTTTTCGTCGTCTCCGCTCCAAAGTCGTCACAACAACAACAACAACAAAAAAAGAACAAAACTTGCAATACTTTGCTTCAAACGGTTCTCTTTCTCGGGGACCGAGCAAGTTACAAATGAGCATTTTCATTTAGCCTCGCCACCAACTCCGTTTTATTTACAGGCTGTACCACCTCCGTTTTCCGTTTTTACATACTAGGCGTCCAATCACCCTGGTACCAATGAACGCTCGCTTTGGCGCCGGAGCTCATCCTAGTCTATATACCCATGTTGACTTTGCATGTGCTTACTTATATTGATGGGCATTAAACTGATAGGGGTGATGGGCGGAGAGTTGCTTGCATAGTCATCGGCGCACAGCTTGATGCATGTCAGACGAGTGTGGTCTTGGTGTTTGCGCCTCCCGAAGATAAAGTCACCCTTCTGTGGGTGGGTACCGTATTTGGATACAATACCGCCAATCTCCCTTGTACTGTTACATTTTTCTACTCTGGTGTCCGCGCTAGGTACTCTGTGATGAGAGATGTGTGATTTTTGTGCGAGGGAGTGTAGGCATTAGTTTGTCATGTCCCCGCGCTGGTGTCACCCTCCCTAATAAAGAATCTGTTTCGGCAGTTGCGATGAAAAGTGTTCAGAACTTCGATCCGTATAGAAGAAAAAGAAACAAGAACAGTCATGATGGAAAAATTGTCCATGATTTTGTAGCGTGATGCTCGAAGCACTGTAGGCATTGACAATGCTAACGCACTATCAAGCACGTGATTCGATGACACGTATTAACCTCACGTAGTAAAAGGGGAAACTACAGTTTAGTGCACAAAATGAAGTCCAGCAACACTTCGAAGACGCATGAAGTTAAAATGTTGGTATTCTAAATAAACTAAACACAAACGACAACTTGTATGTGCGGGTATCATTCAAAGAAAATCAAAACCGAAAAGGGGAAAATCACTTTGCTGCGCCTGGGCTATTCCGAGCTGGTGAAAGCATATTGGGAGCAAGGGTGACCTTGAATGTTCGTAAGTAGGGTGGATCAGAAGCCTGAGCTGTCGAACTTGGCTTCTGTGATGCACCGTTTGACACGTGTTCAGCGAACTCAATGTTCTCCCTAGCCACCGCATTCTTTGAGGGTGTGCCGTTGGCATCTACCGACATATCTCGTTGTCGCTGTGCTGGTGTCGGTGTTTCTGGTGTAAGAGGACTACTATGTTCGGATATTGGTTGTGTCATAACTTGTTTGCCATTTGTCCACTGCTCAGTGGGACGGTTGAGGGTGGCTGGGGTAGTGTTGGCCGACGATGCAGCCACGAGCTCGTCTGAAGATCGTTTTGTCTGCGAAAATGACGGCGATGGGTTGATGTGAGAATGAGATAGTCCAAAGACCGTGACTTTAGAAGTCGCGACTTGCTCTTCCGAATACAGGTCGTTCTTCTCGGAATCGGTAGTGGACGGCATACCGAAATCGTCTGGAATTTCGGGTATAGGTCCAATGGCGCTGCCTCTGCCGGCCCCTCCTTTGGCCCACTCCCATATACCGCGGCGCAAGGGCGTTTGATATAATGGCTGCACAGGTCCTCCTTGACCCTCACCGTCGACTCCATCAACGACCTGGCTATCCTTCACTAGGCGATGTCTGTCTTCTAAGCTTTGGAGGCGCTCGTCGAGGGCTGGGTGTGGCTCGTATGTCCTCGTCCCGTTGACTTGGAACCGCTCGAGGTGTTTTCGATCTGGAGACGTCACCTTGCGTAGCCTTTCCCTGTCCTTCTCCCTGTCCCGAAAGGCGTCTGGATTGGGCGGCTGAGTAGCGACTGCCATTTCCTTCGATGTACCAACTGTCGAACTCGCCGGACTTGTCAGGCAGCGGCGAAGAGGATTTTTGCCGTGAGGGCGAGCTGGCGGGGGAGGAGGCAGTGGAGAATGAGGGGGCGGCTCTGTCTGGAGATGGGGGAGGGGAGGGCGGTTCGGCTGGACGGAGTTTATGTAGGGGACCGATTTGACGGATGACTGGGCGATCCTCTTCTTTGCTGGTTAATTGGAGTTACTACGGGGGTTGTACAATCAAAAAAGGGGGTAGAGAAGATATGGTGAAGCTGGGAATGAACTGCAGACAAAGCAGAGCTACACACCTTGCTTCCCTCGAAGTTTCTCCTTGACGTAACAGTTGGGTGCGGCCTCATGATCGTGATAAAGGCACTCGTTTCCCTTGTCTGTTGGGTCGTCAAACAACATGCCGCCAGTGCCAGACCTGATGGCCTTAACCAGATCAATGGCAAAGTCGGGATTGTTGGTGAAGCATTCGCGGTACGTCTCAACGTCCCGCTCGTTCGCGGGGTCCATGATCTGGCGAGCGGCAATGCGCGTCATCAGGCGACGAAAGGGCGAACCGGTCGGGCTCTTGCGGTAGATGGCGTCGATCTCGTCGGGGTCGGGGACTAACTCAGCCTCATGTAGGCCTTTTCTATACTGATCCATGGCCACATTCTTCAACTGGGTCATGTTGAAGCGTTCACAAAGGAGGTAGAGCTTGTGGCAGCTCACAGCATAGTCGTACTTTTGGTTCTCGTCGGCCATGTCTGAGACGTCGTCCAGACTGCCTTGGTAGAGCCATTTGACCAGCAGCTCGAAGCCGGCCGGGTCATGGTCGGGCAATTCGAGGCGGTCTTTCCTCGTATTGCCGTTGGCGTCACCCAGGAGCTCATTCTCGAGGGTTTCGGAGTGGTGGCACAGCAGGTTGCGGTGCAGCGCCCAGTGGCGCTTCGACTCGCCTACGTATATATCGATCATGGGTCCAGAGAGTAGTCTATCGCGTTGCAGCTTAGCTAATGCTCGTACGTGTAGATGATGAGAGAACAGGCGATGCGTCAGGGCAGGGCGCACTGCGATGCACTGCGCGAGTGCCTGCGACTGTTGCGCCGGCGAGCATTGCGACGCCCCCGGAAATGGCGCGTGATGGATCAAGCCGGCCATGTCTTGCTCTTGTGTCTGCGACGCATCCGCCTCATCGCGCCGGTGGTCGGAGAAGGGATCATCTACGTACTCAGCAAATGTCGGGGCGGGCACATGGCCAATGCTACCAGTAGCCATTCGCAATCGACGGGAACCTGGAATGGCGAAATCACGGTGGTAGACTCTTGGAACCTGCCCCATATGGCGCGATGGCGGCGCTCATAAAGGCAAGACAGCTGGCGCGTGTGACAAGGGCGGTCAAGACGTGGATGTGGATGCTGTGAGTTGTCGTGATGATGGTGTCGCCGTGCTGTTGACGTGCTGAGTGGAGATGGCTGGGGTGGCTCGCCCTCGTGTCGAAGCGTAGCGCGGCCAGGCACAAGGAGATGCCGTTGTCTTTACACCTGGTCCTCGTCGGCCCCACACCGCGAGCAACACTTGCAGACCGACTGGCCTAGACGATGACAATCTGTGACACTAGTTTCCCCAGCCTTCTCTGCCCCTGAATGACTGTGCATGATTTCTTTTGCTGGTTGCTTTTTGCGTTGGCGTTCAACGATTACCCCTCAATCAGAATGCGACCAATCCGCCTGCCCACTAGCCGTTTCCTGTAGATCGATCAGACGATGCTGGAGGAGATCATGCCCGTCAGTTTTCAACGAGTAGTTGAGAGCAAAAAGAACATGTCCAGTACGCCAGAGAGTGTACAGTGTTGGCAGTTTCCCAGCCACTCGATGCGTGGCACCATCGCCTTAGCATTGCACGCGCCACACATGGGCCTGCGCCACACCAGCCCCGCCAAAAGCTACCCCACGCCATCTCCAGCTACCCCACCAACAGCTTCCATTTGACACTGTCGCACGTGATGCTACCTCAATCTTCGTATTACACTTCCTAAGACATGCTGACACTATGCGTTATCGTATTCTTTGCGAAATGCCGTCTCGCTCGTTAACCAGCATCATCCATCGCTCTCGGTATATCCACCATGGATGTGCGTTTGCCCGTCCTCTTGCCGTTTGGTCTCAATAGGGAATTTCAATCCTTGTTCGCAGAAAATGTTGGTGTAAAAAAACAAGATAGACCATTGCATTTCCGTGTCCTGTCTTTACGTGAAATATTAGCCTTGTAACGTTCACGCGCTTGCAAGTTGCCTTTCCAAGCGCCATCTATCGCGGACTCTGCTCCGAACAAACATCATCGAATCCGGAAACCTAACAAGATCAAAATGGGCTGAAAAAGCGGCAGAGAAGAGCGCAATCACTCAGTAATCATACCTAAACCACCTGAGTCTCTATCGAGGGCCCCCAAGAATCCTCTGAGATCGATGCGCGACACAAACAGAAACTTGGAGATTGATGCGGATTGACGCTTGGGTGCCTCTCGCGAAATACCAACTATAATTGACGGCGATTCGGCCAAGCCAGTGATATCAGGCAAATCGAACCCTAGGATGCGTGGCGTAAGAGTGTCTCCCGAACTCATCTTGCGTGGCATCTCACCTACGCATGATTTTCACTCGCCAGTCCAGCCGACCAATATGCGTGATGAAAGAAACTCTCGGCTTTTCTCGCGTACTATCGAATCCAATAGACCTGGCCTATGGCAGTACCACTCGCTTCAATCTCAGCAAGAACCCCGGACTTCACCCCCCAAAACATCGATGGTGGCAGATATTTCATATACAAAATCGCCTATTAATCGCTACGGAACCACGAACAGTGAAGAGAAAGACATGACATTGGTAGACATAGACGATTTCGAGATGAGAAAAAAGATTGCGCAGTTGATGGCCGTGGCGCCAGCGCTACCCGTCAAAGATCTATATCACCTTATTATCGATAGTGAGGGCCGTCTTTCTAAAGCCAAGAAAAAGGCCATCCGGATGAGCAAAGCACCAGATACGTTGCGCACGCCTACACAACTCTCCTTACAACCACGAGCACTTATCAATAACTCAGATACAGAAGGTGTCATAGTCAATATCCGCGACTCGGATAAACAAAAAACTATGGTTAAGATAGATCCGAGTGACCCCTTCTTTAAGTGGGATGACGATGAACCAGCACCAGAGCAACCACCAACGGTAAAGCCTTGTCAGTCAAAGTCAACCGCTAAGAAAAAACAACCCCAAAGTGCACGCTCACATCATTCCGCGAACGAACCAAAACCCAAGCCTCCAGCGACACTGACACCGTCATATCAAAGTAAAAAGCGCACAAAAGCCCCGCATTCAAAGCGAACAAACATACGAGAGACCAGCAGTGACCGCGAATTCATAGTGGCTAATGACGGGATGCAATATGTTTCGGACTTTGACGACTCTGACGACTTTATTCTTTCGCGCAATGTTATTATACCCAGCAGGACTCGGAGACGGAGACGCAAGTTTAGTATGATTTGAGAAGTCATGGAACTTCATACCAGATTATGGTTTGCCAGTATAGACTAAAACTCGCTGGGAAACCGCCCGAGGATGGAAAATACGGGCGGAAGAAGACCATATGTGTTCAACAAGGCATAGCGCCAACCCGCTTCCCGAAAAAACGGGACGAGCCGAACACGGCCGAATGACGGAATGCAGCAAGGCAGTTTACCGAGAAAAGGAAATCCAGAGCTTAGTTAAGATAGGCAGTACGGAGTTAAAACATCATGCGAAATCTATGGTTGCAACCCCTTGTACGAAACACACTTCTCACCTATCCCATGTCCTCAGCCTCCCCAACTAGACGCCCACAATCCACAAAAAAGACCCTACACTTCCCTCACGTTCTCCCGTCCCCTCTGCTCCCGCACCCCCAAGAACCCCCGAAGCTGCATTTCCACATCCCCACCATGGCGCTGCCGATCCATTTCCCGGCCCACCTGCCTGCTTTTCTTGATATAGAGATGGACCAGCATCGCGCAGAGCATTGGTCCGAAGATGCAGATGGGAACGAAGAGTGAGAGCGGCATATTTCCAACCATTATCTCTTTGGGTTCGGGTGGTGCGGCGCTTGGGAGGAGTGGGACGGGTACGTTCATGGTTGTCATGGAAGGCGTGATCTAAGTTTTTGGAGATATAAGCGTTTGTGGTGTTTGTAAAAGTAGTAGGCAACTTGAAGAACTTGATATGTTTGCAGTTGTAATTGAAAATGGAGTATTGGACCTACGCTGCGTTTTAAGCGCGGTTATAAAGTTGGTGGTGGTGGAAAGATGAGACATCGTACAAGAACAACAAGAGTGACTTTCGTGGTAAGCAAACATGTTCAGACCTTACACCACAAAGCGGAGTATCACGCGCCATACATTTAGATATGATCCCGAGACATGGCTCAACGATACATCCCAATCGAAGTATAAGCTCTTCCGGTAGAACTGGGTACATCTCTGGTATCGTCCATGCCCCTCCCGTTATTCAAATGAAGCATCTGTTGCGCTACAAGAGAAGTTCTGCACGATGTTGGCGTACCGCTTGTTAGGCTAGGGCGCGATGATCAAGGCGTTCTTGCGTGACCATTGCAAGGTGCGAATTAAGAGGTGGGGTGGTAAATTTACGCAAGACGAGGTGGTAGCTGCGGGCTTGAGAACAAGGTGCTTGTGGCGTTGCTGTTAACGATGGCGTGAGTGGCTGGATTGGTGAGGGCTGGATGATGTTGCTGGGCTGTGAATCGGTGAGAGATGGTAGGTTCGAAGTGTTTGAAGATATCGAGGTCAAAGTACTATTTTGGATGTTGGCTTAATATTTTGCTTCTCTGTCTAGGAGATGATGGAGATGATGGGAAAAGACTCACGGCTGGGATTGTTTGACGACTGTGAGTTGGTGGTAGTAGCTGTGTCTTATTGTCAGAAGGGTAATAATGTGGGCTAGAAAGTTGGCCGAAATTTCTGCATCACTATCATAGTAGGGTAACGTGTCGCATAGTTGTCAGCGGGCTTTGCATCGTTCGAATATTTCAAATCAGACTAGAAGCCAGTTCATGTAAAAGGCTCCGCACAATGAGATTCTTCCCTGCTGTTACAGGCGCCCATGGGTTTGTCTAGGTGATGTGACAGTCGGAGTAAATTCGATAAAAGACGACTGAGCAGTCGTGTTGCTAATTCGTTTGCCAAAAATATTTGTGCGACTGTTCGATCGTATTCAAGACATTGCGCAGCAGAAGCACTTACTGCATCAAGGTATGTTGAACTATTGAGATGAGAGAATGTATGTTGAAATGGGATTTTGAAATGTATTATATCCACCTTGTGCAGACCATTCTACACCCAGCTTTGCAGATGTTGGAGGCTGAAAAGAGATTCGAATATCTTCCAGTAAAGAATCAATTGAGGTAAGATCATGAACTCAGTGTCGTAACATCCACTTGCGGACTGAGAGTGTGTCGTGACAATTTGTCCGGAGCCACTCTGGATCAGGTCTTTGGGTCAAGATCGCAAAACTTGCTCAGAAACACCAACGCGAAGCCTCAGCTTGATGGGATCACTTGACATAAGACTGCCAAGTCGATATCGCAACACATGTTTGGGAATGTGGACCGAAAAAATCCATACTTTCTCAGGCTAGAGACCCACTGAAAATACCCCGCGTTATCAACATGGAACACTCCGCCTTAGATTGCGTACGTAGTCCCGTCATGTGTCTGTTAATCCCGAGGTTTTTTTTCGCTGGCAACGATCACATTCGTTTTCGAATTTTCAAGAAGTGGCACTGCACTAAATCTATCACCGTTGCGATATCTGTCGTGATACCGCAGCTTGTAATTTATATCATACATGTCGCAAAATCGATCATCGATGATATCAGAACTCTGATCGGGGGGCCCAGTTCTACCAGCATTGTGTTATGGTAACGTGGGATTTAACGCATTTAGTATCTTATTTAGTACAAATAGACAAAGGACCCTATCATATTCAGGTTACAACTGCATTCACCAAGTATATCCCTTCTAGTGATTGCAGTGACAGGCATTTGCCAAGGTCCAATAGTATAATAGAGCGCTGTGCGTATTTTTGTTTAGGGCCGACTCGCAGCCGGCAGTATAACCCAAAATGTACACTACGATTCTAGGCAGCCTAGTACTTCATAATCGCTGCAATACAGGTGAGGAATAGATTAGCAATACTAGTCATTATAGGGCGAGTGACCGTATAAGGAATTTGATCAGATGTTCAGTATGATATCGACTGGGGAGATTTTCTTTAACTAGGAAAACACGTGGGATGCTGAAGTCATTGGGTGGTTTGGCGCCCGAGACACAAGGTTCTTGAGCTTTGATGATAGGCAAAAACCTCTTATCTCGGATCAGTTGCATTTGATCACCCGGATCTACTCTTGCTCAGCTGCACGTAATTATCACGTGACTGACACATGCTCGGTCTTTCCCATGACGCCGACCACCATCTCTCGATTATGCTCCAATCACCAGAGAGCAGCGGTGAGGTATGCATTTCAAGCCACAACACAATCGAAAGCCATTGAGTCCGTACCTGTCTACCAACTCCACAAGATCTTTGCTAACAATAGCCTTTACTTACATAGCCTTCCGCCTCGAGCCGAAGCACGGGGATCCGGCAGTCTTCGCCCGAAACGGCGGAGCATGCGTTGATTTTCCTAGCTGCTTTGCTCCATATTTTACTATGACACGGCAGCACGACATAAAGGCATGCTGCCTTTGTCGACTCAGTACGTGATAGTATCTTGACACGCTCCGACACGTACACATGCTCCGAAACGTCCAAATTCTCCGACAAGATCCGATACTCTTTTCCCTTGTTTGAGACACGACACGACATGACAGAGTCTTACCTGGTGCCAGCAGACAATCAAAATCCGTAAGGGTGCATTCTACGCAGATATATTTGTATCTTCGAGGTCGCCGTACTGCAAACTTTATTTGTCCAGCCTACAAGATCTCGTAAGTGCACGAACGTGGTGTCAAAATCAAGAATGATAGTCTTGCCGTCCCATCATGGATACCTATCTCTTCCAAGATCTTCGTATCGTGACCCTATTAGCCCTGTTAGCTCGTCACGTTTCGAGCATCAGATGTCGACGAAAACACCCCAGTGTCTCGTCGCTTATGAAACCACAGACTTGATAACGTGTTCTATCAGTAAGCTGGCCGTATCAGTAAGCTGGCCGCCCCACCAAAATTGACGCGACGCTCTACACCACCACCACAATGCCGCGACAACAACGCTCTATACAGACTTCTCGTGAAGGCAGACTAAGTCTTGCTATCGCATCCTATCATAATAATCCAAAAAGTTCTATCTACTCTCTTGCGAAAGCGTATGACGTGCCAAAATCAACACTCCAGACGCGTCTCCGCGGTGTCCAGCCACGGTCAGAGATTGCGTCTACTAGGCGCAAGCTATCACTTATTGAAGAGCAGTCTCTTGTTCAGTGGATTCTAGAGCTTGACCGACGTGGATTTCCACCACATATCATTGACGTGCGACGAATGGCAGACACTCTACTCGCCGCGCGTGGCCAGAATCCACCACCACCACCTATAGGCAAATGCTGGGTGCCGCGCTTTATTCAGAGCCAGCCAGAGCTTCAGACAAAGTGGAGTCGGAGATTCCATAGCCAGCGCGCCCAGTGTGAGGATCCTGTCGCAATTACAGCGTGGTTTAAGCTAGTAGAGGAGACGCGCCAGGCGTACGGCGTCCTAGACCAGGATATCTATAACTTTGACGAGACTGGATTCGCTATGGGCGTCGCTGCAACGTCGAAAGTCGTGACTAGCTCTAATAGAGTTGGTCGGGCAGTTGTCGTACAGCCAGGCAATCGTGAGTGGGTAACAGCAATCGAGTGCGTTAACGCGTCTGGCTGGTCTCTTCCACCTTTCATAATCCTGTGTGGTAAAGTCCACCAGAGTAGCTGGTATCACGACCTCCCATCAGAATGGACTGTCGGCGTCTCAGACAATGGCTGGACAACAGACGAGCTTGGCGTAGAGTGGGTGAAGCACTTCAACCGACATACAGCGTCTCGTACAGCTGGAGTCCATCGTCTTCTTATCCTAGATGGCCACGGCAGCCACGCTACACCAGAATTCGACCAGTACTGTGCCGAGAACAAGATTATCACTCTCTGCATGCCGCCTCACACGTCTCATCTCCTCCAGCCGCTTGATGTAAGCTGCTTCTCGCCTCTTAAGCGCGCATATGGGCGTGAGATTGAGGAGCTCGCCCGCCAAGGCGTCCACCACGTTGACAAGATAGACTTCCTCACTATCTATACACAGATCCGGCCGAGAGTCTTCACGCAGCAGAACATCCAGGCAGGCTTTCAGGCGACAGGCCTTGTCCCTCTCTGTCCCAAGCGTGTCCTATCGTCGCTTACAGTTGTCCGCACGCCATCTCCACTACAGACAACTATAGATAATAACGCCGTAACGCAGGCAGAAACACCGCATACAGTAGCTCAGCTTCAGCAGCAGGTGCGCTATCTCCAAGAGCGACTACACCGGCAGTCAGAGAGTCCAACAAGCATTGCTATACGCCAGCTTGCTAAGAGCGCTCAGCTTGCAATGCAATCAGCAACAATACTCGCAGAGGAGAATAAGAAGCTACGTACAGTCAATAAGCGCCAACAACAAAAGCAAGACCGGCGCCGTCAATATATCGCCTCTGGCGGGGTGCTTCAGGTGCAGCAGGCTCAGCAGCTTACTGCAGAGGCAGAAAGGTTGGTCATGGGCAGTGACCAGAACCAGACTGGTGAGCGACGCCAGCGCGCGCCGCCAACGTGCACGAAATGCCACACTGTAGGACATACTCGGACGTCATGCAGGACTAGATCATGAATTATATCTCTTAATTATCTCCAAAAATATTACGTTGTTGTGGCTCAATTGCGTAAAACGTCGCGTCAATTTTGGTGGGGCGGCCAGCTTACTGATACGGCCAGCTTACTGATAGAACACGTTAGTTAACTAACTATGGGCCAATGGCTTTGATCAGCAAGGTATCCCGGCTTGGCACTAAAAGCGGCAGGCAGATTGGTTGTTGCGTTTGTAGTTAGGATCGGCTGCGCGACACGAGACTAACACATGCGTACAAGCTTTCTCCTTGCAGTCCCCAATAGACTAGGCTCGGAAAGGGTACGCCTGGGAACGGGGGACCCGGTGGGTGTCTGTTCAAATAGCATTGACATGTCTTCGCTAGCTATAGCATTATGTCAGGGGCCTCGACAACGTGCATGCAACAGCGTTGTTGCGCAACGGTCGTTTGACCATACTATCTAATTGGTTGCTGTCGCCAATGCTTCTGGAAGAACCAACGACTCCTTGCTCGTGTTACTTACAAGCCGCCTTGTCATTTTCCGCTAACACGACTCGCAACGATCGGGCTTGAATATACTACCACGTAAATCCTTTTCGAGACGCAAATCCCAATGTCTGGTCTCTTCCTCTAAGCGCAGACTTCGCACCTATGCATTTTCGCCTCATCATCCTCGTCGTCGTATGCGCCCTGCTCAACATTGGCCATGCTCGCGCCGCAGGATCGGACCTGGACTCAAGGAAATTGGGTATCGATGATATTCCAGAATGCGGGGTTTGTAAAATTTTGAATCTCTTTGTACCTACTGACAATTCCACAGCTCATTTGCATGATATCGACAATCTCTACGAGCCCTTGTACCCTTGGAGACATCAACTGCATTTGTGGCGATAAGGATGTCACGACGCGTGTGGGGAGCTGCATGGTTGCCAACTGCACAATGCAAGACAGCTTGAACACCGCTAGGGTGCAGGCCGATGTATGCAACCTCCCCAATGATTCAAAACGTCAACGGCTTCTGAACCTCACCATTGTCGTGTATGTGGTGTGTTTTACATGCGTGGTTGGCAGAACCGCTGGCAAGATAGTATCAAAACGAGTGGCGTTGGATGACTATATTGTCGTTGGTACATGGCTGTTGGGTCAAGTGCCAATAGCGTGTGCTCTATCGAGTACGTGAAAGACGGCATCACTGTTGCATCTTACTTATGCTGACTAAACTTAGTGGTCGTACGTGGGTTCGGTGACCATCTTTGGAATCTGGAGGATGGTGCTTTGATGCCCATTCTCAAACTGTGTATGTTCAGCCTGTTCTTCGATTTCATATTCTCGTTCGACTGACTTTTACCAGTCTACATCGCTGCAGCAGTTTATGGTGTCGTCCTTGGTCTTATCAAGATTGCTTTACTGCTGTCCTACCTGAACATCTTTATAGAACCACGGTTTCGGTTACTCGCCTACATGACCATGGTTTTCATTAGCATCAGCACCATCGTCATATTCTTCCTATCGGTCTTTCTGTGCTCCCCTATCGAGTCTTTCTGGAACAGAGACATCAAGGGAAAGTGCATAAGCCCCAGGAATGTGTCTTATGCAAACTCAGCCAGTGCCATCGTGCAGGACCTTATTCTTCTGGCCCTTCCCCTAATATATATCCGGAACCTGCGCGTCAACCGCTGGCGTAAGTACGCTGTTGGTTTCATGTTTGCCACCGGCACCTTCGGTTGCATCGCAACTATGATTCGGATGCACACTCTGACCCGTTACAACATCTCTTTTGACCCTACCTGGGACTACGCTTCACTTGTTGCTTGGACCGAACTGGAGCTTGCAGCAGGCTGTATTTGTGTATCCCTTCCGTCTATTCGACTACTGGTTACACGACTCCTACCAGACTGCTTCAAGGGATTCCTTTCCCGCGTCGCAAACTCAACGGATAAATCGGGCAAGTCAACTAACACCGATCCACATTTGCAAGCACCGCCCCCTTCACGTCAGACTCCATCACAACAAGAATGGTATAGGCCACTTGGTCGGAGCTGGGTGTCGATTGGCGATCACAAGGACGATAATATCGAACTGAGTACCGTGGATTTGCTTCCTGTACATAAGACCGAGACCAAACGTGACAATAATTTCCCTCAGTCTGGAAATGGTGATAAATCAGATTTGACGGCAATCGCTTCTATTGGATGCATTTCCGACCGTTCATATTCTGAGGAGTTCATACGCACTGAAAACGGCATAGAGGGAGTCTCGACTCGCAGAGGGCCTTCCTGAACCATGATCAAGAGCTGGGTATATGCAAAAGGCAGAAATGAGACATGTTTGTTCAACTACATCACATGATAATATGAATTCTGGCGTTATACGTCTGCTTAGCCGAGCATTTACCGCCATATCCAACGCCAGCAGCATATCTGTACCTGCCGCTATATGCACACGATCCTCGGCGTCTCAAAGCCTCTGCTTTATCACACTGTGAACTAGTCGCAACAGGATCCGCGTCGCTTAAGGTACCCTTATCCTCACCTGCAACTCCCACTTAGATCGGAAAGATGGCTATCGGAGGACTTGTCACGAATAGTAATGTTTAGAATGAACCCCGCCAACCCTGTGAGTGGCGAAAATGTGTAACTAGAGCATGAATAGAAAGAGCATAAATCATATACTGTATGCCGGAACCCTCGACCCAGTTTTGAACTCCACCTCGCAGACGGCCTTTGTGTTCGAGCCCCCAAATACTCTATACTCCGTCTTGTGGTGATGCGCATTATGTTTTTGAACATTAACACCCATTATCTGGCCCTCCTTCCATCGTCTCGACCGCCATAGTATCGGCTTGTTCTTTTTCGAGCTGCAAGCACAGGGCTTCGGTCCTTCCCTCAGGCGTAACATGACTGATTACCGAGGTTCGCTTACCGAACAGCTGCTCCAGAGTTTCCCGATGAAGATCTTGTGGGCTTACGATGGGAAGTGGGGGATCAGAATTAGTACGCCACGTCGCGACAGGGATGGAAGAACTGGAGCTATCTGGCAACCATCTGACGAACGGGTCGGTGGTGCTTCGGGGAACCTGATCCACGCTTCAAAGATAGGACGAACTACTACTACCCTGAACCCTGAAAATTATGGGTTTCCCGCACTTCTGTCTCTCCATTCCCGTGCCTTCATTTAAGCTCAAGACGTTAAAGAGACGTCAGCAGAGTGACGCATGTTCCCCCGCCGGCCAAATAGAACACAAATTGCGTGATCTCTGGCCAGAGAGCGAGTAGAACACGTGATCTCGGATTAATCGATGCTCCCAACCAAATTCTTTTCCTGGCATGCACGAGCAGTAAAATGCCCAGCATCATGCAGTTTTTGTCTCGTCCCAGTAACGATCAGACAACGGCTATGGCGGCACAATGAACCCACGTGAGAATGACTCGCTGCGATTTATCTGTTCTGGATGGCTGCTGATGTGGCGGTCTCGAACAAGCGCAATCCAAGAATGGTACGACCACCACTGCCCGCGCAAGCCACCTGTCAAAGCTCCGCTTGGCGCGCGATCAGGGAGGTAATGCCGAAGAAGTCCCCTTAATTGCGCCCAGATATTCCACAAAGAGCCTTACATGAATAAGTTTCCATGAGAAAAGGATGTGATGTTGGGGGAAGGAATCTGGGACTGATCTACAGATCTACTCATGGCTATTAACCGGCATATGAAACATATCTTGTCGCCCTTGCATGATCGCATTGGAGCTGAAAGTTTCGCCGTGTCGAGTATTGCCATAGTGTAGCTCACGTATTAGTTTCAGAATATTATATCTGCACTATACACATTGAGAGAATTACAAAAAGTGGACGTACTAAGGCATAGGGTGCGCATTCTATGATTAGTTGATCGGAGCCAAGTCGAGCGTATCTCACACTATTTCAGTTAAACCAACTACATTGAAATCGTTCTCGTACCTAGCAAAATGCCTCCCCGCAAAGGCTTCTTTCGCACAAATTATCGTGTTGAAATTTAGTGAGCGGAAAATGTGCTGCTACTACAGCAAAGTCCAACTTAACTGTGTCGGTACTATAAAATTCTCCATTATTCTCCGCTGGCAAGTGCGGAGAGCCGCGTCCGAACCGCAGCTTAAAGTTCACAATGCAGCGGGTTCAGAGCTTATAATATCTGTACCAAAGTATGTCTGCAGGTGGCGTGTTACTAGTTGCAGGGGCTATCGCTCTCCGAAAGACGAGAGAAAAGGGATGGAAGAAGGACCAGTCGCGTCTAAGATGCTGGGACTCAGAGCAGAACTCAGGAAAAACAAGCGAGTCAAAACAAGTATTATTGATGATGACAGGGAGGTAAATGGTACTAGCTGCCCTGTGTAGATGATGACGTGCCAAGACACCAAACCCCATCCAGAGAGGTTCGACACTACCCTGTAAGGGGTGTAAGATGGTCACAGAGACGACCGATACTTGGGTTCACAAAAAGAGGAGATGAGGCTTCCTTCCTCTTAGGTATGTTCTTCTATGACTCTAACGCTGATACGTCTTCGGCAGTGTCCCCCTACTTGTGGTTGCAGTATCCCGGTGGTAACTAGCATCGACGGACCAACTCCGACCGACACCAGCGCTTTATCTACGGCACAAGGCGGATTACGATTAGCGAACAGCGCGAGACTTATAAGCTCCATGTTTATACTTATTGGAGGTTGCGGTCCCGGGATCTTGTCAACAACAAGTACTGGCAGGTAATTCCAAGGAGATTTAGCCATCGCGTCACTGCAGCAGAGGGTTGTATAATATCCGGATCGGGTACTTTCAACCTTGCTATAAATTAGCCTGAACATATTCAGATCTTCATTCAACACAAGGATGCCTTGTCCAAGTTCCTGGGATAGCATGGATGATGCAGAGTCTTTCTTCCTCTTTTTTCCAACCATGATCTCCCCTGCAATAACATCAACCAGCTGTTCAGGGTCTTCCACTGTCGATATGCTTAGGTGAGCTGTCCTTAGCCTGCTCCCTTCATTAGACTATACAATCAATTAATTACGAAAGAGATCGCCAAATAGCTAAAACAATGGTAAGATACAGTTCTAGACTTTGTGAATGTTTTGAGCTTGGTTCATGACAATGAAATCCGCAAGAGCCCTCTAGGCGGTACTACGGAAGGCGTCTTTCTCTGTGTTCCTAAGATTGAAATGATTATTGGGTGCGCCAGAAAATATACGTGAAGACATAATCGAACGTACTTTAAGAATATCAAAATCATCATGAGGTTGAACAATTACCATACCAGTTGGCCGCGAAGAAAACAACAATGTGTGGTCCAGATGTTAGCCTTTTATCAACCACTGCTGCTTTCGTATCTCTTATTATTGCTGATCTCGCTGGTACGGGTGTTGATGGAGTTTGCACGTCCTTTGACTGGGCATTTATGTGTATAACATCTCCGAATAACTTGAAGCCCCAGATTCAGGTCGAAATCATTGGGCTTTCGTAATTTCTAGCATGAACGCAGACATCATGCAAACTGAGTTTTATTGGTTCAATCGTGATACAGTAGACTTCACTGTACTTCTATCGTACCGCGCGAACATAATAAACAACCTTTCTAAGGCCAATCCGACGCGTTCGGATATGTTCATCAGTGCATCTAATAAGATGTCCGTCTCTGTGAGCGGCCCATATTATCGCTGAAGACAATATTTAAAAAGCTTAGATATCTCGGAATACTCCAGCTTCCTAGCACTGACAGTGCATCATAGTCTCTGCCATGCTACCCACATATACTCCGCTGTGGATGTTCATGCTATCATGTAAGGCATCTTGATGACGACACTTCCCGAAGAGCTAGGCTGAAGAAATCTCCACCTTTACTATCTTTTTGGTACTGGCCGACCACATCCAGCAAAATATTTTCGCGGCTTGATCGACCGGTTCTTTAATAGAGCTTCTGATGAACAAATACACATCGATAAAGTTGTTGATAGTGTCGTTTAAACCCTCGATTCATCTGCAGATAGCCAGGAGAAGCGGTATCTTTACACTTTCCACACCCCCATGATGCTCACGACTATGATGAAGAATGTTGAGAAGCATTGCGATGATCGCATTATGCTTACGCAACGCGATCATGTTGAGTGGACGAAGCGCGAAGAAGATGATGCTGAGCCTCTAGTCACAACCAAAAGAGCCAAGTTGGCTGTTGTTGCTATGTCTTGCCATCTCTCTAGTAGAGCCAGCGATCCTGAGCTTTCCCGAAAGCTCATAGTAGACAAGCACTATGTACACTCTACTATTCTTTTTTGACTAGTTTGACTAGAGCACTACCTATTCTGATCTAACTGGCTAAATTGAAAACAGCACACAGACCCCGTACATGAACCACATCGAAAATTTCCGGTACCAAAGATATCTTTCACTAAGAAGACCCATATCCTCAAGAAGCCGAAAGTATCATCTACACATGATCATCCAGCGCGTTGACTGGCTTACGCGCGCCCAAGCTACAGTCTGTGTTAAGCCACGAGGCCATAATCACATCATCTATATGGCACATGAATGCTCCCACTGATGACTCTGAGCTATCATTTGCGGCCTTGTGGTCACAATGTGTAAGAATACTGGGTAGGTCAAACGCTCAAAAACGTCTTTTGCTGACACATGAAATATGAAACTTGGTAAAAGTTTGTGAAAACCTGAAATAGTGCACATATTGCGCAATAATATTGCTTGTACAAACGATCAAAACCACCGATGCACAAATTTCAGGCACTCAGAGCGGAGTCGGGTATTGTTCGTGGTTCTGTTTGGACCAGTCAACCGCCAATGAGGATATGCAGTGAACGGATTGAGCGCGAAGAGTCAATCAGGTGGAGAGAAAATGAGTGGGGAGCTTGTGCCCAGATCGGCAATTCTTTCAACTCAGTGAGCGCACGACCGTCCCACAGCGTAGATTGACATGTATCGCGTACGGACTTGGAAAGGCAAATGCGCAAGTCCGCAACCTATAAAAGGCAGCCATCTCCCACATCCATAGGATCCTCAATCCATATATCAATGTTTTTCATATACTTGTTATATCCACACACTCTCTTCTTGTCACAACCGAACGCCATATAATAGCTTTTGTAGATCATGATAGATCACGAAGTTATTATATAAGACCGATGCACTGCGTCGGCGACTCGAGAAATCGGTGGTAGCCGATTCTCGAGGACGTTCCCCGACAAAGAGAGTGTATATAACACCACATATAGCACGCGAGAGAATTCTCGCGTCGGCATGCTGAGGGTTCATATACAATGTACCTGCTTTCCAACCACTCCTCATCCCACTGAAATAACTAACATTATTGCATATACAAGAGCCGCGGCATATGGCCCATCGACATTCGTAATTTGTATATATAGTTTTTCTATAATCAACCGATTTACGAGCTCCCAGGTGGGTAGTCGATCTCGTACAGTGAACACACAAGGAAATGCAGGTGATCGATCGAGTGCAGAGGTTAGTGACTTCGCCCGGCAACGGAGCCAACGTCGCGCAGACCTGCGCCAGCAACTTGACGACTGGAACCGAGCAGTTCGGGCAGACGTTGACAACAGGTTGAGTGAGTCAATGCTCGCCCGGGCGGCAGCAAGCTTTACCACCACCACGATGCGATCCCGGATAGGAACGGGTTCGACGGAAACGTCGACCTGTATCTATTTGATTACGTTATCCAGTTTGCAGGTACTACTACCTGGGACCCTAGTGTCCATGTCACGGATGCGCTGCCCGACACTTTCGCACGGGATTGGTCACCCAGAGTGCACCACCACAACAGTGGTCCCTTTATCCATCGCAATCCGGAAAATGCTATTTTCACGACTGCCGACTTACCCGAGCTTATGGCTCTACGACCAGTCGCAAGTGTAAACCTCACAACAAGGTCCGTTACGCCACAGAAAGCGGACGAGGTTGCACTTCGTGGATACTACGGGGACTTTGTCGGTCACTTTGACCGGGAGATCACCTTAGAATCCATGTACATTGATGAACCAATCTTCACCACTAAGTGGAGGGAGGCCATGGTAATGGTCTACCGGAACGACCCCGTTCCAATGGTACCAAAAGTATATGCCTTGATCGAGCCAACGGCGTTGGGGGATAGAGAGCCAGAGTTCCCATTGGCTCTGTAGCAATGGTAGGAATAATCGTCGCGCCTGCCGTTACCGTCAACTTTACGCTAGCGATCTACGATGCTTACCCACACTGCCCCTCCTTGATCCTCTTATCCCATCTTCTTTTCAGAGTTATCTCTCATCACTCTGCCCTCTTATCCCATATTCCTTACAGAACTATCTCCCGTCACGCTGTCCTATAATACCATGGCTTCAGTGCTTAGCTATTGCAGTCATGTCTCAGGAAACGTTCGGTCGTCCGGGACCCCTCCAGTTTGCAGAACCTGACCAGAACATCAACTCGAACACAACACAGTTATCTGGTATCGGTCCAGTAGATGCTAAAGTCGCGAAGAACATGGTGGTGCCCGTCGAAGCACTCACTAGTTACTACAACCTCGCGAAAACAGTCACTCAGCAAGAGATTGCAGAGCCTTTGTACTTTACCGGAGCCGACGAGGATGAAATCACAGACATAGCCTGTGACGGCTTCATGAATATGGATGCTCGCCTTATTCACAGCATACTGCGTGGCGACGTCCCATATGAATACGCGCGGCAAGACAGTCAGATCAAGGTTATTCTAGACAGCAACATGGCCAGGCAGGTCACCCCCACCGACAATTCTCTAATTCAGCCTGTCATTTACGGCCGGTATCTGAAAGACCGCAATGGACGTGGCCTTACCCGCGAACAGCTTCGACGTATGATTACGACCATCCGTAATTATTTCGACCCCAATGCCAGCAAGCAAGGGATTGCCGCCATTGATGCGAGCATAAGGGTTGGCCAATCCAAGAATAGACCAGCGTACTCACCGGCCATGACATCGTTCAGACTATTTTGCGCCAAATTGGAAGAGCGTCTTGCATAGGATGATGCCCCCGAGCTGCGTCCGCTCGCTACATTTGGGTATACGGGCAATGTCCAAAAGTGTTTCCGACAACCTCAGGAGCATAGCGAGGGAACAGCAACATTTTTGAACTTATTCGAGGCTGCATGCATTTCTGAGTTTGGCGAGTCTTTCCGTAAAAAACAGTACGTCCTCGCTCTTCTCGACGACTCACCCCAAGCTCAAGTAATGGAGGCTATGATCATGCGTCTGGGCAATAGTAGTGTCCCCATGCCCCCATGTACTCATTCGAGTAACATCTAATATTCCTTCAGGCTATTGGTTCAATGGCACTGGCTTCAACATACAGTACGGTGGAGGCAGCTGTAGTTCGGCTAGAGAATTTGGCATCAACAACTGTGTCCGTTTCGTCGAACACAATCTCCCCACATTCTTGAGAAACTCTGAATGGGAGGCAGCGCAGCTAGACGCAGAGATCGCGCGTGTTGAGGCCAGAGACCCCCGAGATGATCCTGAATACCAAAAGCTTGTCGCTTGGAACAGCTTCCTGGATGAGCTGCTGGTCAAGATTGAGGCGGAGAACAAAAGTTATGAACGTGCCAAAGTGGCCACCCGGAAGTGTGTTGATACCGTTGCCCTCTTCCACGGTCTTATCGCAGCTATGACATGGGCACATTCACAGTATGACATGACAGGTGCTGCATCAGATGAGCCGCCCGCCGCAGAAGACGGTGACTAGCTTTCCAATACATGGTCAACACTAACGGAAACTCAAGGGTATGGTCACTGGAAATGTTGCGAGGGGGGGTAATGAGTGTTTGTTAAATTCGGACTAGTAAATGTATCTCGCGGATAGAAACTAATTTCATCCAAGTCTCTCTCCATGCGCTACACTGAAAGCTACCTTCTCAACATCTAGTTATAATGGGCTATGACAATGTTCACAGAGCAATAGCTGCCGAAGCTCGACGTTTTATGCAAGTCTGACACTGGGCTTGCTAAACGCTACTGTGACGAGCGTAATGGCCAAAATTCCTTGCAATAACGTAGTGGACCAGAGGCCACATCCCCAAAGGGGTAGACATTTCTACTGGGCTCGAATGGACTTGGGATTTCGATTAGTCTCATACCGAAGGAGTAATAGTAGCCTCTTCGCTATGTGGTCGTGTGTACAATCCAATCGTGGTGGTCATGTATTACCTATATTGAGGAATACTGCTTAGAGAGTGGAATAAAGAAAGAGATGATTCAACATAGGTTCCAGTGAATGCAGGGTCTTGGGGGGAGACGAAATGGCTTTGGCCCTATACAAACACATCGTTCGTTGGGAGCCGTAGGCGAAGACAGGGGGGGGGAGTGAATATATTATCTATGGTAACATGTACTTGTTTAACATGGTTCTAGACGAGTCGCTACAACGCTCACGTATGTTGAGATCATCAAGACAGCTCCCATCTGCTCCAGCCTAAAACACTGGCTGGCTATTACTAGCGTGACTGAGACGCGTCTAGCCCACAATGCTTCATCACTGCGGTGGATTTCAAAGATGATATGTTAATGTATTCATTCTGCCACCAAGAGGGCATGGGGCTATGGCACTTTTATCACGTCTGCTTTTCCCCTTCTGCAACCAGAGCTTCCCATCTCACGGATAAATTCCTCCTTCCCCTCAATCATGATGCATCAGCTCATGAGAGCACTCAGCCGCAGGTCCGTCTACCACCTTCGAACCATCTTCTTCACTATCTAACTACTCAGCTTGCAAGACCTCGTGCTCCGCTTCGGCAGAACCAACCCGCATATCCATCAACCTCGCCACATGATCAAGAGGCCCCTGCTCATCCAGATCCCTAGCGCTCTCGGACGTCTCCTTCTACTCTGCTACCGCTCCATCGTTCGAGCTCGCATGCGGAGTTGTGGTTGTTGGGAAGAGCTTGACCTGCATGATGTCGTCTTCATATGGATTTTCTAGCCTTGCTACGTTGAATCTCACCCCGAATCTCTTGAGAAAAGACATTTCCTTAGTAAGAAAAAGATCTTAGTAGGTTTTTGAGGTGTAGTGGCTCTATACGGACTGAAGCTTCGAGGTGAGTTTCGTGGATTCACGATGAGAGACAAGGTAAAGAAGGAAACGGGGAGGGGTGGTGAGTATAAAGAAGGCAACATCAGCGATACTAGTCTTGAAAACCAAAATTCACGTCACGTTTGAAAAATATCAAAACTCATACCCGCGATGGCAGATATCAAATTATGTTATTTAGCATCACTTGTCGACCAGCGACCTTTTTGCATAGTTTGAAACCACGCTTAACGCCTTGCATGTAATAAATATGGTAATGAATCAGCTAGCAGCGCCGTCACGATAATAAGGTCGCTGTCTCTGCTCTTTTTCAGACAACTCGTATTTGTAACTTTGTCTGTGTGTCTGTCCGTCGTTCGTCAGGCAGTAAGTAGTGAAAACCCAATAGACTAGGCGGTCTCAGTCTTTGGCGCCGAACCGTATCCAGCAGAATTTTTTGAATCCGCTGCCATGAGTTCAGCACTGTAGATGCGCTTGTAGTCCTGCTCCGTCCACCCTTGCTGCTGTGCGAGACCGCTCAAACTGAGACCTCGAGATCGTGACTTCTTCTGCGAGTCGCCTTGGGGAAGACCAACAGGCGAGTTGTAGTTGAGAGGGACAACGCCCTGTCCGGGAAGTGGGAAAGGCGTAGACATGGACGCAGGCGAGGCGACGATCTGACCGTTGTTGTTGTTGTTGGGTACCTCTGAATCGGTCGAGAGGTCAGATGACGCGGACGCCTCCTGGGCCCTCTTGAGCGCATTTTCGTAGTTGGCAGAGCTGGCGCGAACAACCCCAGGCCGGCGATATCCCGTGTATGCCTTTAGGACCTCGGTTGTGCCGTTTTGGGTAGGTGTCTCGTTGCCGCCACCGGTGCCCATCAAAGGGAGAAGACGAGGATTGGGAGCTGCCGAGTCGGTCTGGGCGGTGCTGTTTGCTGTAAGGGCCTCTTCAGCCTGGTTACGCGTATTGGGTGTGAGGCCAGATGGAGTGAAACTGCCCGACGACAGGAAAGACCCTTCGGTCGGCGGCATGAGGGACGGTCTTGAAGTCATTGTGATGGTACTGCTGTAAGCGTCCGAGTGCAATCTTGGAGGGTGGACGAGAGACTGTGAATTAAAAGTGTAGTAACACGTGAAAGTCCTTGAGTCCAAGTTAGTTAATTTAATACATCCAGCAATACATCTTGCCCCTGCAGAAAATGGGTAGGTACATCATACTATATAGTATGCTTATTGGTCGAAAGCAAGGGCAATGGGGGATCCCGCAACAAAAGCTTACCTTGATTGTCTTCACTGTGAGGAGTATTGGTGTGCAGAAGGAATTCAAACAATTCGCTGATGGGGCCCTGTCCCAAGCGATGTTTGGTGTATTTGAACTAAAGGCGGGTGATGCTATGCCATCATATCTTGGCGAGTGACGTCTTTTCAGGGTCCAAACTTGCGGGGCCCTTTGGCCTAACTGCAATGGGCAACCCTACGTGCTGCTCAACAGACAATGTTTCGGTGGCAAGCGAGATGCAGGATTGCAATCTAGATCGTTGAGTGATCTGGTGTGGAGGAGATGCTCTGGGATAGGTGGGAATGCCCGCGGCGGCAAGGGAGTTGCATGTCGCAGTGCGCTAGGGCTACGTAGACGCGGAAGCAATGATGCTATACACGGTATCCATGGGGCGGTGTACTTTCATTTAGCGGATTGGAACAATGGGTCTTTATCGTGTCCGCTGCGCGTGACGACGTTCGGCCTAAGGAAATGTCTGGTCGCATGAAGGACCAGCATCTAGCTCCCTTGATCAAAACTTAGTGTCCAGCATGGGCTTGCATTTGGAGGACCGCGATAAGATTGAATACGAGGGCAATTACCTCTGCAAGTTCTACACATAGGGCAGTCTAGACTCAACAGAGGAATATCTCGTCCCACACTGCTGCCAGTCGATCATTGCATTGGAGTCGTGCGATTGGTGCAATGCGTTATGAGGTCATTGTCATCCTGCCAGCAGCCAAGCACAAGAACGTCAGACCTAAAGACTGAGTGATGTAGTACTAGGGCGAGTGATTAAATCTTTTTCTTTCGTTTTGGGCAGACACTTAGGCGTTGTAGTTACAGAAAACAAGGGTCCTTGTAGTATGTGCACAGTAGGCCCGAGAAGTGGCCGCGCTGAGGGTTGCAAGCAAGGTCTTCCCTGAGTAGCGGAGCTATTCCCGATAGAGTATAGACTGAGATAGTGCGGATTTGAGCATTTGTTGTGCCTAGATGCAGCGTATTAGAAAGGAATCATGGGTCTCAGCGGTAAGCTTTTTTAAGTGCAAACAAGCAGTCTATTCAACTTTTGAACATGGATATATGAGGGACATACAAGAATCGCTCGCCAGCGCCGGATTATGCTTTGGAGTCACTTTTACTGTATCTATACGCTCGAGACACGTACTCATCATGGGGAGCCAAGATATTTGCTCAAGAACTGACCCAAAGGCCCAAGCAGAGGATACCGAGTACTGAAGTCTCCATTCCGCCCTAGCCATACAGCATAGACACCAACAAGAACGGCAAGACTGGCGGCGCCGTATCGGCGATAGAACCAAAGACGCAGCTTGAGGTACTCGACGTTCTTGGCCGCACGTCGCAGGGCCTGTTGTCGGCGGAGGTCCCTCTCCTGCTGCGCGAGGAACATTTCTCCGTCCTCCAAGGTCAGGCGACGAAGACTATCGCTGGTAGCAGAGGATTTGAGCACGCTGGACGATGAGATGCGCCACCACTCCCAGCTGTTGAGGCGGGCAGGCGGCAGTCTTTCGTATAGTTCTACAGTCCGGGCGATATGAAATTCGACATCAAACGGTTGTGGAAGCCGGCCCAGCATGACATAAAGTATGTCTTCGTCATCCTGGTCAATCTCTAGCAGCTCGTCCCTCTTAGAAAGCACAACCGCAGCGAAGAGATAGATGGGCATTACAGCATGCCGAGCTAGGAAGAAGTCAAACAATCTCGTGATATCCTTGTAGTCCTGTATATTGTGTGCAAACATGGTAATGGTACCGGCAAGCGCAAACGAGGGCTGACTCTTTGGGAGATGGTTGTACAGGACCGGGTCTGCAGCGCGAAGAATAGGCCGAAGCAGTTCTAGTTGGGCGAGGGCAGGCTCAAGCGATGACAGCATGAAGTCACGGATACGCAGTAGGCTCAGACGAGCGACTGCAGCGGGGGCATGCTCGGGGCCGAGGACGAGGAGAAAGACCTGGACGATGTCATGGTAGCCCTGGAAGTAAGATAGCGAGGGGTGCCGGCGCAGGACGTCGAGGATGACGTAGGAGAGGTCCTTCTTTCGCTGCTGAAGCTGCTTCTCTGATTCTGAGGGAAGTCAGCATGTGAAGACAGTAGATTCGGCACGGTCTGGCCTACCGTTCCTGGGGTAGTAGACAAAGGCCCGATTGACGTCGAGACCAACTTGATGTTCGTCCTCGTGCTCGGGAAGGGCTGCATGGGGTTCCTTGGCCACGTCGCTCTCAGAGCATCCTAGCAAGAGGGGCCCTATGCACATCAGCCTAGTGCTCTGCACAATGCGAACAGCAACAGCAGCCTACAAACAGTGCGGCGCAGGCTGTCGCTGACAAGGCCGTACGATGTCGTCGCCAGATGGACCAGGGCGGCAACATCGTCATTGTCAATGGCCGCGCGAACCAATGCCTCCTTCTCCTGCTCGGCAGGCGAAAGAGTAGCGATGGGCGTGGAGTGGCGCGAAGGGAGGCTACTGGAGCTGGCACTCACTGAGCGCGATAGAGAGGCTGACGAAGTGGGTGAAGCCATGGGCGCGGCGGCATCTCGAGGCTGGCTGGATGACGTAGCCAATGTGTGCCTCGCGGGCGCAGAAGAGCGCGCAGGGGACGGGGAGTGGCGAGATAGGGCGAGCCCAGACGGATGTTTCTTTGTCGAGGGTGTAAATTGCTTACATGGTGGTTTGTTACGCGCAGGCAGGCTTCGCAGGCGCCAGGTTTGCCCGTGTGAGCGTCGCGCTTCCGTTGCCCTTCGAGCCGAGGAGCTTGGCACCCCACCATCCATCATCCACTGCCGACGTCACGTGAACCTCAATCTCAACACACCACCCGCTCCAGCCATTCACCTCCGCTGCCGGCCCTGATCGCCGCCGGCCTCAGTGCCTCGCCGATAATCTGCCAGCCCGCGTTGCACAGGGCCCGCGTCAATTACGTGCACGACTCTCGCTTTTCCATCACCACTTGGCTAGTCTGGCCGTCTAGATTTCGCACCATCCCGATACTCCCTTGATATAGTATTCCCGGGTGCTAGAGCTGCAGATCGTCCCGGCTACAGTTACCTCGAATTGCTGCTGCTGCCATTCCGCTCCTCATCTTGGCTACGGGATTCAGTCATTGAGAGACTGCGTAGACTATCGATTACACCAACTCATTCCTGAATAGCTCTTCCCCATCAACCCGGTCTGACAAACTAGCCTGCTCCGACAGGCTCAAACATGTCTCCAACGGAATTCATCCACCGTGTACCTTTGCACCTTTTCCCTACTCCAGCTTGAGTATCTTGCCCGCGGCTGTACAATCTGACCATCACTGTCGCCTCCGAACGGTCGTGCCCTGCGATCGTCTTTTAACTCCTCACCATGGCGCAAGCCCATGGTCTTAGGCTTGTCGACGGCGAGTGGGTCTCTATGCCCATCGACCCTTATCATATTATGGCCAACGCCCAGCAAGATGACACCCATATGCCCGATGTCGCCCCTAAGCCAGCTCATCGGGTGCCCGAGTATGGCATTCTATCCCAGACAGTCATCGCTACTCCTCTAAACAAGCTCATTCTGCCCGCCAACATACGCCACAACGACTTGGTTGATGTTGTCATTGTTGGCGAGGACTATATACATCTCAAGGAAATTCGTGATCATGGCCGCATCCGCCATGTAGCCACCAAAACTGACTTCAACGGCGGCCGTATCATAACCGCCAAGGTGTTCGGCCCTCCACGCGAGGCACCTAGCACGAAGATTGGCAGCTTCCCTTTGCCAAAGACCGATTTGAAGCATAGATCACGACAACCAGCAAGTGAAAGGGAGACCCATTTGCCCCCAGAAGTCGTTGTACTCACTCTCTCCAATAGGACGCTCATGTTCTTGTGGGCCCGACATAATCACACAGGACTGAGCACCTTCACACAAAAGACTGTCAGATTACCCGCAGGGAGCTCACGGTTTGATCGTTTCGGCAGTCTCCTGGCTGTCGATCCCCACTGCCGGGCAATAGCTGTTGCAGCGCATGAGGGTCGCTTCATCCTATACAAAACCAAGTCCATGGCAGCTTGGGAAGCCGAGGCTAACAAAGGCCGCGAGATGCCGACAGCTATTGAAGATGAGCGTATCATATCAGTCCAGGGGCAAATCATGCACATGGACTTTCTATCCCCTGGAGAGGATGAGTATCACGTCGTTCTTCTTTTAGTCATTGTGCTCGATGGCCGAACAAGGCTTTCTTGCTTTGATTGGGATTGTAGGCAGAATCTTAGCGAAGCAGCAGCACGCACAGAGCGATACTATGTGCAAAAGGGTAAGTAGATAGCCGTGCAGACGCACATTCTTGTAACTATTACTAATTCATCAGAGGACACTATGCCTTCACTCCTAATCCCTCTCCGCCGCAGCCCCGATTTCCTCTTGGTTTTCGACGAGCACATTTCCGTATACAAAAACATCCTCTCCGGAGACCCAGCATGTGCGATGGTGCCTATCGATCCGAGCTTGCTCATCCCACTCCTACCAGGTGATAGCAAATCAAGACCAAAATGGACAGCGTGGGATAAAACCCTACGCAATCCAGGCTACCCAAAGGAGGGCTTCTACCTAGCAAGAGAGGATGGACGTATCATATCTCTGGTCAAAGGGCCAGCCGGGACTGTAGAAATGGATGAGGTCGGCGAATGGTCACATCGCATCGACACTGCTTTCGCATGTTTGCAGATTGACAACTCTGAGGCTTCGCAGCGGTATCCGGATTTCCTGATTGCTGGCGGGGCTAGCAACGACGGTCTGCTATGCAAGGTTGGATCATGGCTAACTGAGTATTCCTACAACGAACCGAGGACGAATTCTTTTTCGTACATTGATTCGATGCCTAATTGGACGCCTCTTACAGACTTTACAATTACCAAGCTTTCTACTCCACGCACCTCCAGTGAACGTCAGCGGGCTTCGATATTCGTTGCCAATGGAAACAGTCCGCATGGAGAAATTTCCGAGCTCAGACACGGAGTACAAGCCATAGTGGACGACAGTTTCAGTGGAGTCAATGGCTGTGCGGGCGTATGGGTCGTCGATCACGGGAGTCACGTGGTTGACATCGAAGGCACAATGACAAGACAGCACTATGCAATATTGACGATAACAATCCCACCGGAGACCCTTGTGATTCGTATTGTACGCACGCAACCGGAGTGTGACAGAGAATTCTCTGGCGCTTGGGAACTAGGCTCGTGGGACAAGTTCCAGACACCTAGCGATGACGACCCACTTGAAGACAGCCTTGCGCGAGATGAAGAGACAATATCTGCATGCGCTTGGTCAAGCGATATATCGGTTCAGATTACGAGGAAAGAAGCTCGCACGCTCCTTCGACCGACATTACGCCAAGTCGACATACTGAGATTCGAAACGTCGCTCTTGTTAGCTGCTTCTCGTCCTACACATCCATTCATCGCAATCGTTTTTCGTGAGCAAGGATGCATATCCCTAAAGATTGTGCAAATATCGGATGATGGCACCTTCGAAAGAACAGACAATTTCCGTCAACAGCTGCCCTATGACCCTACATGTGTTGATATATTGGATATTGGGGGTATATCATACGTGTTTGTCAGCACCTTTGATTGTAAAATCATGCTCTTCAAACACCACGACCGTCAGACATCTCTGGTGATGGAAGATACCTGGGATCAAGATTCGCCCAGCAATTCACAGAAGCTCTGTGAGAGTGTCGCGGTCTTGAGCTCAAACGACCAGTACATGCTGGTCTGTGGCATGCGGGACGGTACTCTTTTGAGCTCTGCATTAGATATACGAGACCAAGGTAAGTCTAACGTGCAATACATATGAGATATAGCTAAACTCGGTCAGGAATTTCCTTTATTTCTTGGACATGTACGTACATCGGTACAACACCAGCCAAGATTACCCATAGTGAGACTGATGCCTCTTCTGCATTTGTATCCTGTGGTTCAGATTTCTGTCGGGTACGATATCCCAAAAATAGGTCCTTAGATCTCGAGATTGACTGCATATGGTTCACCGACCGCACACAACCTGATTACAATCAATCTCCAGTATCCGCTTTGTACCAGCTTCCCTTCCTCCGGGAGTTAGACAAGTTTGGAAGAAATCTTGGGGGCTTTTTGTTCGTCGTTGCGGGTGACCGTCTCCTTTTCTCCCAACTTGAGTCAGACATCAGATGGGCAGTTGGCGGCGCACCTACTCGGTCCTTCTGTGACTCCAGAATGGTCCCGCGAAAGATGATTACAGGCGCTAAGCCCACGAGCATACTGTATATGCAAAAGCTGCGGCGGGTTGTTGTCTCAACGATGGAAGCAAAGGAAAGTTATGCGCCACCACATGGCGAGCGGGTCTTGCACTCGTCAATTAAACTGCTTGAGGTGCGCGATGACAGATCAACCAATGATACGGAAATAAAACAAGAAGAACAAGACGGCGTTCTAGAACGATTAGTCGTAGCCCAGTTCTCGCTACAGCACGCGGAAAGAGTGTATACTATGGTCGAGTGGCAATTTGTCACTCAGCGGGACAAAAAGTACTCTCTAATCATCGTAGGCACGGGTATACAAGTGGGAACAAGTCGACAAACCGGGAGGAGACTGATCTTCAATACTGGAAGGTCGGGCTCTAAGCTAGAGCTACAAAAACAGTCCACCTACGACCAACCAGTCTATAGCATTGCATTATGGGACAACAAAACTACTGTTGGTGTCACTGGAAGGATGTTGTTCATGGAACAATTCTTTGAGGACGATGGAAGGTGTGTATCCTCTGTTAGTTTGCACAAGAGGCTGACTAATTTCTTATAGGTGGACTCAATGCGCATGGACAGAACTTCCTTCACCTGGCATCCACGTTTCCGTTGAACGTCCTTATGTTTACGTATCAACACTCCAGCACTCCCACATGTGTTTCCAACTAGTGGATAGAGACCGCCCTGGTGTTTTCGTGTTTATTCCATGGTTTTCTGATAGCGGTGTGCGCAACTGCTCGCGGCATCTTGTCATGGATGTGCCGAGTGTGAGTGATGAACAAAAAGACCATTTCGTACTTGTCACAGATAAGAAGAGTAGTTCAGTGACCGCTCTCTATCACCCACCCGAATACACCTACAGTAACGCATCGGAAACGCTGTTTGAAGCGTATCTTCCCCGCGCTGTAGTGCGTATCGATCGCGGTGACATCCGTCCACCATGGCGTCGAGCAAACCCTAGTGGCAAGATTGCTGGTATCCTTGCAGACGACATCTTCGGTGCTTGTACCGACGGCACCATCTTTGCTTTTTCTGTCCTCTCTCAGCCATTACGCCACCTCTTGCGCTTGGTACAGAATCTCATTGAAGTCAAAACATCGCGATCCGCTGTGCATCAACACGACAAGGTCAAGCCCCGAAGTGGAGACATCTTCCGTATTCTCATGAACAATACTCCGGGGACCCAACATGGCGACATCATGATTAGAGATGTGGATCCGAGACACCTGGAACGTGCTTCTCAACGTGGACCACGGCATAAACATGTCGATGGCGATTTGCTCAAGCGGTGGCTGAGTGAGAGTGACGGCGACGTACAAAGTCTAGTTTGCGACGGCGTTGATACTGAGATTAGTAAGCTGTTTGAGGAGTTAGCGCGGGATGTTTGTGGTGAAGGGTATGGCGAAGGGGCGGATGGCAAGGGGAAGGGGATGAAGGAAGATAAAGAGGTGTTTGAGCAGGTGAAGAGGTGGATGCGGGATGTACTTATGCCTTTGCTGTGAGTGGTGGGGTTTTGTGGATATGCAAAGGTAATGGCACAAGGGGTTTTCCTACCCACGTTTCATGATGGGTGTCTGCTCATCGTTCGGATTTCAAAACTTCATCCTGATATTGAGCAAACTGCTGTGACTAGTTTTGTAGGTAAATCTACCTTTTTATGAGACATTAGCAATGCCGAAATCGACAAAAGCAAATCACATATAATAGAGAAGGAAAAGAAAGATGGAGTGGTAGGTTTGTGAATGTGACAACGGTGTTTGGTGAAGTTTCGGGTATGGCATATCTTTTTGATGGTACTGCATGAAGGAAACGGCAGTAACATTAGGCGCAGTAAGATTGGTTGCGCCGTTTCCTCACTTCATGACTATCTTACATAACAGGCTCACCAGTGAGATGCATAGGGGTTGCTGCTTGATAGTCTTGTTCCAAGGATTTCCGTCACACTTGGGTGGAATTCCGTTACTCTTCCTTCACGCTCTCTAAAATCAAGAGCAATACCTCAATAGATCCTCCCCCTGCTTACCATCTCGACTTAGATCAATAACTAGAGTCCCCTATGGTTCTTTGTCACCGCCAACTTTGGTTGCCGTGCTAGCCTCCATCTCGCTACCAGCCCTAGCTGTCGTTCGAGACCAGTATCGATACCCGAGGATTGTCACATTTACCCGCTGTTCCAACCGAAATCTATAGACGCAGCAACCCAAGTCAATAGCTCCATCCACTTTTGCTTTCTCAAAGCTTCCGATATGACAGATTTTATATTTCCTGAAAACGTGAATACCTTTGAAGACGAGGTCGCTCAATGGATCTCGGAAGGAAATCACTTGGATGCATCAAGGTAATTTGCATTTCACGTTTCATTATTGCTTTACTAACTCAAACTAGGGGAGTTCCATCTAGTCCACCAAGCAGCGACACATCCAGCGTCACCAACGAAGGCTCGGCCTCTGACTTTTTCTGGTACAATGGCAGATGGTATACCTACACCACAGATGTCAGTTCTGATCTGGTGACGCTCGCACAGAGTTTATGGGAAGGCCGTATCGATCTCGAATTGGAAGTGAGGGAGGTACCCGCCGACCCTCCAGTCACTGAGGATAACCAAGAAGACGGTAGTAAGACACCTTCACAATCGACCGAACAGAACACATATGTCCGAGAGGACACCCCCATCCCCGACTGGGACCAGAGCGATCACACCAAATCTATCTCGCAAGCCAGTGAAACAACTACAATGAGTCGAGAAGCCACTCCGATCCCCGAACAATCAGCCTCACAGCCACCCTCCGCCGAAAAAGACCCTACCAAATCCTCAACTTCCAGCCCGGGGGAACGAGACAACTTCCCCGAGTGGGACGGTCCGACCAGATGCCCATATCGTTGTCGAGCTTTACTGAACACAGAAGAACTCTACGTCTCGCATATGCGCACGCACAAAGGAAAGAGTTATATCTGCGAGGCGCCCGGCTGCAGCAAAGTCTACGTTCACATGAGGACCTTGAGAAAACACCAGCGGCAGACCCACGGTAATCCTCAGAGCGGCGGGTGTGTAGTGTGGTCGGAGCCTTAGCTTGCTAGAGAAGGCCGCGAGGTATTTAGGGCGAAATGGGGCGCAAGACTTCTGCAGGGTGATGTTGGCACTACATTGGGTTTTTTTGTTTACAAATTTGGTGGGATGTCATGTTCCATTCACGGGTTTGAAATGTTAATACAGCACATGGTACATTCGTGTTCACCATGTTCTTCATTGTTCTCAATGATCCGAAAACATTCAAGTTCTCCATAACACGAAACAACAACGAAAGTGTGTGTGTAGTAGACGAACTATTGTTGTACTGTGAGCTTGACGTCGAGTCCGCTCCTGCTCGATTTGGTAGATGACGCACTCACTCACGACGCCATCACCCTGCCCCTCTCCTCGACTCCTCAACACATCTCCAATTCATTACCATCTTCAATCCCTTTCTCTTTGAAACAATCAGAGTAAACCATTCTTTCTTGCATCGGCCTCTCCTTCCCTTCACGATCAAATCTACTCGACGATTCCGAAGATGGATTCGAGAAACCTCCACCAGTCCCACCTCCCCTATAAGCTAAACTCCGATCGCACTCCTGTTCATGCAAACATGTACAATGCACTGAATACAAGGGAGCAGATGAAACAAGATCTGGGAAGTAAGAGAAAGAAACTTAGCGCAGCAGTCGATGAGATGCACTCTGCCGCGACCGAGGTCACAGCAAAGGTGAAGGATGAAATAGCCGCAAAGAAGAAGTCAATTCTTACCAATGAAATTGCCAATCGTACGCCCGAAGATGCACTCAATATCCTCGAAAAAGAGGCAGACAGCGTGAAGAGGTCTTGGGAAGCTGGTCAGCACTTCAAGTTTGGTCACGGCGCGCGAATGCAGACGAGGGCGGATGCCATCAGCTAGAGCCTCGCTATCACTGCGAAGAACATCGTCTCCCAGACGTTTGACAAAACTCTCTTTAAAAAGATAACGAGCTTGGTTGCCGCGGAGCAGCGGTTTCTACTGCTCGAAGCAGATATTGACATTGCACAGCAAGCAGCATTCGAAAATGCCGACGTACAAGCAGAGCTCGACCGCACTGTCTCGGCACTACAAGCCTTGAGCGATAACTCTTCCAAAGAGATGCAAGCAATGCGTACAGAGCATGAAGTCCTTCACGTCGAACACGATGCACTGCGAATCAAATATGAGACACTTTGTACTGACAATGAGAGCCTCCGAACGCGTAATGAAGGCCTACTCACCGAGTGAAAGGCGCTGCACCCCCGGACTGAGTCACTTCACGTCGAGAACAAGGCACTGCAATCCCAAAACGGGATGCTGCAAGCAGGCAAAAAACGCTACGCTTCCATACTGAAGCACAATTCATCAATAACCAAATTCTTAAAAACAACGTAGAAAGTCTCACAAGGCAGTTGTCTGGAATGACTGAGCAGTACGAAACGACCGTACAGCTCGCGAACGAGACAAAGCGGTCCCTTAAAGAGAAGAAGGGAGAAATGCAAAAGCTCGCTGCTCATGTTGCAGAGTTGGATAGCAAATGCCAGTCTCTGGAACTTCAATCCAGGGAGATGGTCCATCGTTCTCAACTGGAGAGGGCAAGTGACCAACTACAGAGATCACAAGAGATGTGTCAAGATATTAGCGATAAGCACAATGAACTTGAGCAGGAGATGAGGGACATGGTTGACCGTGTAGTATACGAGGCAGTCTACCAGGAAAGCGAGGTTTCAACGAGAAAGTTTCTTGAGGCTGATAGAGAGCTTGCACATGTTGGTGAGCAACTGCAGTCCACGGAAGTTGTTCTTGAGGACGCGCTGCGTGACAAGGAGACGTTGAGCGAACGTGTAAAAGTCTCAGAAGAAGAACGTCTGGCTGCGTCAGACATGCTACACAACTACGCTGCATACATCGAACAGCTGCCCTCGCTCGAGGAGTTTACACAAACATCCTACATGCTCCAAGAGTCCCAGGACATCATCGCTCGCCAATAGCAAGAAATTTTGGAGCTTGGAGAGGTCATAGAAAAGCTTGCGCAATGGCTGGGGGAGAGCATGGAAACCTCGACACGTGTCATTGAAAAGTTCGTGGAGGCCCTGACTATCAGCCAGAATGAGTTGAGGGAAATGACCGCAGCTTGGGACACTATGGCAGAAATGGTTGATGCATTCAAGGTAGGGGTAGATGAAATGATCCGTAAGTCCCAGCCTCTACAGCGATCCAGTGAAGATGTCGTGGGTAGTTCTATTTAGTCATGAAAACATTCAGAAACATGCTACTATCGTAATTGAACCTCATAATACACCATGAGCCTTGAAGTTCCTTTTAGTCCATGATAGCTGCTTTTCTCCGTGAGCTTCGTTTCAATCTAGCCTAATCAAGACCAGAAACGCCACTCGGACGTCATAAGTATCAATTCTTTCAATAATTCCATCCTCGCCTAGCCTTTTTCCTCCTCTCCTCTGCTCCCTCGGACTCCCTTCTCATCCTGTCTTCTGATCCCCTAGTATCCCTCCTCTGCTTACTGGGTATCTCTCCTCATCTCCTCTTGCTGCCTAGCCCTCCTCCTCTTCTTCTCCTGTCTTGGCTCGCACTCCGTACAGTGCTGGTACACCCTCTTTTCTGGAAAAGCCTCCCGTGGAAGTGCTGCTCCTGCTACATTATGAAGCGGGCACCATATCAGCGAAGGAGTCGTAGTGGGGGTTGAACACCATATGCACACTTCGACATTCTCGCCATTTTTTGGCAGAACTTTTGTGAATTGGTTGTTGATGTGTTCTCTCGATCTATTCTCATGGCATTTGCAGCACATGAAAAAATCGTAGTCCAACGAAAAGTCGCTGTCGTTGCAGATGTTGCACTCGCGAGACACTGGTGAAGCGAAATCATTTTCTAGCAATGCTTCTCTACACCCCAAGCAGTACTGCAGCTTTTTGGATGCGTTCTGGCTGTTGCACCACGTACAAATGTTCAAGGTTGTATTTTCTCGGTCATCGTTGTGACGGAGAGCAGAACATGACGTGCTGTAGAAAGTAAATCTGTATCACCTGGTGAGTGGCAAACGCAACATGCCAAGATAGGTGGCGAGGCCCCTAGATCAAAGGTGAAGGTGAGTGTGACGATACCCCAGGGTTGTCCTCAAGGACAACTACCTCTCTGCTGTAAGCACGTGAACAAAAATTGAATAATCACTTTGCAAGTGTTTCTGAGCCCTAGCAGAGAAGTGGCCTTGTTCATTACCTCTCTTTTCAGTGCTTACTGCAGTGTCCGACTATCAATTCTTCACATTAAGATGGTTACAGCATGGTAGTGTAACTAAACACCAATATATAGCTCTTTACTCTATCTAAACATATGTTTGAACGGGTACAGATAGTTTCGAGCCATGAGTCTTACTATCGAGAAGACGAGCTACCTTTACCTCCGTAGTGTTGATATTAGTGCAGTGAGTGAGAGCTTGACAACAGTTCGGACAATAGTATCGCCCAGGGTTACGAGTAACACTGTGCGCCAGTACAATTTCTGGTTACTAGCGATTGCGAACTGCTGCAGTACAGGCTACTGCAAAACCAAGCCTATGTTTTCTATAGTAGATATCTGTGAGTGATATGTTAATATAAATCCCCGCTACTGCACTGAACCCAACACCGGCTGCCACGAGAAGATGCCGTGCTATAAAAGACAACTCCGTAAACAGTCAAACTAAGTGATATAACGGCACTGTAAGCCATGGGTTTCACTTGTGTGTATGTCACAAGGGAGGCTGTTGGATAGGATGTCAAACATATATAGCACAATACAATACTGAGCTAAACACGCGCTTGAAAACAGCCTATACAATACTCCACATTGTAACGGGTTGATATGGATTCAATTGCCACTATAACTATCAAACCAAACTCTTTGTTCACATGTATAGGTGCTGTATACCTGCTGACGCACTGCTAAATTCCAAGGCGCTGTTGAGCTCATCTCAACAGCGTCATCAAACACAAAATACACGCGTCAGGCAGGCTCAACCCCAACAACGGAGGTCCTATTTACAAGGCACACAGCCAAAATTCGCGCCGAAATCACCACAGGAAGTCGACCAGACCAACAGGACCTCGAATCATGTCATGGCCCCTCTTCGAGACTAGTCGGGTATGCCCCGTCTCAGCTCGCATTCGACGCGTATCGCAGAGCCTCATGTCCTTGACACCGTCCCCATCATGATTCAGTCATTTCCTGTGCACCGGCGAAGAAAATCCTCTGATAGCGCAGTTCGTGTCGCGTTGGGGCACTGAGAGCCGCTCGTGGTAGTACCAGTAGGCGCTAGGCTTCACGTGTCCAAGCCACCGTGCCCTGCCACCTCACCGTGCGGCTGCAGTATGCGCGCTCGACGTCTCTTGGGCACTTCCATTGGACTAGCGTGCCCCTTTTGATGTGAAGGGCACTGCGTGACTGCATATGGAGGACGATCGTGGTTTCAGCCTTGCAGGCTTTGCTGGGGTGGGCGTGCCCTTTGGATCTGTAATCGAGGGCTAGCCCAGTCTATGGGAATTCGACAGCATCTGCGCAATAACAATGAGGCTCATGTAGGGATGTGTGGATTCTCGTGAGTGGGGGGTTGCTGGTAGTGAGCCTGAGGGAGCGCATCACGTTGTGCATGTGTTGTAAGGAGCGACTGGGTTTATTGACTACGGAAAGATGTGTACGTGATGAAAGAACGAGGGAACGGAGATAAGCTGTAAAGACTGTGGTTGTGAGAAAGGAGAATTCAGGGAGCAGAACGACAAGTGACAAAAGGTAACCGCTATCCAAATAGATGAAGCTGAATGAGTGGCATCCATATGAGCATCATCTTGAATGTCCAATATACTGATTGAGGAGAGGGTCAGCATGTTTGTGGCCCTGTCTGAGATGATCGCGCAACTTATCAGGGCGGTAGAAGGTCTTGTCGCAATCTGAGAAGACGCATCTGTACTTTGGAGACTGATGCTTCTTCTCATGGCGGTTTCGTTCTCCTATGCGCCCAAAGGTGGCAGCGCACCGTCGACAGGAGATACGGTTATCGACGACAGTGGTATTCATGCCGCCAAGAGGGGCTAAGACAGTAGTTGGGTGAAGAGCTGGGTTGGGCTGAGCTTCGTTCATACCGAACCTTGCAGGCATGTTGGCGACGAATCCTGAATCCATATTGGAGTTGTCGTATGGTATGGTTTTGAATAGACCCCTTTGGTTGTAATCGAGTCCAGGCTGCGGTCCTCCATAGCCTAGATCCAGAGGATCCATGTCAGGAACGACAGTGGAGGGTGGATGCTCATATTGGTTGTAATTGAATTCAGGCTGCGGTTCCTCCAATGCCAGATCCATAAGACTAAACTCAGGAACGGTAGTGAGGGGTGGGTACCAATACTGGTCCTGACTGAATTCAGGTTGCAGTTCTCCATATCCCGGATCCAGAGGACCATCATCGAGAACAGCAGTAGGGATTGTGTATCCATACTGGTTCTGAATGGATCCATGCTGCGGCTCCAGACCCAAAGGGTTAGGTGTACTGTCAAGCGCTAGAGTGGAGGGAGGATACCCCTGTTGAATGTTGCCAGGTATGGGGGAATGGCCGCTGCAGTTGTTGTTCCAAAAGTGGGACTGTGGGTCCCATCGATGCGAAGGCTCGTGCAGAAATAGTTGCAACTTTGTGTAACCCTGGGGGGCATACCTGCATGATGTTAAAAAAAACTTACTCGAATTGGGTTCCGTCATCATCGCCACTACCAACAATGAGATTCGAACGCCTGTTACGCTCACTGTTTCGTCCTTGGAAAGCTTGAAGGGAATCGAGAGGTTGATTTTGCATGTTGCCAACTGAACGAATCTTTGTTTCGCGCCTTTTCAGAGAAGAACAGTAACGAAATCCCAGTCCTTGATTCGGGTGTAGGGTGAAGCTCAGGCTGTATTCTGGGTGTGAGGGAGAGAAAGAGGCAGATGTAGCTGATAAGTGACTGTAAATGAAGAAAAGAGCAGAAAGACAACCAGTCAGTTTAACGGGGATGGGTATCATTTTCAAGTACTCTACCATGGAACTAGTGGCGTCCAATCACAAGGCACGTTGTGTGCCCTTCATCTTAGCCTTGACGCACTCTGTCAGCTATTCCAGGGAAGGCTGGAACTGAGTATATTCATGTGTCTACCAACTTTACAAAATAACACTCATCATTCAAAAATTTTACTGAAACCTTTAACCATGGCTTCAGAGATTTTTACATGCGATATTTGTTCCAAGCTGAGCGGCACTTTAGGAAAGTTCAAGTATGTTGCTGTTTTGTATCTTACATCTGAATGCTGAAACCGCAGAGTCGGCACCTGAAAACACATTCAAAGCCTTTTCAGTGCAAAACATGTCCAAGCAGGTTTGCTCTCCATTCAGATCTAGAAAGACATGTTAAAGCCCGCCATCGTGTTGGCAATGACCAATACCGTTGTCATATCGATCAATGCCAGTTTAAGTCGAATCGAAAGGACCACCTCAAGAAGCATACAAGGAGATACCATTCGAACGCGCTACTATCAGCCGAAATAGCGTGTATCCCCTCCACCATAGAGGATAAGGGGTTGATTTCAGAGGCTCAGATTGATGAGACAACATCAACAGTTGGCTCTTCAAATGGGCCCTATAATGTTTCTGTTTTCATGCAAGCTGCAATCTCCGGCAATATTACCACTTTGGATTCACTGATGGGCTTTGGATTCACCGTCGATACGAGAGCGGATGACCAATCAACTGTACTACACTGCGCTGCCAGAAGTGGTCAGGCAAGGACGGTTCAGTACTTGCTCGACAAAGGCGCTAGTCGCGAAACGTTTAACGATAAGCGCCGACAACCACTGCATGAGGCCATCTTAAGTGGCAATTCAGACACATTGAAAGCCTTGATCCAGTACACATCGGAAGGCCAACGTCCATACGCAGACAGAGACACCATGCGTTACCTTGCGCTTACTAAGAATATGGAAGTATTTGATCTGTATGCAGGGCGTCTAGGGATCGAACTCACAGCCACGGACGCAACCAAAATGCTTCACTACGCGATACGCGCAGAGAACGATACAATAGTAGCGGCTCTACTAAAACATCCGGAAATTGAGCTAGACGGAGCTGACGTACAGGGACATGCTCCGATACATAAAGCGGCTTTCTATGGCAGTTCAAAGGTCATGAGTCTTATGCTCGCCTCTGACCGAATTAACACCAGTCTCACCACGGCACACGAAAACATGAGTGCAATTCATATTGCCGCCCGATATGGACGCACCGAGATCATTGAGCAAATGCTTCATCTCGTTATTCGCATCAACTACTTCGATCGTGATCTATGCACAGCATTGCATCATGCTGCAGCTAGTGGCAAACTGGATACCATAACATTGCTGCTGAGTAAGTGCAATCAGAATGCTCGATGTCGAGACAGGAAGGGGTATACACCTCTACATTACGCAGCATTCAATGGGCACTGGAAAGCAGTCCAATTTTTCCTCAAATATAATTATCCCGAGAGCCATTGCGATTCAATGATCAAGCCTCCAAAGAATGGGGAGTTCATCAAGAAAGATGTAGTCTCTGCACTTCTCAATCATGCAGATTTTCGTAATCCAAATATAACTAGACCGGGACGGAAAGGAAATCTCCTTCATTGCGCTGCAAGAAGTGGAGACGACGAAGTTATGGCAGTCTTGTTGGCACACGAAAAGATCGATGTCAACGAACGAGATTCCTATCGCGATAACCCACTGATGGTTGCGGCAAAACGTGGTCATATCGAAGTAGTAAGGCTACTGCTCGAGCACCCTAAGATCGATGTCAACGAACAATATTTCTATCGTGATAACCCACTGATGGTTGCGGCAAAAAGTGGTCATATCGAAGTAGTAAGGCTACTGCTCGAGCACCCTAAGATCGATGTCAACAAACAATATTGCTATCGTGATAGCCCACTGATGGTTGCGGCAAAAAGTGGTCATATCGAAGTAGTAAGGTTACTGCTCGAGCACCCTAAGATCGATGTCAACGAACGAGATTCCTATCGCGATAACCCACTGATTTTTGCGGCAAAAAGTGGTCAGATCGAAGTAGCAAGGCTACTACTCCAACACCCAGAGATTGATGTCAATATCAAGGATAATTGGAATTTAACACCACTGCAACGTGCCAGGCGCAATTCACACAAAGAAGTAGTAGACCTTCTATTATCCCAAGGCGTCATAGACGACGACGAAGTCAACTCGCCAACAACCACTACGGAAACCAGCAACATCCCGATGGCTCAAGACGCCGGTCATACGTACGATATGGATCAACAATCGGAGCTCGGAAACGATCCTGACTTTGATCTGGAAGGTTTCCTTGAAGACATACCAGGTTGGAAAGAGTTCTCAGACGCGGGGGATGAAATGGTCGAATAAACCTTTCTTTGTATCAGACGCAACGTCTTCACACGTCCACGACACTCCTTACCAGCTTTTTACAACCATGTAACCAGAAAAACATATTAAATTCGCTCGCTAGATCTCATCTGCATAGCTCTCAAATGCATGTCCCATTCTACATCATGGAACAAATCACCACACTGCGTCCACATTTTCAAACCCCTGACCACTGCACCCTACCCGAAAACCATCCCGAAAAGCCCATCTACACGACCAACGTAAACCCAACCCAAAGCATAGCGTAAACAGATCAGCCTCAAAAATCACCAATCTATCCTCTGTTACGCACGCACACACTTCCTCTCATCCATCCATCGCCCCCGGCCCCGCCCAGCCTCAAAGGGGCACGCATACCGCCCTCCAAACCGCCAAGCGGTGCCCTTTCTCGCTTACCCCCGTAGCTCCAGCTGCATTGGGCACCAGTCAAGCGTGCCATTTCTTGCGTCACGAGTTTTGCTGAAGCTGGGCATGACGCGTAAGGTGGTTGCAGTTAATGTACGTAGTGGCTAGATGGGCTTGGTTTTCAATTTATCGGTGAGATCAGTGCGGTACGGCTCTGCCGTGAGGCTGGAGAGAGACGGGTGCGTTTTTGGGCTAGATTGGGGGCTGGAAAGTGTGCATGTGAAGAGTAAGTGTTGGTAAACGGGACGATCTGTCTGGGGTGGATGCAAGCTTGTGGAAAGAGAATCCGAATACAGTGGCTTTTGTTGATATGAAGAAGCGATAGAAAGAACAGGGCATCACAATTACAGAAAACGAACGAGCCTTTTTTGAACGGAGAAGTTATTCATTTATTTCATAAGTGTTATATACAACGTAAGTCAGGGCACATCGCATCCTAACCTGACCATGTCATGATCCAAACACGACAGTAGACACAGTCTACAGTACATTGTCAAAGTACCGCTCCTGCAAACGATCATATGTCCTAGGCATCGTCTCGATAGCCCTGATCGTCATCGGCGCACGCTGCTCCAGAATCTCTCTCAGCCAAGCCTGTGCCTCAACATCATATCCAATACCATTACTCTCGTCACGCCTTGCCTGGCCATACGCCTTTGCGAGCAACACCAGCGTCTTGTACCGGGGCAACACAGTGTTTTTCTTCATGTCGTATGAGCGGATTTCCATCCACTGGTAGCCCTCAAGGTTTTTACGTTGGTAGCCGGGATAGAGGTCACGCCAGCCAGGGAAACGAGGCATGAGGAATTCTTCACAGATGGCAAAGGCATCGACAAGCTGGTTGCGAAGAGTGAGTTGCTGGACGAACTCGTTCCAGGTAAAACCATCGACTGTGAAGCCATTGACAAGGAGGTCGATGATGGTACGTTGTGCTTCTTGCATGGCGTTGCTGTCAGTCTGTGCCATTAGGCTACGAAGAAACATACGAGCCGGATTGACGAGTATTTGGCGACGATTGTTAGCAATGTGAGACTCTTGGTAACGGTGGTGGACCGAAGGGTCGAGCAGAGAGCCATTCTCGGGGGCTACAACTGGTTGCTGCGCAGCTTGGCTAAATGTCTTAGTGAGTTTGCTTGCTGAAGAGCGAGCCAACTCCCAAAGCTTGGCTAATTCTTCATGGTTGCCTGATTTAAGATGTGTTTCCATCATTGCCGTGATTAGTGTAAGAGGTTGAGTATAGCCCTCATAACTTGGGGCTGATTCCTGGGCCCGCTCAAAAAGCTTCTTGCAAATCTTGTATGCTGACCGAGCGTTGTATAGCCCAATCATGAGACCAAAATATGCCTGCGGAATAGCGCCATAGTTGTGTGAATCGATCAATCGCTCGTGTGTAGGCTGCTGATGAGCAATCTCCTCGCTCATGCTCGAGGCAAGCATTTTCTCAAGAGCTTCTTCCACCACAAGCAGTCGGTAGTTTGGATGTTTGGCGCCCCTCTTTTCCAGCTTTTGAAGATCAGCTGCACCCAGCGCACGTATTGAGGCTGCGCGGGAGCTCTCAGTTTGAGGAACCTTGCGCTGCATCATTCTATCATAAGCCTCAATCGCCTGTTCGATCTGACCTTCTCTCAGGAAGCCAGTCATAACAATTGCGTAATGGAGTGCATGGACTTGCATCCTTTGTTCCGGCATTGTAACCCTCAAAATCTTGTAAGCCGCGTTCGTCTGCTTCACTTCTATCAGTGCTCGCATTAAGCTGCCATATGTCCAGCTGTCCAGAGGAATGTTGTTGTCGACCATCTGCTTATAGCGCTGTCTGCTCCCCGGAAGGTCACGGTTGAGGGCGTACTGCTGGATCAATATATTCCAGGTGTGGGTGAGAGGATGGCTGTGAAGGGTTCCTGCATTCCAGCTCGCGAGCATGCCTCGAGCAATGGCGTCAGCTCCTTCCGGATCACCTGCATTCAAGAACGCCTGTACGTAGCCTGATCTTGCGCGCACGTCCGAGTCGAGTTGCACTCCCATTTGTTTTGCGCGTGAGAACAATGTCTCGAAAGCCTCGATATCGCCTCTGTGCGCGCAAAAGTCGAGTAGAGGCCCAAAGGTTTTCACATCGGGTGCAAAGCCGCAGTTGATGCAGTTGTTGAAGCACTCCAGAGCGCCGTCAAGATCGTCTGCACGAACATACGCAAGCAGCAAAATGTTCCAACATGCGATATCTGGGATCATGTTGTACTCAGTATGTATGCGATTGAACTGTTTTATGGTCCCTTCGACATCTGCCCGTCGAGCATAGACATATGGAAGCGCAGACAGAACGTCCAGTTTAACTTCATCCTTGTAGTTTGTCTGAATCTCGTCAATGTATTCATGCACCTTTTCTGCATTTCCCGCGGTCGCGTATGCTTGGATTAAGTGTTTGAGCAACCCGGGTTGCAGTGGCCACCCAGGGTAAAATGTGCGCAGATCTTGGATATGATCCTCAACACGCTGCCACCCGCCCATCAAGCTGTGGTGGTAAATCAGATTTCTGATCAAGTTTTGTGAAGGTCTTAGCTCAGAAGTAGCGTTGGGAGTATCAACATAATGACTTCGATACCTTCTGTACAACTCGAGCCAAATCTTCCTCTGGTTGGTGTATTCTTGATACCGAGGCAAATCGACCATTCGTTTGATAGCATACTCATAGCAGGCCGAGGTGGGGAGATTCAGTGAATGAAGATCGTCAAACAACCTGATGAAGAAGTTCCAAATGAAATCTTCGTCGGGGTTTTTTGTGTCCAGAACCCGATCCATTACGTGAGGAACGAAAGTCATGGCAATGCAAGCCAAGTCTCTTTCCAGCTCTGGAGATGCCGTGAGTTCATGGTGGAATTCCCGCACATGCCTGAAAAAAGATTGAAGATGCTCTAGTAGTTCCGGCAATTCAGCTACGCCGCGCCAGATTTCTGGAAGCGTTGCTCCATGAAGAATCGCTGGATATAAAGGTTTCCCGCGCACCCGCAGGGTTCGTCGTCGGAACATCCTGAAAACACGAAAAGTGAGATCCCATTGCTCGTCAGAAACTGTTCGCCGAAGAATGACATCTATGCCGACACGTATCATGTTGAAATCCATGGAGGGGTCGATGTCCTCGAGCGACTTAATGGCTGGGCCAATCATTCTGAGCGCGATGTACGCTGCTATTGCCGCTCGGTATGAAGACGGCTTGCGAGCGGCTGGTGGAAGCTCGGAAAAAACCTGGAGCACACGACCAGGCAATGCTAGCCCACCATTTTCCACAAGGTATTCTAGGAGATTACGACGTAATTCATCTTGCGTCACTGCTTGGTCTTCTGGAATCAAAGTGTATAACTGCCATACCAGTTCCTGTTTTCCAGGCTTCGACAGGCGTAACAGTGCCTTTAGCTCCGTGACAGCATCGGATCGTCTGATTAGTCTTTGTGCCTCATTGCGGGCCTGTTCCATCGCGTCTACGCTTGTATTTCCTCCATCAGGCAGTGTTTGTTGTCGAAGTGTAGCAAAATGGCGGATCGCTTGCAGGGACCGTCGTTTGGTATCCGTGGTTTTGTGTCTTTTTAGGGAGAGATTCCTGAGTAGATCAAGCGTCTTCTCCGGATACAGAAAGTCGAGGACTACACAATCGCTGGTTTTGGCGTTCGAAGATAGTGGGTCTTTCGTGACTCCATTGTCAACATCACCATTTGTGTGTTTGACAGGTGTCGAAGATGCGGCTTCCGAAACTTGCAGATTGAGACCGCCTGCACCGTGATACCAGATGCCGGAATTCAGCATGCGCCGATTGCGTAAACATGGCTTCGGGGCGCGGAATAACTGGCGTCCGCCGGATTCGATGCATGTCGAAGCACGCTCGAGCATCACCCGGGCGTGTGGGAGTGCAGATGATGCCAGCACAAATTACCGAGAAGCTTGGAGGATGCTATAAGCTGGTCCGGTCAGGTTTTCCAGTGCGGGGACGAATGGTATGAAGTGTCGGAGTTTGCTCACATATGTGCATGCCTTCGAAAACTGAGCGACAGCGGTAACAAAACAAATTTCGCGAGAACCAGGCAGCGACAGTGATGGACAGAAGAGTAAGCCGGAGAGGTGCAAGAAACTATGGTACAGGCACAGGCATAGGCACAAACAAAAGGAAAGGCAGACTGTGCGCGTGGCGATGGCGGGCCCAATGTCTATGATAGTATGTCGAAAAGTTTACGGGCGCGCTATGATCTGATGTTCCGATTGGCTTGGCAAGGCTGGGGGACAGCTCGCCAATTGATGCCCCTCCACATCAGCCGCATCCCCACTACTACATCGTCTCTCCCAACGACGCCACCATGGACATCACCAAGTTTGTCACTGCCTACCGCGAGTCGGCCTTTCTCATCGGCGACTACAACACCTACCGCGACCAATTGGCCCGACGCCTCCGCATCGTGAACAAGAAGCTTGGGCGGGCGACCCCCAAGAATGCCAAATATGCTGCGAAGGCACCAGTGACCACTGAGGAGATCCAGAAGAACAGCGAGTATGGCACGCCCAAACAATTGCCCGGCTACGCGCTGACCGATCCAGGGCTCTTCATCTTCTCCTGCTAAACTCCGAGCGCGCATGGGCACAAGCAATGGCCATGAAGGCCTCGCACTCGGAAGACAATGCCGACAAGAACATCACCGGCTCTACCCGCAAGCACATCATCTCGCGCCTGCACAAGGCCGTCGTATACGCGAATCAGGTCGTTCAACTCGTCTCGGACACCAGCGCAAGCGGGGCATCTGACACGGATGTGCTAGAAGCGAGGGCGTATGCATATGTCATGGCTGGAGCACAAGAGTTTGAAAAGCAAGCCGAGGGAACCAAAAGCAAGAACGCATCGCCGGAACGTTGGGCCCTGTGTCTCAAAAACTACTCCGCAGCGCGAGTCATCTACAGCGCCCTGTTCAAGGCCACGAAGAAGGATCTGTTCAAGGAAGTATTGGCAGGAACAACTGATCCAAGCATTCGTTATGCTGCCTACCAGAGTCGCATCCCGCGTACTGTGGGTGTTCCCTCTGTTGCGATCAAGTACTTTCCTCAGGACGATGCAAATCTGGTAGAGGCCGTGCAGAAGTTAGACTCTGCGGCTTTGGAGGAGGAGAAGGCAGCTGCGTCTCGTAAGTCCGGGAAAATTCCACTTCCGGAACTCGCTAACAGAAAGGCAGACTCGCAGGTAACTTGGCGCGGTCGAGCAGCCAATGTTGTCGATGCTGCTATCGGGCAAGCATTGGCATCTGTCGATACAGCCTCTCTTGTTCTGGATGAGACTGCTACTTCGTCCACATCACCCAAGGACCGAGCGAACGCATACGACGACATTCTTATCGCGAGCCAAGACGCTGTCGACGCAACGCGGAGAGCAATCGAAGAGCTTGAAAAGGAAGGTGTGGATGAGGGTGATTCACGCATGCAAGATCTCCGGGTAACCAATCTTGCCGTCAACTATGACCTTATATCCTGGAGAGTGGGGCGTAACAGGGTGCTGATCGGCAAAGACGATGGCCTTACTTTCCCAGCTAACCCTCCTCAAAAACCCCGGCGGCAACGTAAAGATGGCAAGGAATGGGCAGAGCGCGAAGAGCCCACTGGCCGCAAACTGGCACGGTTACGTGAACGGACTGCTTTGTACGATGCCATCCTACAGAGTATCGATTCAGTCAAGGACCTCCGCGGTGCTGCCCGCGACACTGATTTTATTGCTGAGCTCGACGGGCAGCGTGCATACTTCCAGGCTTTGAAGTGTCTCAACTTGTCTCACTCGTACGCCTTCCTGTCGACGCCCAAACAAGCATTGGCGCTCTGCAGCCGAGCCCTGGGCCTCGCAAGCCAAGCGGCATCTGCCCCGCGCTCTGAATCGCCTTCGACGACCAAAGCACCGAAATTGCAAGTGACCGAAGAGCAAGCTCAAACTCTCAAGAAGGCCCTGGAAAACCTTAACTCGCACTACCGCGGGGTAGTAGCGCTGTCACAGTTGTCTGCCAATTCTGAGACGGCCTCCAAGCCTGGACTAGCGAATGCGGCACCTGTTGTGGAGAGGCTCAACGAGTACCCCTCCTCGGGCTCGGTGGACCTCAAAAATCTGGTTACATGGCCCCCCAAGCTGAAGCCTGTGCCGGTTAAGCCACTGTTCCTGGACGTGGCGTGGAACTACATCGAGTACCCCGGACGCATACCACCAGTGCAGCAGGCAGAGGCGCAAAAAGCACCAGTGGAAGAGAAGAAGGAGGAGAAGGCGCCAGCCAAGAAGGGGTGGTTCTCGTTTGGTAGATAGTCAACAGTCAGCATGCAGACAGCAGGGGCACATCCATGAAGATCGCCGTTCCTGGCCTGAACTCAATTGCGCATGCAGACCCCGTGATCAGCCCCCGCGTAGTCGAAAAGACGATAGTAGACAGTCGTGGGAGCGTATCCGCGCATGGTGATGGGCCTGAGACACGCTGTTACTCCAGATTGAGCGACGGGCTCCTCGCGTGATAGCAGCCTCTATTATCGCGTCAGCCACAGATTAGAGATGAGCCGGGTCTGATTGGCCTAGCGCGCGGCCCGTGCACCAACAGATTGCCGTTGCGGGGATAGCGTTCTTTGAGCCTCAGGGGCATGCGCATAAGCGTCACCCTACCGTGAACCACCACCACGCGCTTTGTCGGCACAGCTATTTGGTTTGGGCGACAGCTGTTGTGCTAGACCCTGCAGAACATGGCCCAGCGCCAGCCAGCGAGAGCCGTTGGCCGAGGCTGATGAGCTGAGCCTGTCCTGTGGGTGCCACCTTTTGCTTGTGACAACGGCCGAGCAACTGGGGTACATACATACACAGATAGTATTGCATGTCCGACCTCGAGAGACGAGCTATGTAAGCACAACAAAGCCAAAACGAGCCAGGTCCAAAAGAGGCTGGAGGGGCGCTTCGTGGCAGCAGCCTCGAGGTCATGCAGGTGGTTAGATTAGTTAAATTAGCATGGGTGGATATCGATAGCAACCCCTTGCATCGATACGGGCTATGGCCCCTTATCCGCAGACGCGCAGAGAAAGTATCGTGTACCTTGCAGCTCAATTTCTGGTCGTACTCGTTCTTCTTAACCCACACAGCGCCCACTCTTTTACACCTTCCCCCCCTCGACCTTTTTCCAGCTGCCGCTCTTGCGCCCGTCACTCTTTACCGTCGCTCACTTAATTAATACCAACCACACACAGTCTTTTCCGCTTCTAATCCTTTCTTGCTCGCGTTTTCTTTGGGGCCTATACCTCCAAAGCCTGCTCGTTCGGTATACAAGGGATTCCTCCATCCATACGTTTCAGACTTTGTCGAGGAGCGCCACGCGTTTCTCGATCTTAATACTTCACCACGGCTTCCGCACTGGCTACCGCTATTCTTCCTCGGCCCCAGGTCGACGATTCTTTTCGCAGACCATCGATCCTGCAGGTTTTTGACCTGCCCGCCTTCAAGACGTCGCCCCCCAGCCTCGACGACAGGCTGCCGTCCATCAGCCACGACATATCTCGACCCTCGTCAAGCTCTACCGTGGCTTCCCCTCCGCACCAGCAGCAGCACAGTGGCAGCAATGCCTCAATTCAGCTACCCTCCCTGGCCACACTAGCCTCCGCCGCATCCAATTGCCCCACCGCAAGCTTAACCAGTAATGATAATAATGATAATACGAGGAATAACACGCCCGAGAAGAAGATGCCATCCCCACCAAGGTACGTTGCACACCCCAGGCCAACACGGCGCCAGCAGAGGGCTCTGCGTCAGCGGTAGCTGCGGCCCGCCGTACCTTGACTGGCTTATCGCAAAAGCCTTGGCGAAGTGTCGCACCTCAACTTTTCCTGCACCTCGCTAACATGGAGTCCAGCAAACCCTCTAATGGCCTCAGCATGACTTATGCAACCTCTGCGCCCGCGACTGCTGGTGGACAGGCAGGCTCTCCGGTACGTCCTGCATCCTCTATTGTTGGTGTTGTTGCGAGGGCGTGTCCCGCTCTATCGCGCTCCAAATTTGTCTCTTATCTAATCGATAGCCACCATGTATCCATGATGCTGGAGCTTCCACTGTCCTTGTGCTGACCTTTCCCAGCCCGTCTGCCAGAACTGCTCTACGAGCACCACGCCCTTGTGGCGCCGCGATGAGACAGGCGCCGTCCTCTGCAATGCCTGCGGTCTCTTCTTGAAGCTGCACGGTCGGCCGCGTCCCATCTCCCTCAAGACTGATGTCATCAAGAGCCGCAACCGCGTCAAGACTGGTGGACTAGGCGGACGCAAGAGGGTATGCACCATCCCGTCGCCCCATTCTTTGTCATACACGTACTAATAGTTTGCAGACAAGCGACCAAGGCGGTCTTCCCGCGGCGCACCCCGATGCAGATGGCCAGCTCGCGCTCGCCCAGCACCGTCGTGCGTCTGGAAAGATGTCTTCGGGCCTGTCTGACCGTTCGCAGTCCCCCATCTCACGCACTGGCACTCCAAACTTCAACCATCCCTCCAACATTGCGCCCCAGCACATGTTTGAGCAGGCTCTGCACAGCGACTTTCATTCACCTTCGCTTCCTGGCTTCGGTCTCCGGGCTCCTTCACCTGCTACATCATCAGTCAACGGTTCCCACCTCGAGGCCCCTCTACCGTATGAAACACTTGCTGCGCAAAACACTGCGCTCAAGACTCGTGTTTCCGAGATGGAGCTCATCAATGACCTGTTCCGTAACCGCGTCAGCGAGCTCGAGCAGAGCGAGCAGTCCGCGCGGCAGACGGAATCTACACTGAGGAAAGAGCTTGAGGAGGTTAAGCAACGAGAGGCTGACTTGAAGAGGCGGCTCGATGAGATTGAGAACGAAAGCCCCAGGCACAAGCGGATGAAGATGAGTGAATTCGTGGACGAGAGCCGCGCGGGTACGCCTATCAGTGCCATGGTAGATTAGGCTCGAAAATCTTGCGATGAGGCGTTTCCTTTGATTATCTAACGACTGTTCCATGCATGCGGGGAAATGTTCGGTGGTGCTGGGTTGAGGTAGTACTCGTCCCATGCCAGCTTGCACCCCACGAGAGTAAAGTGCCAACGCTTGCTCTACCTGGTCTGCAAGACCGTGTAATGTCTGAATACTACTTCTTGGTGCCAATGCTCATGGTGGTGGCTGTATTGTAATCTTTTTTTTCTCTGCTGATACCAAGTGTTGATGAGGGTGTGCCGTACGAATGTACGGTTGAAATGGCTGCATGGGTTAGAAGCTTGGAAAAGCGGGGGAGACAGGGAAGGGAAAGGTAAAGGATGTGTTTATCAAAAGTCTTGCTATCGGGTTAACTTAGTTACCATTAATGGGATACGAAACACTAAAAACTAGCATGAGCTCATTTGCATGTAGGTGTTGATATCCGTTGTGGGTGATGCAATAACCAAGGTCCGCCTGTCATCACGTCAGATGGTTGCTAACAGTATATAAACGTTAAGACATGAGCGGGTTAGACGTGTGTCTGACTCGTATGTAGTGCTGGTTGAACAAATGATTGTCAAAAAGGTTTTCCCCGAGTAGTGCAGCAGCAATGTAATTCCTAATAAATATTTTGCATCAGTCTTGGTAGGTATAGCCTGTTTCCCCTCGTTCATGTTAGAAGCCATTGTGGTGTTTGGATGCGATGAAGTTAGAGAAAAACAATACACGCAGATCATTCTAAACATTTCTTACCAGATTGACTGTTTAAATTGGCGCTGTATCTCCATTGCGATACTTCCCGATGGCTGTGTGTCGTGGTGTTGATGGAGCTCAGTTGGATTGTTTAATGGGATGCTGTCCTCCAAGTGTCATTCACAATGCGCATCACCAGCAAAGGCACAATGCGGAAATTCCCCAGTCCTAGACTATCTCAAGATATACCTCGATGTCTACCCATTTCTTAAATCCAATCTCAACCCTTCAATCGCCCAAGATGGCACACAGGTGATGGGTGTTCGGGAGTAAACGGGCAGCGCTAACCCGAAGTGAGCTCCCGCACGGACTCTTGGCAGCTAATCAACCCTTCAGCGAGTTTTTGCATCCACCTCCTCCATCCTCCTCCCACCACTCCGCATCCATTGAAGGACCAATTCATCTCCAACTCATCTCCACTCCGACCGTCAACACCATCACCATGGTTGCCATTGCTCGCTCCTTCGGCGCCGCCCGTGTGGCCGCCCGCGGCTTCTCCAACGCTGGTATGTGTCGCGCCTGCCGCAGGTGCTCAAGCCATTGGTTTTGAGCTCTGCAAGCTCATCAAGCAGCCATTGACCATCATCTCGCAGCCCGCCAGCCCCAGCAGAGCACTCTGGTTGCTGCCCGCAGCGCCTTCCGCAACAACGCCGCCCGCAACATCATCCAGAAGCGTGGCATCGTCGCCGAGTCCACCGCTGCCGCCATGGTCGCTGCCGCTAAGATCCAGGGTGCCGGTCTCGCTACCATCGGTCTTGCCGGTGCTGGTGTTGGTATCGGAACGGTTTTCGGTGGCCTCATCCAGGGTGTTGCCCGCAACCCTTCCCTCAGGGGTCAACTCTTCCAGTACGCCGTTCTGGGTTTCGCTTTCGCTGAGGCCACTGGTCTCTTCGCGCTCATGATGTCTTTCTTGCTCCTCTACGTTGCATAGATGGGTGCATTGATTGCATCGACTGCCGGACATATTGGGGTCAACGGTATGGGGGTGCCGCAAGGTGGAAAAGTTTTCTTGCGGATGGGTGTGTGCATAGGGACGACTACTACCTCTTTTCCTACTCTAGTGGCCGGTCAGATTGTGTAAAACATGTACTTTAGAGAGCAATCTGAAGAGCAAGCTACCACTCTGGCTCGCTTTCCTTGTCTACGCATGCGTGCGGAAGCTCTAGCTACGGTAATGAGACGTGCGGATGAATCATGTTAAGCTCAATGAACCCAATTGGATATGCAAAGTTAACGACTAAGCTGTTCGACGCCCGTGCCCCGTTCCGTGATGAGCTGTGCCGACTTGAGCTCTCCGATGATGGAATCTGATGATGCCAAGCCTTTTCACCCAACCTCCGCCTTGTGTGTGACGACGCCGAACCACGCTTCCCCACCTCGCCTGGCTGGCTGCAGTGGTGGTGTTTGTTCTTTGCTCTTTGTTCTTCGTTCCGTCCCTAGCTTCTTCTTGTCTGGCCGGCCCCCCGAAAAGATCAATTGCATTTCTTGAACCCCGCGATAGCTTCCGTGCGGCCCGCACTATTAATACGTCCAACGGCTTGCAGTTTGCGCTCGAGCACACCCTCACCTCGACACCAACATATCTGCGCTCATGGCAGGTGTAATTATCTGTCAACCATGCTCATTACATGTCATTGGCCTGCCCAGTTATGCCCAATGACAGCTTGGCGAAAGTTTGCGCTGTCGAGGACTTGGTAATCGTCGCATTCAATCCTTTGTTGCTGCTAACTTATAGCCTTAGACATCTTTGTTGACTAGAGGTATGATTGCATTTGCGGTACTTCCTTAGGCCATGCTGACGTGTTAGAAGATGTTTCTTTGATGACTAAATGTGTATCGCGCGATACCTTTACCAACGTCAACCCAGCGCTACCCGAAGCTGTGCACCATCCCGAGTGATGCCAGACCTGCGAACACTCACAACCCCTACACACCGATATATAACAATACATACAAGGGAAATCGATTATATCACAAGGCGCGATTCATGTTGCAACGATCAAAGAACTGGAATGTTGTGACTCTTCATGCGCCGGTCGCACACAGCATCACGCAGCATTGAGGCAGGTCACGTTAGAGAAATATCCGTCATTCAACACGCTGCACAATCTCGGAGTGGTCAATGAATGATGCAGGTCCATGTAGAGAGGTCGAGGTTGCGATGTTTCAGATCTGCGTTTGAGCGGATGGTGAAGCTTCTCCCGAAACAAGTAACACGACCACATACTCCCAAAACGAGGTATCAGAAACCAAACGAACCCAGCATTCCTTGCATGGAACGGAACAATTTATGCAGCTGATCTTCTGAACTGGTACGAAAACATTCGGATTGTCGCAATACCGTGAAACCAAGGTAGATTTCGAGACAAGCTTCAACTTACCATTCCGCACAGCTTAGTCGTCATTGTTTCGCTCGTACAATCACTTGAGGTCGTCGTATTTAGGTTGACGTAGCCGCCTTGTGTTCGAATCAACCTACTCCATCTCCTCAGTCCTTTCATACTTTAACCTCTGTGCCGGTCACTCTACTTATTTGTATATATTTCTTGTCTCGCTCTTCTATAGCTTGATTTTATTCAGTAGCAATCATGCGTTACACAGCCTTCCTCACCGTCGCTGCATTCTCCAGCATCGTCTTGGCTTCGTCAGGTAAACTTCGTAACTAGATATAAAAAGAGACAAACACATCTAACATGAACCAGTCAAGCGTGCCTCTCAGGATGATGTTGCTAGCATCCTCGAAGCTCTCCGTGAGAACAACCCCGAGGATGCCGAGGCCGCTGCTGCCGTTATGAATGTCAAGCTCCGTCGTCAAGATGATGTTGCTTCCATCCTCGCTGCCCTCGCAGCCAACAACCCTGACGATGCGGCTGCCGCCCAGCAAGCCGTTAACGGTGCACAGAAGCGTGCTCCTCAGGATGATATCAACAGCATTCTTGCCGCGCTCGCAGCCAACAACCCGGATGACGCTGCTGCTGCCCAGCAACTCGCCTCTTCTCCGATGCACAAGCGCGAGCCTTATGTCGTTCCTAACTCAAAAGCTGTAGAGCCTCTCTTAGGCAAGCGCCAGGACGACATTAACAGCATTCTTGCCGCCCTTGCGGCTAACAACCCCGACGATGCAGCTGCCGCTCAGCAACTTGCATCTAAACCAGCAAGCAAGCGTCAAGACGATGTTGAAAGCATCCTCGCTGCTCTTGCGGCTAACAACCCAGATGATGCTGCTGCTGCCCGCCAAAGCATCCAGAAGAGACAGGATGATATTACATCTATCCTTGCGGCTTTGGCACAGAACAACCCCGATGACGCAAAGGCGGCGCAGTCGCTGGCCAAGCGATGGATTGCGTAAATTCTCTAATGCTTAATGTAGTGAGCTAAACGTGGCGTTGAAACCTTCAAATTGTACAGTGGGTAGATGAGATGGTATGGGACTTGGGACGGGATTTGTATATAGTTGGATAGTTTTTATATATTGGGGGAGAAAATTATTTTAGGCAATTTTTCTTTGTCAGTGCTTTGCTGGTGGATTTTTTTGTATGCTACTGTGTCTTACGTGTGATGATGGCGTAACCTATACGCGTGATGGTTTCGCTCGTGTGAAACAATTATTCTTTCCAAATATACCTTCTTACTTGTACTGAGTCCTTTTGAGTTCCGAGACATGTGTACCTGCTCACAGCAATGTTATTGTTTAGATCTAGTCAAGTCAACATGCCAAATCACGCCTACCAGACCCTAACCAAGAATGTCCAACACAGACCCATTATTTACCCCGCATCGCCCTCAACCCTTGTCATCCCAAACAGCTTCTTTTGTGGAACCATTATTCCCCATCAATGCCACAGCCTTGCGGAATCTACGTATTTTACGTGTGATATGTACGATTTATTTTGAAAATTATCCCAGTTTCTCCATCGACACGATGGCCGAGTGGTCTAAGGCGGTAGATTTAAGTCTTGCTAAGATCTCTACTACAGAAATGTGCGTGGGTTCGAACCCCACTCGTGTCAATTTGCTGCTTTTTTGTAACCCTATACCCTCTCTGTGTTCAGAAAGAGAGGGGTTAACTTTTTGGATAGTGGTGTTGGTGGTTGGGTGGTGTAAAGAGTAGAGAGTGGGGTGTGGAATGGTTCCGACAAAATTAAGCTAGGCTAATGTGCGAGCGTTAAGACAATTGAGAGGATAAGAGGGAGAGCATAAAATGCTGAAATAATATGGAAGAGATCCCTGCGTAGTGTGATAATAATTTATGCTCAACGTATCCCGCAAAGTATTTTTCATACATCAAACATGAGCTACTCATTCCTCTAGGCACATTAATCACACTACTTCTATACCCAAAACAGTCCTCCTACTGGGTGCGTCGTCAAACCCTTAACTCATACTGGATTTATGCCAAGTGAATATCATCAATTTTCCATTCATAGTCCTTAGCTTCAATATCAACAACAATGCTGTTCTCGAGCTAGACCACGAAGAGCGTACCTGCCGCTGTCTGATCTAGGACAACATTACTACATCGACTACTACTATTAACCTTACCCATCGCGCCTATACCCACTTCTACTTCTCAGCACCTCGCCATACCTCCTTAACAAAAACGGTATAGACACACCCAGCAAGCTCAAGCAACCCAATAGTGTACAAGCCCACTGTGCGCCCAGATTTTTAAATATTTCAACCACAAAGAGAGGAAACACAGCACCGAGAACGTATCGCAGAATGGCGTTGGAGGCCATTGCACTAGCGCTGTAAAGAGGTCCATACGTATCAGTCATATACATCATGCATGCCATGAAGATGAGCACATTGCCGCAGCCGAAGAAGACTTCAGCAATGGTAGGAACGATCCAATGTACACTGTATGCAGCTGACCATCCGAAGAGAAAGAGACTGACGGTCAAAAGAGGCCCGCCGGCAATGGCGAGCGGGAGGCGCTTTTCTGGTTTTAATCGTGACGTTGCGAATGGCGGGAGTGGTCGTTTTTCCATGACTGCCTGTCTTACACGCGGGATGTAGTACAATCTAGTGAAGGAAAGGCTACATGCTGTTGCGACGATGACGCCGACTCCCAGGCCGAGAAACGTTAGGCCGGTGGAGACACTGTCGAATCCGTATTCTTTCTTGAAGACGTATGGGAAGGCGGGGAAGAACGCGTAGAGGAGACCAAAGTTGAAGGCACTGTAGGCATTGAATGCGGCGATGATGGGCTCGGTGAAGAGCATGTGCATTGGCCTTGTAAGTGTCTTGGTCACGTATGTGCTGACGATTCTTGGCAAAGGCATGTCTTCGGTTGGTGAGAATGGGAGCGGGAGGTTGAGTTTCTTTGCACGCTGACGTAGAAGAACGGGTTTGTACGATTCCATGAAGAAAGGCGCGGGCGCTATGACGAGCACGACGGTAAAGAAGAGTGTCACCCACGACGTCCAGCGCCATCCTTGAGTCTGCGTTACCGAAGCTCCCAGGAGGAGACCTACTACCGGCCCCAAAAATGGAGCCGCAACATAAAGGGATATAGGACCCGACCGTTTCTCAGGCGGCCATATATCACTGAGCGTACCAGACCCCATACTCAGACTCGGCGCAGCGAAGAATCCAGCCCAGAACCGCACAACCAGCAATCCAGCCATACTGTGTACAAACCCGGTTCCCAAGATAAATAGCGCAAAAATGGGCAGGCTGATGAAAACAACAGGCCGCCGTCCAAATGTCTCGCTAAGGGGAGCGGCAAATGGTCCGCCAAATGCTAGGCCAAGCGAGTATATCGAGTACGCAAAAGTGGAAACAAGTGGTGTAGACTCGAGTTCCAACGCGGCTTCTTCGATCGCAGGCGTAAACACTGATAAGGCGAACATGCCTACAAAGGCAATACCGGACATCGTACACGTCTGGAACCATTTGCGGGATATGCTCCAATTATGCGGATTAAGAGCATCATCAGGACCGTCCCAGTCCAAGGCTTTGGGTCGTTCCTGTAGCTGTGAAGGCATGTCGGTCGCATTTACTGCTATTGCGGCATCCAGATCTCGGCCTTGCTGTCCTTGCTTCTCCGAGATATAACTCGCATTCACAACCTCCTCTTCCACTGACACCTGACAACTTTGTTCAGCAACTCTCTCCACATCCCCGTGGCTCGCCCGTCTCATCGATACCGCCGTGTTTCCCGATGACGACGACGAAGACAATGCCGGACCCGTCTCACTACTTGGTACAACACCAACCATGAGGAAAACAAACAGATTTTTTTTCACCCACTTCTTTTGATTTCCAGAAAGAAATCACGGAGAATCTAGAAGAATAGGAGAAATAAAATTAACGAAACAACGAACACCTTGACAAGAAGTACTACCCGGGAAACAAAACAAGCAAGAAAGAGAAAAAAACATACTTGGGCCCCGACACACCGCTACATCGCCTCACGTCCTCATGCTCAGTCCGTAGATAAGAGATCACCACCAAGCTAACCTTGAAGACATACGTACAGTAAAAGTACATAAAGACGCCTCGCGCCTCGAATCGCCGCACGGTCGCAACAACAGGATTCTGTCTTTGCTCCGAGATCCTCGGACACAGCGAGTAGATGAGCATCTTTGCTGTGGGCGATCTGGTGTCGCCATGGTGCAAGAGGCAGATCGAGGGTGGAGGGACAGGTTTGGTCTTGTTGAGCTTCGAGAAGCGATGGCATCGGGGAACCGAGCTGGGGCGAAGGGCATCTTCGGGACCGAGCCGATCGCTCTACATGTGTCTATTTTGATTGAAGTGGGTCTTTTTTAGGGAAATCTGTGGTTGCTTTTCTCTAGCTTTTCAAGTTTGAATCTACTTTCTTTCTGTCGCTAGAGTATGTATTCCAGAACGAAATTGATATGCATTTGATTACGTACATCTAGGCAGAATGATGCATTGGTTGAATTGTCTGCAAAAAAAGGTTCGAATCCCCCTTCTCAAGTGTATCATCTGTTACCCACACATGACTCGTGAGTCTGCGCATTCATGCCGAGGCTGTTGTTGGGTTTCACGGCGAGGCCGATGGGGAACGCGTCGCGGAATAGAATAACCCAAGTCACATCTCCACTCTTCACTCGTCGTTCTAAGACTACGGCCGAAGATAAGTGCGGCGGTGTCAAGACTCTTTTGAGAGAGGAAAAAGGGGCTGGCATAATCAATAATTAACTAGCTAACATTTTACTACATCTTTCAAATATCAAGATAAGCGCAGAGAGTCGCATGCTACGAGTATCAATACAAGAAAGATAATAATAAGCCATAGACACGAATCAGAAAAATCCATGCACAAAAAGCATAATCTAATCAAATGTATTAAGACTTTCACATCGAAATCACCACCACTTCCATGTTGAATCAAGGACAACGTGCTTCACGAGAAGCAAGAATGTACAAACATAAAAAATTGTAAACTATACATTGACAACCAGAACTTATACACTACACCTGACGTTCGTTACCTTACCCTTTTTCTCTCCCTAGCATGCTACTTTTACTCTTTCTTCCAATGCGCTCCTCGCATACTTTACTTATCCATGAGCATCTCCTCTAGCCTTCCCGACTTTTTCTTATTGTTTCTTCCCCAGAGAGATTTACTGAATATCGAACAACTGCTTGAGCTGCACAATCAATTTCCATTCTTCCTGACTGACATCGCTTCTGAAAAACTCCTTAAGCGTATCAATACTCTTCCTGCTCACAGCAGAATACAGTGTATCGCCCTCTTCCAAGTGACGACCGTACATGGGCTGGCTGCTCGCTTCGATCTTGACAGCGACGGAAGGCTGGCCCTTCTTACAAATTTGCATCGGCTTGTGGTCTCGCTCAATGGATGTACTGTGACAGATTAGTGGATTGCATATTGTGGAGGATTACAAGACTTACACTCTTCCAAGTTGAATGATTTCCTTGGCACCAGTGGCAGCATTCTTCTTGATTGCGCAGATTGGCGTTGTCATTCGCAAAGCACCTTCAACAACATCCACACCAATGATAATGGGGTTGGTCTTGTTGAAGACAGCAACGGGCTTGAGTACGCACGGGAAGACGGCCAACATCTTGGACTCCTCCTTCCTTTGCTCCTCAAGTTGCTTCATATGCGCCGTGAACTTGTCAAACAGATGGTAGATGATATCCGCTTCGAAGATCTTGACGCCAATCTCTTCAGCGAAGGCTTTGGCTTCCTTGTCAACCTTGACATCGAAACACAACATGACGGCATACTCTTTGGCCTTCTCTAACATGACTCCCGCACGAAGCACATCCTTCCTGAAAACGGGTCCGATGGAGATGGTAGAGACGGGAATCTTAGAAACGCGCAGGAATTCGAGCAGCGCCTCAAGAGATCCGAGGGTGGAGGCCTGGACAGAAACACCACGACCAGTCTTGGATACCTTGCTGAGCAGGTGGGCGAGGTCACCCATGACTTCATCCATGAGGTCTTCTTCGTCGTCATCAGGACCGACAACGAGTAGTCGCGAACCAGCAATAGCTTGGTCAAGACCATCGGCAGCAATCTTGATACCCATGGCAGCCTTGACTTCCTTGTTGTGTACGTACTGTGACTTGACACGCAGCTCCTTCATCTCGGCAGGCGTCAAGAGCGCTCGAATATTCGTTGCTATGGGTTCTGGATTACCGCACAACACAATACGATCACCTTCGTGAAGCACACCGTTGGACAAGATGACATCGATCGTCGTACCGAGACCTTCAATGACCTTAACTTCGAGAACAGTACACTCAACCTCGGAAAGGTACATGAGGTTATTGGTCAGACGTTCTTGAGTAAGTTTGACAATGAGCTTGATCATATCTGGGATACCCTCTCCAGTGTGTGCCGAGGTCGGGCATACAGACACGTACTTTGACATGTTTTTGTTCTTGAAGAAAAGCTCCGAGTTGAAACCCTGTTCTTGCAGCTGAGTGCGAACGAAGTTCCATCGCTCCTCGAATTCACTCTGAACAGACTGTTTCTGGAGGCTGAAACTGTCCTCGAAACCGTTGTTGTCAATCTTCTTCCAGCCGAAGAGACGATCAATCTTGTTGAGCGCCACGATAAAGGGTGTTCGCTTGTCTCGAAGAAGCTTCATGGACTCGATAGTCTGTGGTTCGAGACCGTGCATAATATCAATGACGAGGATGGCAATGTTACAGAGCGATGAACCGCGAGATCGGAGGTTGGTAAAAGACTCGTGACCAGGTGTGTCAATGACGAGGAGACCAGGGACATTGAAGACAAATTCGTTGTTCTTATTGACAACCGCAGTCTTCTTCTGGAGCGCTTCGACCGGGAAGTAAGTGGCACCAATCTGTTGGGTGATACCTCCAGCTTCGCCTTCTTGCACGTTGGTTTGTCGGATCTTGTCAAGCAACTTCGTTTTACCGGTATCGACGTGACCAAGAATACAGCAAATGGGAGAGCGGAGGTTGTCTTTGGACCGGGCTGCCAGCGCTTCCTCGTGGGCTTGTTTGCGTCGTTCAGCAGCAGCAGCTTTGCGCGCAGCTTCGGCTCTCTGAGCGGCAGTCCCTTGCTCGTCTTCGGACGAGTCGTCACTGTCTTCTTCAGAGTCTGACTCTGAACCGTCATTCTTAGCTTCTTTGGCAGCTGCCTTCTCTGCTGCAGCCTTCTCTTCTTTCACCTTCTTCTCGTTCGCCTTACGTTCTTCCTCTTCATCGGTATCGACGTCCCAGCTGTCTTTGACGCCATCCAGCTCGTCGGCTTGCGCCTCCCAATCGTCCGCAGAATCTCCATCTTCGCCCTTCTTTGCTTCTGCATCGAGGCGAGCTTTCTCAGCCTCCTCGGCTGCCTTGGCGGCTTGTTCCTCAGCCAGCCTGAGTTCTTCCATCTTCTTGGCAGCCTCTTCAGCCTCACGAGCCTCCTTCTCCTTCTGACTCTCACCCTTCTTCTTCTTTTTTCGGTCATCATATACTGGCTTCTTCTTCTTTTCAGCCTCGTCAGCCAGGCCTGCGACCTTTGTGTTTCCTTGTTCAAGCAACTGTTGTAGACGTAGCTCGTTCTTGGCTTTTGCTTCCTTTTGAGCTTTGGTCATGTACTTGCCCTCTTTCTTGAGCTGCTCAATCTTTTCCTTCTCCTTTTGCTTCTTCAACGCCTTAGCCTCTTCTTTGCGCTTTTGCTCTTCTGCCTCTTGTCTCTCCAACTCGAGTAGCCTTTCTCTTTCTTCGGCCTCGGCGCGCGCAATCTCCTCCTCTTTCTTCCTGCGTTCTTCCTGTTGTTTTTGAAGGGCGGCTAGAGCAGGGTTGATCTTCTTTTTCTTGCCACCAGCAGCAGGGGCGGCCTCTGCAGCAGGCGTAGGTGTAGAGGCTACAGCGGCAGCTGGCTTGGATTCGGCATCCTTTTCAGGTTCGGCCTTTGCAGGGCCACTGGCCTTCTTCTTCGCAGCCTATGACAGTTCGTTAGTCGGGAACAGTGCCGAGTGCTTCTGCAACAACAAACGTACCAATTCCTTCTTTCGCTGCTTCTCCTTCTCCTTCTTCTCCTTTTCCTTTTCCGCCTTGGTCTTCACTCGCGGCGCATCTGTAGACTTCTCTTCTGCAGGCTCTTCTGCCTTTGCAGCACCACCCTTGCCCTTCTTCTTGCCGTAGTTGCCAGCGAAAACGTCGTCATCATCGTCATCGAAGCCCCCTTCTTGTGGTGCCTTGTCTTGGAAGTCTCCATCTGCACCGTCAGCAGGCGGGTCTTCGCCTTCGACATCTGGGTTGGCGCCCTTCTTGTTCTTCTTCTTGCCACGCTTTGCGAGCGCAGCCATCAGACCTCCGCCTGCGGTATCGTCCTCTGCAGCAACATCTTCGGGCTTTGCTTCTGCTGCATCCCCATTCTGTGGCGCAACAGTCTCGCCTAACTCAGCCTCCCAGTCGTCATCCTGCGCCTTCTTGTTGCCCTTCTTCTTTGGCGGCATCGTGTATCAAATGTATTAAGTCGAGCGGTTATGCGAGATGGTATATCCAGTCGCCGTGAAGAAGACGT